TGTTTAAGTCTAAACTGACCATAATGGAGTTACAGTAGCCCTCTGCTCACTGCTGCTCAGCTGGCTGAAAAAGGCTCCTTCTAATGTGGATGCTAGAAAGACAGAAATGGTGTCTGACATCATTTAGGGCCTGATCTTCAGGAAGCAGTGATGGACGAAGTACTCTATAGTAGTACTTGAGTAAAAGTATCAGGATAACCTGAGCCAGTCTAACTAGAAGCTTTATCAAAAAGGAAAGTTTTAAGCCTAGCCTAAGAGTAGACAGGGTGTCTGCCTCACGGAGGGTTTGAATTAATCCCTGCTAATCAGACACTTCTGTCATAACTGATTGAGCAGATCCTGCCGACAACGGCAAACTGTCCTGGGAAAAAAGTATTCAACCATTCACCCCAGTTACATAAATGGAGAGTGATGGATTTTAATTGGTCAGCATTTATTTTACTTCCAAGTCCACGTTATTTTTTATTTAAGCTTTTTTGTATTGAAGTTTAACACTTACCGTAAATCCTCTAATATTGGCCTGTATTCCATTAGCAGCCGGGTCTCTAATAATGGCCGGTTTTGCTGTCGGCGGAGGTAAATAATGGCCAGACTCGTATACAGGCCGAGGCTATAATTGGAACCAACGATGTTCCTGGGTGGTCCTCAGCAACCTCTGATAGTAACATGCAAGTACCACAGGGGGGCAGTGTTTGCTAACGAATCCAAGCCGTTAGCATGAGAATTCCCATCCTTAGCGCAGACAGGAGGCCGGATTGTTTGGTTTTTATGACCGGCTGTGATGGCAGAACAGTTTCCATTCATTTATTTTAAAACTTTGTTTCACGAGTCAGTTTGGCCGAGATTCCATTCTGTGTCTTTTTTTTTTTTTTTTTTTTTTTTTTTTTATGTATCTGAATAATGTTCTATATACCGTTATGGTAACTGTACTTTTTCAATAAATGAACTTAGTATTTTATAGGTTTAAAGAGACACAATGTGTTTTTATTCATTCCACTGGTCGTCTGTTTTAATCAAATAGAAATAGAGACCTGCCTCTAATTCTCCTTCCAATAATGGCCTGGACCAACATGCACCTGAGTACAATAAAGGCCCTGGCCTATATTAGAGGATTTACGGTATCATAAAATCAGATCTTTATCCTAAGTTTGGTCTCTCACACTGGAATACCTCAAATTAGATTGATATTTTACTAGACTTCATCTGAATGTCCTGAACTTTTCACTGAGCTGAGCTGTTTAACTCCACTCTCTAATTTTTCAGCCTTAAGTTCTGCCTTCACTCTTACTGAGTGCTTGTTTTCTAGTCTGTATCTGTCTGCATGTGCTTGTAGTGTGAAATAAAGAAAAATGACTCGGTTACCAAAGTTAACATTAGGCTATGAAACTAGTCCCAGTTAAAAAAAACTAAATATTATCTACGCTAAAACAGACAAAAGTTTCTGATTGCAGTTCTGTAAAGAAGCAAGAGAGAGTTTTGATTCGTGGAACTTTAGAAATTAAAGAAACCAACGTTAGGATTTATTTTCTAAATCTAAATATTCTGAGTCAGACAGGAGTTCAGAAAACTGCTGTTAAAATGAACAAAGACTGAAAACTATCAACATTTCTGATTCCAATATTTCTTTGCTATTACTGATTTCATTCTTGAGGCAGTTCAGGAATAAATAACAGGTTTTATTTCTTTTCTAGATCATAACAACACGAGAAGGATGCTAAAGATCTGCTATATTTTGTTATTCACATAAAAATAATTCAATTTAATCGATTCTACTTCTAGAAATAGGAGAAAGAAAAACAGAGGAACTCTATTTACATTGATTCTATTTTTCTAGATTTCCACACAGTCCATAGGTAAATTAGTACAAACATTAATGTATGTAAATAATGTTGGAATCTGGCTGTTTATTTTGGATAATATAACATTACAGATTAGATAGTGTTATATTGTATTTTATAATTGTTAAAAGGGATTTTATATTAGAATAAATTTAGGCTCATTCTTAGTGTTGTGCTTTAAAATAGACATAAGGAGCTATTTATTCTTTATTTCTTTATCTATTTGAATTGTGTTAATTCCTAAACTTATATATTTGTTGTATTATTTACAGACTTTATTTATAGGTTAATTGTTGCATTTTGTGTATTTATTTTTTGTTGTTTTATTATTTTTTCTTTATTTATTTTATGTAAAACAGGAAGAAATGTGGGCGGTCCACTTTCTATAACTGTAGGAGCCTGGTAAGGACCAGCAGGCATTCAGGTTAGGCACCTATGGGTTTTTACCAGTGCAAGAGAGGTGACAGAGCAAGGAAAGTTTGAACTCTGTAATGTTGCAAAAATATAGGAAATAAATCGACTGAATATCTACAAGTTTGGACTTCAACTTCTTTCACCTGCGTCAAGAAAACGTGACCCCAGTGCCTTTAGTGGCTTATTGGAACTTTATTGGATGTTTGGTTTGACAAACAATCGCCACTACATAGACATAAGGAGCTATTTAAACAGTCAGACAGTAAGAAATATAAGTTGATGATAAAATGTTGTCTTACATTAAATCCTTTACTATTAAAAACTCACTTATATAATAGAAACATTATATGATTGTAGGAAACAGATATAATGCTGCAGGGCAGCCTGAGGGTGAAGCAGCTGCCCTTCACTGCTGCATGATGGAAGAAACGTGTTTGGAAAGTTACCATAAAATTAGAGCTGCAACTAATGATTATTCTGCAAATTGATTCCTCTGTATCTGTGTGTAACAGCAGCACTGCGGCTCAAAGGAAAACTCTCCAAAGGGTTGCCCATAAAATCACTGGCTGCCCTCCCCCCTCACTGGAGGACTGCACAGCGACCGCTGCCTAAAAAAGGCACAACGCATCACAAAGGACACTTCTCTGTTTACACTGTTGCCTTCAGGATGCAGAGCAATCAGAACCAGAAGCAACTTAGAGACAGTTTTTACCCGACAGCAATAACAAAACTAAATGCAACCAAAAATAACCATAAATCATCATGGATGATGTGAGAATGTAATATTCTTATTAGTTGTTTTGTATCAGTTATTGTTTATTTCTTATATTATGTGTAAATGGTGGGACAGCGATTTTTGTTTTTAATCATATGCACTGATCGATGGCACTTTTAAAAATTTTGTTGTTCTTGTGACAATAAAGATAAACTAAGAATCTGTTGATTATTTTTTCGATGAATAATCAGATATTTTACAAGAAGATTTTTTAGGAAATGAAACCAGGTGAAACAGAAACGTTTCCTCTTTAGGAGTTCTGGATGGAGAATATTGACAAAACGTTTTTATCCTAAATGCAAAATCTTTACATATTTTTTACAATCTTGGTAAAATTGTGGCTCTAAGTGGGTCGCTCTGTAAGCTAAAGGCACATTTTAGTGGCCCTAAACTCCACTTAATGATTAATCCGTCACGTTGGGTGGAGGTTTTAAAGAACCAAATGCAGAGAGGAGTAGGCATGGATGAGTTTGGATGGTTTAATGAAAATCCAAGGGAAACAGAAATGCTGAAAATGAAACAAAACCAATAAACATCAGGAAAAATACTGGAGGGAAGCAAGAGACCAGGAAGCAACTAAACATCTAGAACACAAACAAAACCAGCGCTGAATGAGGCTCTTTTAAGCCCAGCAATATGATTATAAAGATTACTTTCACCTGTGAAGACGAACCATGTTCTCCACAAAGATCCTCTATAGTAAAGATGCACAACTCGCACTAACACACACACACACACACACACACACACACACAGGAACCCTGACATAATCAATTACTTAATTAGTTGGCGATTATTTAAATAATCGATTAATATGATTAATGGTTTCAGCCTTAGATAAAATACATGAAATACAGAGTAACTGCAGCCCAGATGTATAACTTTTATAGTGAAGTTAATATTTTAAATGCTCAGAGTCAGTTCCTCTTATAGCTCCAGTGAAAATGTAAATAAAATACATTTATCTGCCGTCCCTTTAATGTATTATTATGCACAATACAGAGAGAAGTTATTGGATAAAAAAATAACAGTGGGGTTTATCTCTGCACAATTCTATATCTTCAAAATAAAATCTTCAAAATAAAACACATATAACAGACATATTTAGACTATATTTGGTTAAATAGATACGTATTTAGCTTCTGTCTTAGTCGCTGGTTTAAATGTAAACCTTTTCAAAGTGGAAATAAAGTCCTAATTCCACATTGATCAGAGCCAGTGATGCTTTAAACATTAATAACAGCATCTAGTACATGTAGTGCTAATGAGATTAGTATTAATGTAGGAAGAAATGCTGCTGCTCTCTTTAAACTAAATGTGACCTGATGCTCAGATTAAGCATAAAAAAGAGCATGAATGTTTCTGCAAAGGACCAATGAAACTAAAGACCAACATTGTTCCTATCAAAGCTGGAATCAAACCTGCAGCCCTTGTAAAATACGAGAATAAAATCATTATTAGAATAATGTTGTAACATTAACAGAATAAAGTCTTAATAAATGAATAAATAAAGTTGTATTTTATGACTTATAACTCTTACAAGATGCACCGCCTTCCCTAAAATGAGGAATGTGGAGCATCATGTGAAGATGTGCTGTGTCAGAACTATAAAACGATTTAAAAATGACTCTGAGCTGAAAGCTTTCTATCTGAAACAGGTTTGATTACTTTATTCTGGTCATTTTATTAATTCTAATAATGTTATGATTTTATTCTGGTCATTTTATGACTTTATTCTGCTATTAAATAGAGAATAAACCTGCCTAGCAGCGCTAACAGCAGCAGGTCAGTCAGTCAAACAGCGCCCCGCAGTGGAGGATCTGGTGAACTGCACAGCAGATGATTTCACTTTCTGTTCAGGAGAAAAGTGACAGAAGACCAGAAGACCGAACCCGGCAGACCGAACCCCGCAGACCGAACCCCGCAGACCGAACCGAACCGCTGATCTTCGGACCGACAGTCAGCAGGTCCAGATGGAATCCTCGGAACCAGAACCGACTCGAACCTGCGGCGCCTGGTAAGAAACTGACACCGAAACCTGAAGAGAAGAAACTTTATTTTCTGATCGTTAATCAGTTGAAGCTTTTCTATCAACATGAAGCTGATTTTAAAGGACAGAAACTTTGGATCCTTCCTGAGGACCAGAGGTCTGAGGGTTTCTCCCTGCTGACTCAGCTGTCTTACATTAAAAAACTAAATAAAAACTTCCTGGTTTAGGAACTTTAACAGCTTTATATTTATAATCTCCTGTTTTTAGTTCATTTTATTTGATCCAGATCAGAAACAGACAAACAGCAGCTCCTCTCATTCACAGACAGCTTCACCTGAAAAGGTAAAGAAGTGAAATAGATCAAAGTTCAGGAATCAGTGCAGCTGGTAGAAACAACAGGCCTACTTCATCCTGCCTTCAGGTCCCTTCATCCTCACAGTGGAAAGATGAACAGAGTCCTGCTGTTTGTGCTTAATCAGCTAAGTTTAAACCTCAACTAAGACTAGCTATACTTTAGGATTGGTTTACTAGTAAAAGTTAAACAGTATTTAGTATAATTGTTGGATAATAACATCTGATTTAATGTTTAGAAAGATAAAGATGTTTAATCTGTAGGTTCTGGTATTTTAAAGACTGAAATGCATAAAGAATAAAAATAAATGTCATTAATTTATAAGAACTAATTCATGCAGAAGAAATACTTTCACCAAATCTTTTTTTATATATAAAACCTCGTAAACCAACCGTTACGGTGAGATCTGTATAAATGTATAAAGGGCACGGTAAAACTCTTCCTAAAAGTACCTTTTTTTTCCAAAGGTAACTGAGTAAATGTAACTAGTTACGACGACCAGCAGATTCTGCAGTTTCCTTTTTCAGGAATCAAAGGAGGCGTTTTACACAGTTCAGCCTTTAGAGCGATTATTATATTCAATCATTCAGAGTTCTTACAGACTTTCTGTATTTTAGCCAGAAGTATCCAGTAACAAAGTAAAAATACTTCATTTCCTTACTGAAGTAGTAATAATGGCTATCTATACTTTACTGCTTTAATTCTCTTTTTAGAAACTTTTACTTCTTACATTTTTAAAATAGACTTGTTATTTTTGTTTCATTTAAGCTCATTTTCATTATGGCCTGTTGGTTTTCAATTTAACGGTTCAACAGAGCTATGGCTCTGGGTGAGTTTGGCAACTGGATTAAAAAGATATCTAGGATTATTCTTATTCTCCTCTATTAATGAGGAGAAATATGCTGCCCTTGCTTTACAAAGGGTCCTTGTCATGATTGGTTTAAGCGATCTGACCCACATGCAGAGAACCACTCAGTTTAACAGGTTTATCGAATGTTGATGAAACACAGAAGTAGGAGCTGGAACTCAGTGGACTGAAGAACCGGAACAAGAAAGTCTGAAGGAGAGATCACAGTAATCAGTTCTGGGACCGTAAGAAAATTGACTGAGGCTTGAATATAGCTGGAGAGAAACTCACGTCAGAGAGGGCTATTGTTAATCCTTGAATCCAGTTTGTGGGGAATTAATGCAGATGAGAGGGAACTTGCTGGAGAGCGGACAGGTAGACATACGTTGGACCCAGAGGAGTAAATACTCCTCCAGTAATGATCCAATGAGCCGCAGGTGTGCAGGGAGGCCCAATGAGTCCTAATCCTGAAGGTTATTAGAAAGTGGTCAGAGAGGACAGGGTTGTGAGGAAATCCTGTTATTTCTTCACATTCTATGCCGTATGTCAGCACAAGATCCAAAGTATGAAGATGAGAATGTGTGGGACTATTCACATTTTGAACAAAGCCAATAGTGTCTAAGATAGCATTAAAGGCTGCTCTTAAGCTATCGCCTTCAATGTCAGCATGGATGTTAAAATCTCCCACTATGATGACCCTGTCAGTATTTAATACCAAATCAGAAAGGAACTCTGAAAACTCATCTAAACATTCAGAGTAAGGACCTGGTGGACGATACAAAGTTACAAAAAGAAGAGGTTTTCCTGCCTTGAAATTTGGATCAGGGAAATTAAGGGTTAAATGTTCAAAAGAGTTGTAGGTATTAATTGTTTTGGGAGTAATCAGTAAGTCAGACTGGAAGATTGTTGCTACTCCTCCTCCTCGCCCAGAACTTCTGGGGATGTGAAAATTTAAATAGCTTGAAGGAGTTGCCTCATTTATGCTCACATAATCCTCTTGCTGCAGCCAGGTTTCTGTAAGGCAAAACAAGTCAATGTGATTATCACAAATCAAGTCATTAACTAGCAGACTTTTAGAGGAAAGCGATCTTATGTTAAACAGACCGCATTTAATTGTTTTAACATTTCCCCCAATTGGAGTTATTTTAATTTTAATTAGATTATCATGATTTACTCCTTTGGGAATCTTTGCTAATTTATTAGATTTTGGTCGTGGGCGAGACACTGTCTGGATGGAGTAAAGAGTGGGTAACAGTAGAGAAGCTGCAGAGAGGTCTGTTAAACTAGGACTCTGATGATGCAAAGTTAAATTTGACACTAATACCATTAGTTATAAAACAAAGAAAATTAAGTCTAAGGAAGATATTATCCAGAATTGTAGAAACATGTTCCTTTAATAAGGTAGTGCATAGAAGATTCTGGACCTAACCTTTTTTCCTGCATTACTTTTACTTTTATTTACTTAAATGTTCCCCTTCCTCCGGTCAGCCTGGAACGCTGCATTTCCTCCCCTGGTTCTGGATCATTTTCTATAGAGAAACTTCCTGCTTTGTAATTCTGTAGCAGTAAACCCACCTGTAGGCTAAACAGCTAAACTGCCGTCTTCCATCTGCCTCTATTCATGTTCCTGGGCCGTGAACCAGTGGGCTGGTCTGGATGTACATTTCAGGGTGTGATAAAAGTCCAGGCCAGAACCGAATAAGGCAACATCCCAGAGTTTACGTCAACTCGTTCCTTCGTTTGGATTCACTGTTTTATGGTGGAAGTTTAGAATAGTGAGATTTGCAGAGAAAGGAGGAGTTGATGGGGTTTGAACGTCTCTGTACGTCTATTTCACTCCCTGAACTATCGTTATTCATCTATGACCATGGAAACTCAGTTTGGCATCTATGACCCCTTTAATTGGCAACCGTCAAACGTCAGCATCAGACGGTGTTTGGCTGTTGGCAGCTCCATGTGACATAGAAGGTGCCCCTTTTCCAACCTGAGCACCTGTCCCCAAAAATGTCTGTGCACTGCACACCACTGGTTGCACGGAATAACAAACCTTTTTCTTGTCCTAAACCTTTTATTTTGCAGTGAAACATTTATATTTACAGGGAATAACTCTATTAATGATCTGTTTTATGACTGTCTGTATCTGCCCAACAAAGCCACAGCTGTGCTTCTTCTCTTCTAGCCACAAGGAGGTGGCAGAGGCTAACTTCGCCCTGCATGAGAGCCACTGTAAGCGCTTTCTAAGCGTCTGTCCTGACTGCGATGAAGCCGTCCCCAGAGAGCTGCTCAGCCAGCACCGAGAGGAGCAGCACAGCCAGGTGAGCTTCCAAACACAAACCTCTGCTCTGTCAAAGTGTCCTTCATTTCTGCTAATGAAGTTGTTCTTTACTGGGTTGTTTTTGTTGGTCTGAAGGTGAAATGCTCCAAGTGCAACAAGAAGATGGAACGCTGCCACCTGGAGGATCATGAGGTGAACATCTCAGCACTGATATCATTACTGTACTCTGCACCCAGAGCATCTTTCTGGTGTTCTTTGACAAACATGGAGGCCTCCAGTAAATTACTTTTAATTAAAAACACTGATCATTTATTGAACAGGATGGAATAATTTCATATTTAAAGAACTTTTAGAAGTTTGAATTCTGAATATGAGCAAAATTTTCCTTTAAACATTTAAAGTTTTCTATCTCAGGAAAAGCAGCTGATTGCATCCAGTTGTTGACTTTGCAGAATTCTCTCCTCCTGGATGAGCAAAGAGGGACGGTAGATATTGACTATCGCACACACCAAGCATGCATGCAGCGACAGTTGGGAGGAAAAACTCCAATTCAAAACCAAGAATCCAGCAGCAGAACCAGAAACAGGCTCGGTGTAAATGGTCCACTGCTGGGTTCAAATGAGGTTCAGTTAAAGCTGACATAATAATTAATAAATTATCTATAATCTATTTAGCCTCCCATAAGGGGTGCCTGATTGTAAACTGATACATGTCAGGTAACCACCAACTCTAAATGTGTCATGAATGCACCTTCTACGTCTGTGACTGACAGACACACAGTCTTTCACTTCTGCCAGGAATCCATCGTGTATTCAGAGAAAAACATCCCATCTGACAGGAAGGTTCCCCCCAATATAGTGTCAATTTGATCAATGTGTTGACAGACCAGCTGACCTGATCAGAAATTCCCAGTTTTTGGAAGATAAACCAAAAGAGGCTCCAAAAAGAAGATAAAACATGGAGCTGAAGCAGAGCAGACAGGGCGGGGTGTCACAGTAACAGAAACCTGCTGCTGTGACATAAAATACTTTCTCTACATCTATGTGACTGTAGCGCTTTGGAAATTAATGATCATGGCTGAGATGTTTAGCTGCTTCTAAAAGGAGTCAAACAAACTGGAGAAGAGTTAAATGATAAGAGCAGAGCTCTGAGCAGTCCTGCACTCAGAAGAAAAACCAAGGTTAGACTTTACAAGCTAGAACTAGCGCATCCTAGGAGAGCCTGATGCTGCAGAGATATAAGGTCTGATCGGGGCGGTGCTGGCCAGCGGGGTGCCCCCCAGCGGGAAATTAACATTATTACAGTATTTGTCCTTTTATTTCCCCTAATTTTCAAATTTCCTTCTCAATATGAATGTTTTGAAAACTGCAGCAATAAATGAAAGGACAAAAATGTAACTGATTAAACATCCATGCAAATAACAGTGTTTTACTTGTCATACAGAAAAACTAACTGACAAAAGATTTAAGTGGGATTAAAATGTGGAAAAAATAGAATAAATTAAATGCAAAGATATGGAGTGAAACAAAGAACTAGAAATTTTTATATAAATGCAGTTAGAATAAAGTCCTTTAGAAATTCCTGTTGACATGTAGAGGTCAAGCGACAGCGGTGAAACTGTTTTGTTAATTAAAACTTATTGAAACTGCTGTCTTTCAGCCAACAGAGGGCGCTAGGGGACTGCGTCACACACCCGAATGACCCTGATTAAGAAAAAAAAAAAGCTTGTATTTTTTTATAATTCAATTTTACCATATACATTTTTCCACATGTTTGTTCATTTGCATAGTTGCTCTTGAATAAACACTTTTTCGGAAAATAAATTGTTTTTATCTATTAAAAAAATATATAAAGCTGACCAATAGCTTCTCCATTATTAAACTGGTCCATCACTTTTTTAGGTTTGTGACTCAATATTGACCCATGAAAAACACAGATTAACCTTCACAGCCTCAGAAGGGGAAGATTTATGGACAAAAAGATTTATGGACAAAAAGTAAACTTGGACATGAAACTGTGTTTTGTTTTTTTATAAAGTGTTTTTATAATGTTTTCTGTTGTTGCCATTCATATAAATATACTGGTGTAATAACTTAGAATACGTTTGATTGGGTTTTGGTTTACGTCTATTTTGAATTTATAGCGCCCCCTGGATGAAAACTCCACCTCTGCTTTTAGCAACTGTCCCTCCTAATCTATCATTAATTACCAAAATACATTTATTATTAAAAGACCAAGCTGCTGATGCAACTTCCAGACACCAAAAACACATAAAATAAAAACAGACAGTTGACATTTAGCAGTTTGTAAATGTTTAAGGTTTCGGTGTGTTTGTGAGCTGCTGTTAAACTGGAGTGTAATTTAATTTGGCATTTAAAGGATGTGTGTCGGTGCAATTCAGCGATGTAATGCATATATTGCAATGCAGTGCTGCTAATAATGCAGTTTGTTGACATGAAGCATCTGTTGACAAATACGACTGGAGGAGGTTTAGGAGCAAAGGATGTAAAGTTATCCAAATTACCAGCTTTTGTTACCATCTAACTTGTTCAAGGGCTGATTTCTCCGTAGATTACGGTGAAGAATAACAAAATTCAAATGGTCGTATCTTCAATTAATTTTCAGTTTTCACATATTTCACATCATTGGAAAGTTTGGAGTCTTTGTTATGATCACATCTGATGCAGGTCTTAACCATTTATGGAGCACTCAGTGAAATACTTTTAAAGTTTCAAGCCTATAGTGTTATTGGAATCCAGGACCGGACCTTATTACCTTTATTACATAAAAAAATATGAATATTTTCATGCCAAAAATGTCAAATTAATAACAAAGAAACGCCAACTTGCTCGAATATATGAAATTTATATCTAAAGTACTTCAATAAGAAATTGATGGGGGGGGTTTCCCTATAAAGGGTTGATGAATGACAGCAGAGCGGTGATGAAGACGGTTGAGGGGGATGGCGATGGTCGGGTTGAGGGGGATGGCGGTGGTCCAACAGACTGAGTGTTGGTCACATGATCGGTATCATCTCATTAGTCAGCAATGGCGAGGCCATTTCAGGTCATCATGTGCTGAAGAGCTGACGGGTGTTTCCATCTCTCTCATCCTTCCAGGCGGATGATTGCCCCGAACGTCTGCAGGCGTGTCAGTTCTGTGAGCTGGAGGTGGCGTGGAGGAACCTGCATGAGCACGCCGTGGCCTGTGGGAGTCGCACGGAGCGCTGCAGTGACTGCGGTCGCTACGTCAAGCTGAGTGACCAGCCAGAGCACAAGTCAACCTGCTCAACCGCCGATGACAAGAAGGACTCGCCTCAGGCTGCTGGCGGTCCAGCCGACACTGGTAATGGGAGGCAGAGCTCTGCTCTGATGTGACTTAAAGGGGAACGCCGTTTTTTTACATCATACATGCGCCGCTTTGTTTTTAAAATATATAAATATAAAAATCATAAAGGCGGATGTCTGGGGGACAGTGATTGGCCTCCATGTTCTGAATGCTGGCGTCCCATAAAGAATAAATGATGAACAGTTTAGTTTGTGCCTTCAAGTCGTTGCCCATAGGAAGACGTTACTGGATATAACCTAACGGAATATCTTCAGAACAGCTCCAAATGACACTAAACTCATATGGGTGAGTAGAACATGATGGAATAACGGAAAATCAAGGGACCAATGGAAAAAAAAAAAAAACGGCGTTCCCCTTTAACGTCCAGGATGTGATTCTCTTCAGTTTGACACCTTTAATGTTCTCAGCAGGGGACAGAGTGAGCTGCAGAGGCTGCAGGAGGCTGCTTCTGTCGGACGAGATAAACCAGCATCTGGTATGTTCAATCCTTTTATTTCTTCATTTTCTATATAAACCTGTGAATTTAAATAAATTAGGCCTTTAAATAAACAGAAATAGGGAAGACTTTGTGAAAGTTTTCCTTCCCTTTGAATATGTTGGTGAAGATTCTCAATCATCCAGGTCAGAGTCATTCCAAAAAAGTTCCTTTGCAGGTTTTTGAAATCTGAGTCCACCCCGTCTGTTTAAGGTTCCAGCTTTCAAAAACCTCTAATGCAGCAATAGAGTTGATTCCTTCCCGCTATCATCGCAGCTCCAACCCCTTTACAGGAGAACAGAAGACCTCCCCTATTCAGCCAGGCCAACTATTCCCTCTAACGATCCCCCTTTCAGAGACATAGACAGGTATGGGGCATTGCAGGCTAACAAAGAAGCCAAACGACCCCCATTCCAAAGGGGGGGACCCGTTCATCCGTTTCTATTTGCATGTTTTCTAAACTAAAACCAGGCTTTGTTGGGCTGCTGGATAAAACCTGGAACTAAACGCTATTTCTGACATTTTGAATTGAAAACTCTTCCTGGATGGAAGAGAAACGTCTTTAAACTTGGAAACAAAGTCCAGAGGATTGATTTTTAAGTTTACCCATTGAGTATTTTGTCATATTAAAGCTCTACATTGTTGTTGTTGTTCCGTTATTGTGAAAGAAACTTTGACTTTTATTGTCATTTTGTAGACAGAGTGAATACGAAACGAAATAATGTTTAGTTCAGCTTTCAGACGGTAAATGAACATTATGCAGCAGTGATCTAATCTAAACAGTGAGAGAGAAAAAAGCATTAATATCTATGCTGCAATTATGCAGTATTGTTGGTTTGGTGTCGTCAGTCTGATGCAGAGTCTGTGATTTAGAGTTTTCTCAACAGTTCAGCCGTCTGATGGCGGGGGGGAAGAAGCTGCTAAAGAATCTTGCAGCTTTTTGGCTTTTTGTTTTATTCTATTCATTTATGTCATCCAGCGTTACCAAAGTGACCAAATAAACCAGCATGCAGTTTAGTTACAGTAAAGGCTTCGTCTATTTTATTTGTTTTTGATTGCAGAAAAAACACAAAAATCTACTGAACAACAACAACAGAAATCAAAATAACTGAGAAATAAGAACAATAAGCTCAACTTTACAAAATAGAGCTGATGAAATAAAAATGAACCATAAAACCTGAAGCATGTTGTAGAAAGAAGCTTAGCTGAGATGCTGCTCTTCATCTGACTGTATCTGCTGAATCAATCAGAGAACCAATCAGAGGAATAAGAACCTGCACAGACAAATCAAGACAAAGAAAGCAGACAATTAAAGCTCAAAACCAAACATCTCACTCTTTCATTTCCTGCTTTTGCATTTATTTTCTATTAAAGGTTCATTACTATTCTTTAATCCAAACATTTTACAGCAAAGCGTCCTTAAACTCGTAGGGAAGCGGCCGTTCCAACCGTTGCATTTCTGAATTCTCCCTATTGGTGCCCGACTTTACAGGAGTGAATAAAGTGAATGTGATTGGTCGATTATCAAGGGGGCGGGATTGTTGTGGCGGAAGGTTGACAAGCAGGTTTGGTTGTAGCCGGTTTGTCGGAAGCATCTTGCTAACCAGTTAGCAACTTAGTGCTAGTAGGGTCCCAATGGAAAATTCCATTGGGACCAAGTAGCACTAAATTGGTGACTTAGAAACGACGCTGTCAAGGAACGCTATGGACAGCGGAAACATGCAAGAGGAGGAGAGTTTAAACTGTGTTTATGGAAGTAAACATGGATGTTAGCGCTGGAGCGCATCTAGCGATCTTTCCCAACCATAAAAACACAATCTTTTCAAGATGGTTAAACAAATACTGCTCTCCGCATCATTGTCCGCCATGGTTGTTGTTTTTCTTGCTGCTTCTTCATAGCAAGACGCAGAATAGTGACCTTTGTCGGGTATTAATGATGTGCAGGTCGGATAAATGCGACCTGGCCGTTCAGATGCAGGTCGCATTTGAAAAGATCAGATTTGTATCGAATTTAGGACCACAGAGCCAAGCGGCCTGGGTCGCATTGGAAAAATCAGATCTGTGTTGTTCAGAATGCCATGAAAAGATCGGACAGAGGTCGGATATGGGCAAATAAATCGGATTTTGGCCACTTCAGGCTGCAGTGTTCACATAGGCTAAGTCACGAATTTAGTGCTACTTGGTCCCAATGGAATTTCCCATTGGGAACCTGCTAGCACTAAGATGCTAACTGGTTAGCAAGATGCTTCCGACAAACCGGCCACAACCAAACCTGCTTGCGAACCTTCCGCCACAACAATCCCGCCCCCTTTAATAATCGACCAATCACCTATCGGGAGAATTCAGAAATGCGACGGTTGGAACGGCCATTTACATACGATTTTAAAGTTAATGAATTTTGTGTGAGAATATTTTGGACAGTAGAATTTATTTCAAAATGTAAATGATGCTTTTTAAAGCATCTTTATATCAGTTTTAAAGCTTGCATAATTTTTTTTTTCTTTGGGGAGGGCCCAATATCAACGTCCTTCCTGGGGCCCCAAATTCCTGGTGGTGCTCCTGGAAGGAAGGTTCAGTGACGGCGGACATGTTGGCAAAGCAACACGTTTAGTTTAAAATGTCTGCATCTAAAACCAGGCTTTGCTAAACTCTCCTTTGATTATCAATTAATTTAATTTGGTCAGATAAAGTTTGTCTAACAGGATTAATTTTTTTAACTTTATGTTTTATTGGTGAAAAAACGACATTTTGACTATTTTCAGCATTTGATGAGTCTGAAAAAGGCAGTAAGAGGCGTGAAGCTGCTTCATGTCGCCTCCGTTTGAGCGTCTCCATGGTTACTCAGTAAAAACATCAAACATGAAGGAAGAACGAACTCAGGAAGTTTTCTGTGTTTGTCCTCCAGCGGTTCTGTTATTCAGCATCTCCGCTCCTCTACGATGAGGAAGAGGAGGAGGAAGAGGACTTCTACAGGGATCAGCTGAGCGCCGCTTATAAGGCCACCTACAGCCAGGTGGGCGGAGACCCGGATCAGATCAGCACCTGCCCGCACTGCCACCTGGCCCTGCCCCTCTCCACGCTGAAATGGCATGAGGTAAAAACCTCGAAGCACATTTTTCTGCAGAACATTTCCAGGATATTTGGTGACCTGGTTTTTCTTCTTCTTGTGTTTTAGGCAAAGTGCAGAATCCATGTTTTTCTCAAAGACAGAGAAGGTTAAAGACAGAGACGTCCTCTGATTGGACGGCACCGACCGACGCAGAGACAATCAAGCTGTAATCTTAGAATCCTGCTATTTGGCCTTTGTTCATATTTCTGGAACCTTTCCTTTCTTTCCGCTTCACGTGATGTTAAACATGGTGACCTGCTGAGGTCAGAGGTCACGCAGCGTGCGGTGTGCCTGGTGACGTTAGCTCGTCTGTGGAGCTTCAGCTCCCGCCTCTCCATGGATGCTGATGGTCGCTGCTGATGAGGATCATATTGTCTGTCAGTCACTAACCGATCCGTCCTGCGCAGCGCAAAGAGAAAAACTTCCAGGTAGCAATGCGGGGGGGGGTTTGGGGGGGGGGGGGCTGTGGGGGGGTGTTGGTTGTTCTTTGGAAGATTTTAGTATTAGCGTAAATATTGCATTTTCTAAAAACAAAAACAAGCAATACACCAAAAAAGCCTTTGGAAGGTTACCGTGACTGCGCTGAGCGTGTCCGATGATGACGTCACAAAAACAAAACGAATCCATTTCTTCCAGAAAAGTCTTCAGTATTTTCTTTACAATGTAATTTATCATTCTTTAACGTTTTAAGTATATAAATAAGTATTTTCAGTATCTGGTTTTTATGCGCTGGACGGTGCTTCCAGGACGGATCGGGTAGTGACAACGTCCCCCCCCCAATAAAGGCAGGGCGCCGCCATCTTATAATCTACAAACAGGAAGTTGGTTCAGATCTTTGTTATTTTCTTTAGATTCAAAATTTAAGGCTGTTAAAAATTGTAATTTATCGTCTAATTCGAAGCGTTTCTACATAGATGACCTCTGGCTGCTGATTCTATAGATGTTCCACTTTTATTGTTTAGTTGATGATCTATAAATATTTTTCTGAATAAAGTTCTCACACTTTTTACACCAGTTTTGTATGAAACTTACTAAACTTCTTTAAATCAGGTTCCACATCCTCCATGTTTGCTTCTCTTAGCTCCTGTCATTATGAAACTCCATCATTACATTCCTGTGGGGCCTGACTTTGATCTGGGGACCATCAGTTCTATTCTATTCAGTTTATTTCTATAGCTCCAATTCCCATCATGTCATCTCAGGTCACTTTCCAGTTCACCAGATCATCCAGTCAGATTGATTCAAAGTTTTCTATCTAAGGAAAACCAGCTGATTGCATCGACTCATTGACTCTTCAGCAATCCCTCACACTAAGCATGCTTGTAGCGACAGTGGAGAGAAAAAACTCCCCATTTAGTCCATCATCTGGAAGTGAACCTGCTGGAATCGGAGCCTCAAAGCAGCAGCTCATCCAGTCATTAGATAGAAGCGGATGTTTTAACATTCAGGCCTCAGCGCCTCACCTGAAGCCTTCTTCCTGCCAATAGGTCAGAGGTCAGGGATGAGGATGGCGTCCCTGTGCTGCATGCAGACTACCTCATCGATGTAGAGGGACTCGGCCTTGGTGTCGATGCTCTTCTTCAGCTCCAGCTGGCAGCGAACCAGCGCCCGCTGCTCCTCCTCGGACCGGGCCACCTCCTGACGCAGCCTGACGGAGCAGAAGAAAAGAGAAATAAATCTGATCTTTGAAGACGTCCTTTAAGGCAGAACTGGTTTCAAACTGTAATTATTCTCTGTTTTCTTTGCTTTGACCCTTCAGACGGGAAACTGCCTCACATGTGGATGTGAGCGGCGAGCTGCTGGACCTCAGCCAGGAGCTGGGTCTGAGCCGAGTCGCTGCAGCGCTCTTTGCTGGGCCTCTGATGGCGCAGAGCCAGGCGGGAGTGGGCCACGCTCAGGAAGCGCTCCTTCTCTGCGATGGCGGCCTGGAGGTCCTCTCTGACCCGCTGCTGGTTGCTGATCTCAGACTGGACCTACAGGGAACCGAATGGAGGGAATGTTGGAACATCATTGCTCAAAGTTAAACATGTTTTCTAAATGTCCAGTTCCGCCACCAGATCCACTGTTCTCTGATCGACCTTGATTCTACAGAGATACCTTGAACTACAGAGATAGCTTAGCAGAGCTAAGCTATCTCTGTAGTTCTGCTGCTATAGGCTTAGACTGCTGGAGGACATAGGGACCCCTTTTTCCTCATTCTGCTTCATTCTATCTCTATTCTCCCACTCTGCAGAATCTGTTAGTTCAATCTCTAACGTTCTGCTCTCTCTGCTTTTTCTCATAGTAGCTTCATCTGGTCTGTTCCTGTTTGGCTGTGACTCCATCCTGGAGAGAAATATCAGCTGTGCTGCTGCCATCAACACCTTTGTTTCTAGATGTTGGAGCTTGGCCTGTTTTCCAGTGTAGTCCTGTTTCTCTGACTGTGACTAACTGGATGTGCTCTCTTCATCCTCTGACATGGGAGCTGGCTCGGAGCTCGTCTGCCTGGCTGTGTGTTTCCTGGACGGGGCCGCCTGTGGAGCTGGTTGACAGTTGCCTTTTGTATCTATGCTTCTTTTTCTATGTCTGCTTCTGTCTCCTTGAACCCCAGTGGGCCTCAGCAGATGGCCGCTCACACTGAGCCTGCACTACAAAAAATCTAAATCTAGATAAGTAATTTTTTCTTAAAATAAGTGCATTTGTTCTTGAATTGAGGAGGTAAAAGAGACATTTTGCCAATGGAACAAGACAATTTACACTTAAAATAAGAAAACACAATTGAATTGTCTTATTTCAAGTGCATGTTATCTAATTATCTTATTTTAAGAGTAAAATTACTCATTCCATTGGCAAACTAGCTCATTTACCTGCTCAAATTAAGGGTAAATACACTTAATTTAAGAATTTTTTACTTATTTCTAGATCGTTTTTGCAGTGTGGTTCTGCTGGAGGTTTCTTCCTGTTCAAAGGGAGTTTTTCCTCTCCACTGTCGCTACAAGCATGCTTAGTGTGAGGGATTGCTGAAGAGTCAATGAGTCGATGCAATCAGCTGGTTTTCCTTAGAGAGAAAACTTTGAATCAATCTGACTGGATGATCTGGTGAACTGGAAAGTGACCTGAGATGACATGATGTGAATTGGAGCTATAGAAATAAACTGAATAGAATTGAACTGAATTGAAATGAAGGCTCCTCTAGAGGTTCTGCTCTAGAGTAGAGCCACGCCTGGAGGTTATTATAGCTTCTCTGCAGTAAATATTATACTTAAACCTTGGAAAAATGTTTGTTTTGTATAAAAACTTCACAGCTAAAATAGTTTAAATCTGCCTCTAAATGAAAGCTGTCTGGTTGAACTAATCTATTTCCAGAGCAGACCACTTCCCGTCTGGTACTGGAACCAGTCTGCTACCTGGAGGCAGGTGTTCTGTCAGGTGATCATACCCATAATCGATACCCTTCCTTCTAGTTTATCTCTTTAGTTTTGTACGAAACATGAAGTTTAAACTTCCTCACCGGGCATGGATCCCTTTAGTCACCAAAATCCTATTTAATTACTTCCTTTTTGGTGTTTTTTGAAGCGTATGGAGATCTGACCTAAAATGCCTTTTTTTTGTCCATGACCAAAGGGATACCCGCCTATCGAGGTAGTTTAAAGTCTATTTTTCATACAAAACATATAAATAAAATTGCAAATCTGATGTCTTGCGATGCGTATCGACTATAGGTATGCTGGTCTGACAGGTATGCTCACCTGACAGAACACCAGATCTGGAACAGCTGGTTTCTGATATTTGCAAAGAAGGAGTCTTCCTCAGGGGAAAGTGATGAAGATGACTCCGCCCCTCAGAATGAGACCCCCCCTCCCCACCTTGGGCAGTTGCTCCTCCAGCTGGCTCTTGACAGTCTTGACCTGCTGGATGTTGAGCTGCAGGGCTTCCCTCGTCGCCTTGAACTGCGCCTGCGTGTCAGCAGCCGTCTGCACCAGCACCGACTCCACCAGGGCCTTCAGGGTCAAAGAGTTGCTCTTCTGCTGCTCCGCCTTCGTCATGTTCAGCTCAGAGACGTCCTCCCACTGCTTTGGACTCACTGTGGAGCTGAAGAGCAAGAAGAACATCAGCCGGCTGGAAGAGAGAGCATTTATCCACCGGATCGTCTCCTAACATCTGAGTCGTTCCGTTCCAATCAGTCCACGGATTTAAACAGAAACACTGAAAGAAAATTTCAAAAAGTAAAACGATCCACTGGACTTTGTTTGGAAATCTCCATCCATCATGTTGCTGGAAACTCTGAGAAACTCCAGAGGATTTTCTCTAAACACAGGAGAACAGAAGACCTCACCTGTTCATCCAGACCAACTATTCCCTCTAACGACCCCCCCTTTCAGAGACATAGACAGGTATGGGGCATTGCAGGCTAACAAAGAAGACAAACGTTCATCCGTTTCTATTTGCATGTTTTCTAAACTAAAACCAGGCTTTGTTGGGCTGCTGGATAAAACCTGGAACTAAACGCTATTTCTGACATTTTGAATTAAAAATCTTCCTGGATGGAAGAGAAACGTCTTCAAACTTGGAAACAAAGTCCAGTGGATTGATTTTTGTTAACTTTCTTGACTCTGACCTGGATGACTGAGAATCTACACTAACACACAATAATTATATATTTAGTCATGATTATTTTAGCCAGTAATGCAGCATCTCTCAGAAAACTGGTCTTCATGATAAGAACATCTGCATCTGTTCCACTGAACAGTTCTCTGTACCGAAGTCTGACCTGATACACCTTGGAGCTCTACTCCTGTTTTCCTCTTCATCATTAAATCACGCAGCTATAATAACCCTGGGATTACTACTAGAGGAGAGACCCTGCAGCATCATGACTACACACCAACAACATCTCCATTAATATAGATTCCTTATGGTTTTAGTTTGTCATATGAATCAACATCCTGCATGAAGTCAGGACCTGGTCATTTTAAATTATTGTAAAGCCTCAGCTGTTCTCATTGAGGATCCAGGATTTTGAGAATGGCTATCCCTTGGATGGCCCTTGGCTGTTCCTGGGCTGGCCCTTGGCTGGTCCTTGGCTATTCCTTGGCTGGCCCTTGGATGGTCCTTGGCTGGTCCTTGGCTATTCCTTGGCTGGCCCTTGGATGGTCCTTGGCTGGTCCTTGGCTATTCCTTGGCTATCCCTTGGATGGCCCTTGGCTGGTTCTTGGCCGGTCCTTGGCTGGTCTTTGGCTGGCCCTTGGTTGGCTCTTGGCTGTTCCCCCTTCAATTCCTTTTTAAACATCAATCTTTTTACTAGAATATTCTTTCTGTCACACTACAAAAAATCTAAATCTAGATAAGTAATTTTTTCTTAAAATAAGTGCATTTGTTCTTGAATTAAGGAGGTAAAAGAGACATTTTGCCAATGGAACAAGACAATTTACACTTAAAATAAGAAAACACAATTGAATTGTCTTATTTCAAGTGCATGTTATCTAATTATCTTATTTTAAGAGTAAAATTACTCATTCCATTGGCAAACTAGCTCATTTACCTGCTCAAATTAAGGGTAAATACACTTAATTTAAGAATTTTTTACTTATTTCTAGATCGTTTTTGCAGTGCATGATTTGTGGACATTAAGATCTAAAGAGAAGCGCCATCTCCTGGTCAGACGCTGTAATTCAGTGAAGGGGCGGAGTCAGAGTGAAATAATGCCCTGGAGAAGGAGGGGGGAACATAAACAGCAGTGCTGCTAACAACAGTGAACTCTGGGCAGATAGAACCGTCTGCAGTTAACAGTCAGGAACTCGATGTCTGGAGAGCAAACAGAGACGCAGCAGTTCAAAGGTCAGATCTTTTTTTTTCAGATCAACAGATTAATATTTGTAGTGTCTGAACAGGACAGGAGGGAGGAAACAACACGATGTGTGGAAGTGGAGGAGATCGTATCGGTTATCAGCCACTTGAGTCGGACAGCATGAGCCAAAAGTAACGAATGAAAACAGATTTCCACCTTTTCTGATCCCTGATGTTTGGTTTGGACGTGTGCAGCTCAGCGACGGAGCGAACGCTCATCAGGCTGCAGGAGCCGTCGATGCTTTCAGCCTGGAACTTCTCCTTCAGATCAACTTCTAAACTGTACTTAGCCGACATGTTCAGCCTGGAGAACAGAAAGAACAGGAAAGATCAGCATTCTAGCTTGTTGGCAGGGGGGGATTTACCATCAGGCAATACTAGACAGGTGCCTAGGGCCCCAAGTTCCTGGGGGCCCCATAAAACTCTGTTTCCATGTTTGGTTAATGCAGCTATTCCTTATTTTTTCACATTAATTATGTTTTGATAAAAATCCTTTGATTTCTAAAAAGCTCCTAGCGCCAAATCTAGAGACTTTTTTCTGCTACTGGAGACTTTGGAGACAACATCTAAAAGCAGCGAACTCTGCTCTCCAGAGCCAGTAGATTGGTAACCCCGCCTCCTGCTCTCCTCTATCTTGTCTGCTGTCATGATTCATGCAGCTATGATTTCATCCAAATGAAAAATGGAGAACAGATAAGCAGATCATGGCTTGTCTACAGTGAAAAGAAGGACTGGGTTATTTACTTTGGCCTTTTTGGAAACACAGGAAGGAGCAATCAGCTAAGTGAGCTTAGTGCTTGGAAAAAATCTTTCATTCCTTTAGAGACAGCATGAAAAGTCAGCTGAGTACAAAACATAGAGAGGAAAACAAGAAGAAAAGGGACAAGAAGAGAGGGACACAACCTAGAACAGATCATGGATGTCTATTCTATTAACATTTCTACATCTGTAGAATGGCTCTGTTTTATGAGTTATCAATTCAGAGGGCCCCCTGCCTGTCTTTGCCTGGGCCCCACATTTCCTAAATCCGCCCCTGCTTGTTGGTTAATAAGATCAGAGGATCTAAGGTCACCTTATCTGCTCAGAGATCTGTTCCTGCACAGTGTGAAGCAGAGAAGCTACTTCCTCCAGGGTCTGCTTCTCTTTCAGCAGCTCACTGTTCACCTCGTCGTGCATCTTCCCACAAGGAGCCACCTTCCTCCTGCCATTCAGACAATCAGTTCAAACTGCTTCCTTTCCTCCGGTTTTCTCTGTTCTTTGCTGGGTTCACCTTTCGTCCAGACAGAGAATGTTGACTTTCCGCGCCTCCTTGTTCGTCTCCTGGGCCTTCCTCACTCGGCCCTGTAAGGCTTTTAGGTCCTGGGTCTCTGAGAGGATCTCCTCCAGCCTCAGCTCCAGCTCCTTCTTCTGGAACTGGATGTCTTTGAGGCGCTGCTCTGTTCAGCAGATATCGAGCATCACAGCTGACCTCAGCAGGAGGAAATCATTACTATAACCCCCCCTACCTTACCGAGATGCTTGCTGTCCTCATCCTGCAGACGTTTGCACGCCTTCTCCGTCTCCAGGATCAGCCTGTTGCATTCTGCTCTGAAGAGCTCAGCGCGGCTCATCGCCGCCTCCACGTTGCAGACATCCGATCTGGCAAACGTCTGGAGGCGGTGGTCCTGGACAGACATGGTTCTCCTGACAGCAGAGGTAGAGCTTTGGATGAGAAGAGTTAGAAATAAAGGATTTATCATGTCTGACACGTCTGGAAATGAAAGCCGTGGACTAAAACACCTGCAGCTTTTACTTCCATGCTGCTTCGCCTCCATATCTAATATTCTGGCCGACTGCAGGGAGAAAAACAACAAAACCAGAAAAAGAGTTTTCCTTCTGCACCTCAGACTGAATCATTTGTTTCCAGGAGATTTTAATGATGATTTCTTTTGATGTTTCTCTAACAATTCTATTCAGTTTATTTCTATAGCTCCAATTCACATCATGTCATCTCAGGTCACTTTCCAGTTCACCAGATCATCCAGTCAGATTGATTCAAAGTTTTCTATCTAAGGAAAACCAGCTGATTGCATCGACTCATTGACTCTTCAGCAATCCCTCACACTAAGCATGCTTGTAGCGACAGTGGAGAGGAAAAACTCCGTTTGAACAGGAAGAAACCTCCAGCAGAACCAGGCTCAGTGTGAGCGGCCATCTGCTGAGGCCCACTGGGGTTCAAGGAGACAGAAGCAGACATAGAAAAAGAAGCATTTCTATTGGTCGGTTTGATGAGTTTGTTGGATTTGGGCTGAAATGCAGTTTAAAAAAAAAGAAATTCATGAAATTTAATTTGAAACAGAGAAATAAAAAATATACAAGATCTATCCTAGAAAAACAATGTAAAAGAGTTTTTTTGAAATAATAAAATTTGACTAATTTAAATCTGAAAATAAAAAAATCTGTAAAAAAAAAAAAAAAAAGAAAATATGACCATTAAAAAAAGAAAATAATCTGAGAAAACATGAAAGTTCCTCTCAGAAATATTTTAATTGTTTAAACCTTATTTTTCTAGATTTCATTTTTATTTTCAAATCTTGATTTTTAAAATGTTTCCTTTTCTGTAACAATAATGGAACAAAAGTCACTCCATAGATAGAAGAATGTAAATAAAATGATCTACTTAGAATAATATATTTAGATCTTATTCACTAGAGATGAGATAATTAGGCTGTTAATGTGAAAAGAAAAGTCCTGTTTGAGTGATTGTTCTTCCTAATGTTTGGGCGTCTGCGCTCCAGCTGACTCATTGACTCTTCAGCAATCCCTCACACTAAGCATGCTTGTAGCGACAGTGGAGAGGAAAAACTCCCTTTGAACAGGAAGAAACCTCCAGAAGAACCAGGCTTTTTCTGTCCTCAGAATAAGATGAGAGGATATCAAACCATGGTCAGTCAGAACTCTGATCTGTAGGGAAGAGGATTAGGGCCACTGAAAAAAAAATGAACTGATTTTTAAATATTATTTCAGTTTAATATGGGAAAAAAAGTCTGAATTCTAACTCTATTCTCAGAATTTAGTCAAAATCAGTTAAAGTTTTTTTTCAGTGGCCCTAATCCTTTTCCGTAGATCTGAGATCCAAGCTCTGCTTTGTTGATTTTTTTTTACTTTATCACAACAAGAGGAGGAGAGTTTAGTGTCGGAGGTCATGGATGAGTCTCCTCCGTCATCCATTTTTTATTTGGATGACAGATTATATGACTCTGATTCCTGATTTCAACCGTTGCGTATATTAGCTGCGACACATGAATCAAGATGCTATGACTGACAACATTTGATTGACAGATGACTGTTGATATATGATTGGCTGAATTTAGGTGTTCAGGCTGACGTAGAACAAACTGGCCTGCATAAAATAACGGGGGAAAAACACAGAATTTAAGACTGGATTTTTTTTTTTTATAGAAATGTTCTAACTTTTGGGACAATCTGGTCTGATAAATAGAACATTTATAAACATGTTTAAGGCAGAATGATTTGACCTTTAAATTTGACTTCGCTATGACTTTAACGGCTGCCCATCCCCTTTAAGCTTCTCTGTGTTTAAACTTTAATTGAACTAAAATAAAGCAGCTGTTTAATTTGCTCCAAGTTTCAATCATTTCATCCATCTAAATATTTAAGTTTTAATGATCAGTCGGTCTGTTTACCTTCTTTAGAGCTGCTGAAAGCAGCGGAATCAGTCGGAGCTTCCTCTCTGCGGCGGAGTAAACAAACCAACGGTTACCGTGGCAACAGCGGGTGGCGCTAACCACGTGCTGCGTCATTACTCAGCATTATAGGGATTTAATAAACCCTGAGATTAGAATTATTCCTTTGAATGTTAAACATGTAATCTTTGGTGTTTCAGTTTTTCCACATCCAGGTCTGTAAATTTGCTAAAAACAAACAACCTGTTCTCAGAGTTTATGTAAGATTATTTTAGAGACTCTTTAAAAATGAGAACCAGCTCTAAAGCTATGAAATGAAGACTCTTATATATATTTATATTTAATCCCGTGTTTTTTTGTTTTGTTTTTTTTACCCCCGCACCTGCAGACCGCAGTCAGCGGGATCCAGCAAACAGTTGATCCGACTCAGGGTCTCCAGATGTCGGCCAGCATCTCTCAGCTGCTCCCTCCTCTCACACCCAGTTAGGGAAAATCCATGGATTTCTTATCACGTGATCAGATAAGATGAAACTAATATAAAATCATGCCAATAGATAACATCTGTGAGCCACACTTCTTTTTATTCCATTTTAAGCTGTTTTAACATTTCAAAGATATTTTAAAGACAGAAATTGGGATTGGGGGTTAATGGGTCACATGACATAGAAGCTGAGAATAAAATTCACATTTTCCTATTATAAAACTCTTAAAATATATGAAAAGGCTTAAAATGGAATAAAAATGAGAGTCTTCATCAGGATAACATTGTAGAACAATTTGATACAGGTTTGGAATCAGTGGGTCACATGACCTGGAAGCTATTGAAGAAATATCAATACTTTTATTTAAAAAATCCCAAGTTTTGTCTTTAAAATATATAAAAAAATGTTAAATTCAATTCTATTCAGTTTATTTCTATAGCTCCAATTCACATCATGTCATCTCAGGTCACTTTATAGATCCAGTTCAACCAGATCATCCAGTCAGATTGATTCAAAGTTTTCTATCTAAGGAAAACCAGCTGATTGCATCGACTCATTGACTCTTCAGCAATCCCTCACACTAAGCATGCTTGTAGCGACAGTGGAGAGGAAAAACTCCCTTTGAACAGGAAGAAACCTCCAGCAGAACCAGGCTCACTTTTTTACTTTGTTTTTCTTGCATCATTTGAATCAAACTCTCTGACTTGGATCTTTTTTTTTTTATTTAAATAAACTATAGTATATAGAATGTATCTGAATATTAAAACAGACATTATCCACAGGGTGTTATTATTCTATATTCATCTCTACATATTCTGACAGGTCATTGGATGCATCATGAAAATGGTAGAACTGCTGGGGATGAACTGGTCTTAATGGGAGTGATGGTCCACGGGTCGACCATGATGGAAACACTCAGAAATCAGTAAAATATTAATAATAATCATCGTCTACAGATCCTTTGCTCAAACTGATCATGTTTATAATTTTATAAATTAGAGAAACTGAAACAAAACTGAAAGAAAATGTTATTTTAATCTGAAGACAAATAGTTAAACATGGTGATCAAATATCTCCCCTTTAATGGAACTTTATTTTTCTCTGAACTCGTCTTCCTTCAGCACCAGACACGGTGCCGGCAGCATCATGCTGGGGGGAGATCAGAGATAAAGGATGACTTTCAGAAAACTAATGGATGATTCTGCTGTTCTCCATTTCGCTGTTTTCAGTTTCTCAGCTGTTCCCAATGATGTCATTTAGTTCCCCGACTTCCTGTTAGCAGTTTATTCACAGGTTCATTGAAACATTTAATTAAAAACGTTAAAGGAAAAGTCCAGTCAGCAGGAATAATCAATGGATCATTATTTATACCTAAAACTGATATGTTCACAGTGATTTCATGAATTCAGCGTTAATCAGTAAAAAAATAAAATAATTTTCGTGGTGATCACTGAGTCTGGGAGCGGCCATTTTTGCCCAAATATAGTAGCCCCTCCCTCCTGCCATCTTCCAGCAGTGACGTCACGGTGCGGTAAGCCTAGCGCCATTCTCCCCGCTTTCCAAGCTAAATCAATGGGAACTACTAGACACATCTGCAATCAACAACAATTATTGAAGATTTCCAGAGGACTTCACCATTGAAATTCACCAGAGCTATAGTGAAACTGACAATGCCCACGTGCATGGCAGCTGGATGCTGGAATACATCGGGGAAAAGTGGAAAAAAGAGTTATTCCACCTTTCTGATTCCTGATCCTCCACGGACGGGTTGGTCGTTGGATCGCCAACTTGAAGAGGGAGGATTTGCCATCGAACTTCTGGCCAGAGAAAAAACCCGTAATATGTAGCCAACATTTGGAAGAAGAATGTTTTCAAGATGACTTGGATAATAGCGCGTTGTGACAAACACCAGATACAGCACTGGGACTTGATCAACAGCCGATACCGCACCGTGACAATGTCACTAACCAGTAGGTGGCAGTAGTGTTCTTTGACAAACATGGATGCCTCCAGTAAAGCACATTCACATGGAAATGACTCTGAATTAAAAACACTGATCATTTATTGAACAGGATGGAATCATTTCAGATTTAAAGAACTTTCAGAAGTTTGAATTCTGAATATGAGCGACTTTTCCTTTACAGATCAACCAAACGACTTTCACATGATGAACGTTTTAAACAGATTTTAAAAAAACATCACTGAGGTTGGAACTGTTTAATATTTATCTTTTAAAAGTCATAATGTTGTCATTTAGTTTGGTTACAGAACATTTAAAAACAGGTGAAATAAAACAAAGTTTCTAAAAGGAGAAAATCCAGCGAGCAGAAAGATTCAGATCAGAAGTGGAAAAAAAAAACGCCGCCGCCGGGCGATAAAGTTCCAGAAAGCAGCATCAGTTCAGACAATCATCTAAAAGGCACTTAATGAACTGATAAATTCATTAAAGAGGAAGTCCTTCAAAATAACGACAGCTTTTAAATATTTATATCACAACATTTCAAACAGTGCAAATGAAGTTAAAGTTTACAGTGATGCAACAACCTGCATGAAAAGGAAACGATTTCTGCTTCAAACGGCGAGACGACGACTGAAGAGCTTTAAAATTCAGACGGTCGGCCATCTTTATGCAGCAGATCAGTTCTACAAAAAAAAAAACTAAAAATAAACAATCAGAGCAGCAAGAATCTCATTAAAACCACAGACATGGAGAACGGACAACATCCGGGACACGACAGGAGAAACGATCGGATCCCAAACCAGGAAAGATTCTGTGAAACAGGTCGATGCTCAGAGGAAAAGATGGACGCTGATATTTCTGATGAAGCATGGAGGAAGGAAAGATGGCTTCCCTTCTGATTGAGTCACCTGGAGGGCAGCTGTGGATCTAAAACAGCGACGTCCTTCATCCCTGCTTGGATCCTCATCCTCATCTCTGGGCCGTTAGCCGTTAGCCAGGCTCATTAAACCCACATTCATATTAAAACATATTAGAAGGTTCAGCTGTCCGTCATCCTTCCAGGAGAGCAACCAGAGCAGAGAAAGGAAGCGAGTGGCGTGGAGGTGGGATTCCTGATGTGCCCTCTGAGCGCCATGACTCCACATCTGTGAGCCGTTTCAGTCAGAACTCCTGGTTTCTGGTCATCTCGTCCAGCCTGCTGATCCTCTCAGGAAACAGGCCTTCCGCCACCGCGACCTTCGACTCCTGGACCTAAAAACAGGCGGAAAAGGACGGTTAAACTACAGCTGAAGCCTTAAAGCTGCAGGATCCGCCTCCTGGAGCTGCAGCTCACTTCCTGTTGACCTGGATTTCAATTCTATTCAGTTTATTTCTATAGCTCCAATTCACATCATGTCATCTCAGGTCACTTTCCAGTTCACCAGATCATCCAGTCAGATTGATTCAAAGTTTTCTATCTAAGGAAAACCAGCTGAAAAGGGGTCCCTATGTCCTCCAGCAGTCTAAGCCTATAGCAGCAGAACTATAGAGATAGCTCAGGATAACCTGAGCCACTCTAACTAGAAGCTTTATCAAAAAGGAAAGTTTTAAGCCTAGCCTTAAAAGTAGACAGGGTGTCTGCCTCACGGACTAAAACTGGTAGTTGGTTCCACAGGAGAGGAGCCTGAGAACTAAAAGATCTGCCTCCCATTCTACTTTTAGAAGTTCTAGGAACCACTAGTAAACCTGCAGATTGAGAGCGAAGTGACCTGAGATCAGCTGCTGGGAAATAAACTGAAAATGTCACAGTTTGATTTTTGGTTCAGATCCTGAAAGCTGCTGATCCTCCTGAGTCTGTTTCAGTTTCTATTTATTCTTCCTAAAACTGGAAACTCTTCAAATTCATTATTTTATATCAAACTAACTGCTTCTCTAATAACTAGTTACTCTGACTGAGCAGTAAGTGAGTAACCAGCTGGTAACTGATGCTCCTTCATGTCCATTTTGCGTGTTTCTGCTGATGCTCACCTTGAACGGCTCACTCACTCCGATGATGCTGCGCAGGTTGTTGCTATAGTAACACAGGACACAGTCTCCCCCCCGAACAGGGATCTCCTCTTTACTCACAAACACCTAAAAGCAGGAGCAGAGTTACAGGTCTGCAGGCGTCAGGCTGTGCTGCAGGATGGAGCGGCAGCTACCTGCATCAGCTCCCCGTTAAACGCCGCCTCGTTGTCTTTCACCCAGGCGTAGGTGATGTAGTCCGACACGCCGCCGAACCCAACCTGCAACCCAAACAACCAGTCAGACACTGAAACTCCGCCTCAATCAGCAGGCGGGGAGCGGCAAACCTTATAGAGTCCGATCCAGTCCCAGCTGCTGGACGGGAAGGGCTGCAGGGGGCAGTAGAGAGCCAGGCAGTCAATGTCTGCGCTCCAGTCGCCCTCTGGGCGGAGACTCACCAGAGGAGTCTGCTGCTTCCTGCTCAGCTGAGGAGGAGAGGAGAGGAGCGGAGAGGAGAGGAGCGGAGAGGAGCGGAGAGGAGAGGAGAGGAGAGGAGAGGAGAGGAGAGGAGAGGAGAGGAGAGGAGAGGAGAGGAGAGGAGAGGAGAGGAGAGGAGAGGAGAGGAGAGGAGAGGAGAGGAGAGGAGAGGAGAGGAGAGGAGAGGAGAGGAAGGAAAGAAGAAAGGAAGGAAAGAAGAAAGGAAGGAAGGAGATGAGAGGAGATGAAGGAAGGAAGGAAGGAAGGAAGGAAGGAAGGAAGGAAGGAAGGAAGGAAGGAAGGAAGGAAGGAAGGAAGGAAGGAAGGAAGGAAGGAAGGAAGGAAGGAAGGAAGGAATTTGCTGTTGAATGATGATATAATAATAATAAAACATGAGATCCGATTGGATGGAAAAGAACTGATTCTAAATCAGAGGCATGGAATGGATGTTGAGGCCTAATGGAAACGGCGTGCCGTCGGTCGGGGCCAAAGAGCCGTTAGAAGCGGCCCTTCAGATAAACATGGTGGACAGACGGGTTCAGTGAGGCGTCTGGTTGGTTGCTCACCTCCAGGGTGAAGACGCCGATGACAGGTTTGTGGTCGCTGACGCTGTACTCCATCTTACTGGTGTAGAGGTTCAGCCTGACCTGCAGGGGGTGCTCCTCTTCCTCATTATGCTTCCTCTCCTTCAGGACGTTTTGCTCCTCGGGGGGCGGGGATTTGGGTCGGACCCGCCACAGGATGCGGTCGGTCCACGCCGGTTTTCGCTTCTTCGCGCTGGACAGGAAGAAATATGTAGGAGTCAGTTTGGAAACAAAAGGATTTAACTTTTATATTAGTGTTTATATCACATTTATGTTTTATATGGAACCAAATTCATACCGACATTTATGGAGGGAATTCTGTTCCATTATTTTTGCAGCAATGAACATGAGTCATTAATAGAAATTGGAAAAAAATGTAATCTAGACATGAAACTATGAAAATATTACTTTAGGTAAAAAGTTACTGTTTTCCCTGATTTTCTAAAATAAAATATAAAACTGTTTTTTTTTTCCATCAGTTTCACAGATTTTACATTTCAGAAAATTCTGTTAACTCTGGGGGCGGGGGGGAGTAGTGAAGGCGCGTTCCTATTGGTCTGCTAGATGTTAGCAACATTTTTATTGGGTTTGAAGTGAAACAACAAGATCTATAAAATATAATGAATATAATCCAGAAAAATGCCATCTGAAAAACCAAAACTTGGAATAAAAACTATGAAACCATAAAAAGACAACTTTATCAAAAATAGAAAACTTGAAATTGAGTAAAAGTAATCTGAAAGAAAGCAGTAAAGTTACTCTTAAAACATTGTTTTGATTCTGACATTTTTCTGTTTCATGTCTGGATTGAATTTTTTTTTTTTTTATTGGATTAAAAATAGTTTTTTGCAAAAATAATGGAACAAAGTTCCCTCCATACTCGCCTCCCTTCCATTGCTGAAAGTTTTCTCCTAAATCAGTAGAAATCCTGCAGTGAAATCAAAGGGAGGAGCTTTTCCAGCATTTCCATTAATAACATGAATGGACAGAAATATTAATAATCATTTTCTATATTAATAAACATGCTCTGTTTAATGTAGACACTAGGAAGCAGTGAGGTGGTGTTAATGGGGGTTAATATGGACCCAGCTGTGGGGAAAACTCCATCTATGTCAAGTAAATCAGATCAGATCTTAGTTTACAATAAATTGATCATTTGGATTAATTAACGAGTTTAAAAGTCCTCTCTGTGTGTGTCAGTAATCCCAGAGGTCCGTTTATCCTTCAGCATTGATGCTGATGAGGATTCTCAGTCATCCAGGTCAGAGTCATTCTAAAAAAAAAAAAAAAAAAAACAAAAAACAATCTTTATTTCCTCGTTTGAAGACGTTCCTCTTCCATCCAGGAAGCTTTTTCAATTCAAAATGCTTGAAATAGTGTGAAGGGAAGGAATCCTGTCGCTGCATTGTAGATTATTGAAAGATTTAAGCCCCGTTTCCACGACCCTTCAAAAACCGATCGGGTCCGAGCTCGGCCTGGTTAACTGATCCGAGCTCGGCCCAGTTAACCAGGCCGAGCTCGGTTCTGACGACCATTTACACATCACGCTATCTCGGTTCCTCGACTCCTCGCCTCCTAGTGACGATCTGCGGTATTACTGCCAGTATTAAAGGAGGAAATCAAGCAGTTGGTGGCGGTAATGCACCAAAAGTTGTTTGCCAACCGCCATAAAACACAAGAAGAAGAAGACGAAGAAGGAGGGAATCAAGCAAATCAAAACGGCGGCACCCGTCACTTTCAGAAAGTTATGCTTGATTACGGTATTATTGCTGTACTTCGGTGTTTGCGGAGGGTCAGGCAAAGACGGCAACATTTATTTAAAATATTGCGTGGAGAAGATTTTGATTGTTGTTTATAGTTGTTGTTCTTCTTCTGTTTTGTGTTGGTTGGCAAGCAACTTTCAGAGGGGCATTACCGCCAACTAGTGGAATGGAGTGTGAATCGCGATGTGCAGCCAGACGGAGATGACGCGTTCTGCTCATGCGCTCTTGTTATCAGAGAACCGAGCCGAGCCCACCTCTGGAACTGGTCTGCAGTTAGCGCGGTTCGGTTCAGTTTGCTTTCCATTTACACACGATAAGTTATCTCGGACCGGTCTCGGCACGGTTTCTCAATGGTAGTGTAAACGGGGTAAATGTCTTAAGGGGGGGGGGGGGGGGGGGGGCCCAGATTTCAGCTTTCAAAAACCTCCAATGCAGCGATAGAGTTGATTCCTTCCCGCTATCATCGCAGCTCCAACCCCTTTACAGGAGAACAGAAGACCTCACCTGTTCAGCCAGGCCAACAATTCCCTCTAACGACCCCCCTTTCAGAGACATAGACAGGTATGGGGCATTGCAGGCTAACAAAGAAGCCAAACCACCCCCATTCCAAAGGGGGGGACCCGTTCATCCGTTTCTATTTGCATGTTTTCTAAACTAAAACCAGGCTTTGTTGGGCTGCTGGATAAAACCTGGAACTAAACGCTATTTCTGACATTTTGAAGTGAAAAATCTTCCTGGATGGAAGAGAAACGTCTTCAAACTTGGAAACAAAGTCCAGGGGATTTATTATTAACTTTTTTCAGCAGTAATGAGTCTTTGTGTCAAAGAGAAGCTGGATTTGTTTTTTTCAAAACTTTTAACTCTGCTTGTTTCTGTCACCTGATTTAGGGGTTAAAATGTCGGGTTTAAATCATGTGACTAATCCCTGGAGGTTAAAAAGGTGCATAAGCTGGTATTAAAGCGCGGTTAGATGAATCAGCAGAGGCAGAATACAGAGCAAAGCTAAAGTATTCAGACCTCTAAAATGTTTGGGGTTTTTCTCAGATCTTCATTACAAACACAAACTTTAATGTAAAAATGATCCCAAAATTATTCATACCTCAGACTGATTTAGACTCTGAGAGCAAAAATAAAATAAATTATGTAAAATTGGTATATTTCTTAAATCTGAATAATCCATCTGGACTCTACCTGCCATCTTTCATCTTCTACAGACATTCTGCATAAAAAAATAATTATCAAGGAGTTAAACTCAAAAGGTTAAATAAAAGCTGCTAGAATGGATTGTTATGTTACAACGACTATTAGGGCCACGCTAGAGATTTGTTTTTTCTATTTCGAGAATAAAGTCCTAAAATTATGAGAATAAAATCATCATACCACAACCCGTTTCAGAAAGAAAGCTTTTTGGCATGCAGGTGGAGCAGCGATTAGCGTGGAGGCCCCATGTACGGAGGCCTTAGTCCTCCATGCAGCCGACACAGGTTTAAATCTGACCTGTGGCCCTTTACAGCATGTCTCTCCCCCTTTCGAGTCAGCCTACTGCCAGAAAAACGAGCCACTAGGGCCGTAACAGGTTGTAGCTCCGCCCATCAGATGACGGCCGCTTTGTCCACTTTGACATCCTGCCCAGTTTGATGCTGCTGCTAAAAGATTTCCTGATTTGTCAATCCGATTCATGTGTCGCAGCTAATATACGCAACGGTTGAAACCAGAATCCTTTCCTTTCCCATTGAGTTGCGTCCCAGTGTTCACGGGGATGGACGTCTGTGTCTTCGGCAGGCGTAGAGCTAACAGAACTGGCAGCGTTGCGAGGCAAGGGCTCAAACATGGACGGCTGGAAGCCTTCTACACCAAACCAAGCTTCTGCCGCCCTGGCGTCCTCTTCTACAACATCTTCGTCCCCGCTTTCCTCCTCTAAATAAAAAATGGATGACGGAGGAGACTCATCCACGACCTCCGACACTAAACTCTCCTCCTCTTGCATGTTTCCTCTGTCCATAGCGTTCCTTGACAGCGTCGTTTCTAAGTCACCAATTTAGTGCTAGCAGGTTCCCAATGGAATTTCCCATTGGGAACCTGCTAGCACTAAGATGCTAACTGGTTAGCAAGATGCTTCCAACAAACCGGCCACAACCAAACATGCTTGTGAACCTTCTGCCTCAGCAATCCCGCCCTGTGTAAAGTCGGGCACCACTCGGGAGAATTTGGAAATGCACGGTTGGAACGGCTGCTTCTCTACAACTTTAATACCGGATAAAGTTCACTATTCTGCACAAAAGCGGTAAAAAGAACAACAACCATGGCGGACGATGATGCAGAGAGCAGTATTTATGTTTAACCATATTGAAAAAAATGTTTTTAAAGTTGGGAACGCGGCATCAGGTTTGTGGTGTGAACGCAGCATCAGATTAACTGGTTTCTCTAAAGGGGAAAACAATCCAGACTTCCCAAAAAAATTAATTCTTAAAAATGAAAATTTGATTAATATCTAAAATCCATTAATTAGCACAGTAAAATGAACCTTGGTTAGAATTACCATTAGCATTAGCGGACCTTGCAACCAGCTAGCTAACAGTAAGGAAAAAAAGAGCAGATGAGCGCCACCTGCTGGGTGGGAGGAGTTAAAACGTGCAGCCCTCACCTTTAGCTAGATTCTCTATTGGATTCCATTTCAATTAATGTGAAAGAGGTATGAATAATTTTGACCCAAACATAGATTTTGTTATGCTTCATGTTAAGAAATCACATTAATGCCATTTAAAACACATTCTAGTTTGTTCTTCTAACTCAGATTTGTTGAGGAGCCAGCGTGCCTCTAGGGGGCGCTGTATTCTGATTAACCTCTATGGACCCTTACTTAAAGCCAAACCATGATGCGTAGAGCCTGTAAAGTTAAACAGAGCGGAAGATAAAACGATGTGAAATCATTTGGTGATTTTAATCATGGTGTTGATCTGGATCCGATTACCTGCTGTCATAAGTGTCTGAATTCAAATCAAATTTATAGGACGGCTGAAAGTCCAGAGGTCCTTCTTCAAAGTCCTGCAGCAGCGGCTCCTTCTTCTTCAGCATCGTCAACTGAAAACAGAACCAGAACCTGCTTCTCAGAACCAGAACCGGTGTGATTAATCAGTGAGCAGGCGGCGAACGGGTCCGACCTGGTCGCGACTCCACAGCAGGTCGTAGGTCTGGTTGTTGATACAGGAGCGGATAAAGTGCATGCCGTGGTCCTGGATCCTGAAGTTCAGATCTCCGAACCAGAACACCAGCCTGGATGCGCAGACGGCAGAGATGAAGCGGGAGAACGTCGCCGCTTGGATGACGGAGGCGCGGCGGTTTGCTCACCTGTGGTCGACGATTCTGGGAGCTTTCTTACAATCAAACGTCTGCGTCTCCATGATGTACTCAAACTCCTCCACCCGTTCACTGGCGTAGTTCATATGAGCAGCCAGGTGGCAGTTAAGGAAGCAGAGCATGTGTCCATAGAAGGACAGACGGACGGAAACCCCGCCTTTGTTCCCCTGATGGACCAAAGGGAGGAGAGGCAGTCAGACATTAAGGACATAAAAAACTCTCCTGGGGGGAAACCTGCGGTAACGAGGACCTTCTAGTTCCCACCTCTACCTGCTGGACTGAAATCGGGAACAAAGACCCACCTTTTTAGGCCCCAGTGACCCCGGGGTCCCACAGACCACCTGGATGATGCTAAACCACAGCAACTCTCAACTTCCAGTACAAAGGCAGCCATATTGCTCCTCCCACCTGAGCACTACTCTACCACCAGGCCCTGATCGGCTAACCAATCAGAGGACCTGGATATTTCCCAGTCTTAGTTTTGGTCCCAAAGGCTGTTGATCGTTTTTCTTGTTCTTTTGTTCAGCCAGACGCCATCTTCCATCCCTGCGCTGTCTCCATCTACACCGCCAGCTTGTTTCCCCTGCGCTCCCTGAGTTAAGGCACCCTCGGTTGGTCAACGGTGTATAAAAGACGGAGTAAAGGAGCGAAGGCAGCGTGGAGAAACCCAGAATTAGGAAGAGGAAAGTTCTGGAAACAGATGCAGCTGAATTAGGGATGGAACGATTTATGAAAACCGTCCGAACCGTTCGGTTCGACTGTCTCGGTTCGGTTCGCGTGTGTTACGTTTGGTTCATGCGCTGCTCCTTTTTCTCATAGGCGAAGCGTTTACACTCCAGAGCAGAAGGTGGCGGTACTGCGACCAAAGCCAACCACCAGTAGTAAACAAGAAGAAGAAGAAGCGAAGCAGCCTAGCCGGGTGTAGCAGGGAAAAATCAGTTGTTGTGGAGAATTGTGTGGGTATGGCGAGTGGGAAAGAACAGGAGTTGGAAGACGCGCCAGCAGCACTTTATAGGTCTGCTGTATGGGACCACTTTGCATTTAGAGTGACCTACGATGACGGCGGGAAGAAAGCTGTGGATAAAAGTGCAACAGTGTGCAAGCATTGCGCAACACGTTTTGTTTATGTTAACAGCAACATGACCAACATGTCAGGCTAACCCCGAATCCCTCATACTCCGTCAGCGCTCCGCCCCGCTGCGCTCCAGACCGGCTGCTCAAAGCAAAGCCTACAGCCTCCACTGTGGCTCCCGTCCGCTCCGCTCCGAGTTCCTTGGAGATGGTAGAGAGCATGCGCCAGATGATTCCATTCAAAGCAGCAAAACATGCGGAAATGATCCAGGGTTTCCGCGGATCATTAAAAATAATTACAATTCATTAATTTTTTGGGATTCTTTTCATTAATTTTTATGGGATTACGGGGTAACAATCAACATATACCGAACTGAACCGTGGATTTTGTGAACCGTTCCACCCCTACCCGTTTTATAACCTCCAGGTCAGAATTAGATTCGCTGCATCAGAACAGATACGCTGAATCAACAATCACACGTTTTCAATCTATCATCTTCATTTCTATCGGTCTATCAGAATAAACCCCAGAAAATCCATCAGTTCCTGATTTTCCTGAAGCACAGAGGACTTCCTTCAGGTTCCTGCGATGCATCAGTGGGAACCAGTGCGTGTTTCACGGCTCACCCAGTAACCAAACATGCCGGTGCGGGTGAAGGCGGCCCGGATGTCTCTGATGAAGGGGACGTGTTCCAGCTTGGAGAAGAAGAGCAGCAGCAGACCCTGCATTCTGATGGACCACACCTGGAGGGCGTCATGTGACATCACGTCAAAGCTCAGCTGTGACCTCTGACCTTGACAGGAAGAGATGCACCGACCCGAGATCAGCTTCGCCATTCTGAAGCTAACATCAGGCTTCATCCTGTGCTCGGAAAATTTAGTTTCTCTCATTTCATATATTAATTTATCCTTTTTACTCACAATCAAAGTTTCACTCAACCAGTTTCAACTGTAAAGCCGGGCGTGCACTGTGGGAGTTTTTTACCCTTATCGGGGTGACTTTCATCCTGATGGTGCATGGTGTAGCGTACAGGGGGTAACGAGGGGCGATCAGTCTCTAACGACCCCCCCCCATCAGGAACCGTAAGGTTGGGAGAAAATCAAACATGTTTGTAATTCAGTCGGCCTTCTTAAGGTGGTCGTTAGCAATCGCTCAGTGGGAAAACAAGGATTCTTCTTCTTCCTCTCTGCTGTAAACCCAGCAGCATGGCGGGGGGGCAACGAGTGAAATGGAGTTCTTTCTGTCAAACTGTCAGACCGTTAGCTCAGCCATTTCTTTGTCCAAATACGTCGTCTCCTTTTCTTTTTAGGGCTTTCAGCACTAAATTGCCCAAATATCCAAGGCAGCGCGTTTCACTCTAGTGAGCTTCATGTTCCTCTGCTACTGGTTTGGCTTCCAGATAGACGAGTCCGAGTAGCGCCATCTCACCGCGGAGCTGAGTCACACCTGGTTTTTAGACGTGAGCAGGTAGATCACATCAGAGCGTCGGGCTGAACATCATGAGCTTTGAATTAGGGATTCACGATATTGGGATTTTGGCCGATATCCGATATGTCGATATTTTGAAACTCATGTAGCCGATAACCGATATCGATACCGATGTTAAAGCTGGACAAAAATAAGTAGTCATTGAAAATAGCAGTTTTGTTATCCATTTCTGACACTTTGAAAAATAATATACTCAAATATATTTTCATATGCTGATATCAAATTGATTTTTAAAAACGCGGTATCGATCTATTTTACTTTCAGAATCTCGTGAAATTTCATCGTTCTGTAACAAACTCTCGTGATATTTTGCAAATTCTTGTGAGATTTTGTTAGTAAAATAGATCGATACCGCGTCAATATATCAACATATAAAAATATGGCAAAATTTGTGAATTTTCGGGGGTTTCGTAGCATAACGATGACATATAGCAATATTTCATTAGTAAAAGAGATTGATATGGTGTTTTTAAATGGCAATATATCAGCATATGAAGATATTGGGATATTTTAATGGATCAATATTTTTTCCCTGGTCTTTAGAAGTTTTTAAGTCTGTAAAAAATAAGTTTTTTTTAGACTTTAGAAACTCAGAAGCTGATAAAATATCGGGTAAAATATCAGTGGGGTGGCCGATGTCCGATATTCAGTTTTAAGGCCGATACCGATAGGGGGCCGATTATATCGTGCATCCCTACTTTGAACTCACACTGTGTGACTAAACCCTGAGTATTCGTCATATAGTGTGAGCTATAGCTGCGTGCAACGATTGAAAAAAAAAAATCACGCAGTGTACGCCCGGCTTAAAGCCACACCATTCCCCTTAGTGACGACAGAGCTTCTTCCCATAACAAACCAGATTCTCTATAGGGTATCTGGTCCTTCAGGTCTCTAATAGGGTGATAGAATGATTCTATAGGGTATCTGGTCCTTCAGGTCTCTAATAGGGTGATAGAATGATTCTATAGGGTATCTGGTCCTTCAGGTCTCTAATAGGGTGATAGAATGATTCTATAGGGTATCTGGTCCTTCAGGTCTCTAATAGGGTGATAGAATGATTCTATAGGGTATCTGGTCCTTCAGGTCTCTAATAGGGTGATAGAATGATTGTATAGGGTATCTGGTCCTTCAGGTCTCTAATAGGGTGATAGAATGGTTCTATAGGGTATCTGGTCCTTCAGGTCTCTAATAGGGTGATGGAATGATTCTATAGGGTATCTGGTCCTTCAGGTCTCTAATAGGGTGATAGAATGATTCTATAGGGTATCTGGTCCTTCAGGTCTCTAATAGGGTGATAGAATGGTTCTATAGGGTATCTGGTCCTTCAGGTCTCTAATAGGGTGATAGAATGATTCTATAGGGTATCTGGTCCTTCAGGTCTCTAATAGGGTGATATAATGATTCTCTAGGGTATCTGGTCCTTCAGGTCTCTAATAGGGTGATAGAATGATTCTATAGGGTATCTGGTCCTTCAGGTCTCTAATAGGGTGATGGAATGATTCTATAGGGTATCTGGTCCTTCAGGTCTCTAATAGGGTGATAGAATGATTCTATAGGGTATCTGGTCCTTCAGGTCTCTAATAGGGTGATAGAATGATTCTATAGGGTATCTGGTCCTTCAGGTCTCTAATAGGGTGATGGAATGATTCTATAGGGTATCTGGTCCTTCAGGTCTCTAATAGGGTGATGGAATGATTCTATAGGGTATCTGGTCCTTCAGGTCTCTAATAGGGTGATGGAATGATTCTATAGGGTATCTGGTCCTTCAGGTCTCTAATAGGGTGATAGAATGATTCTATAGGGTATCTGGTCCTTCAGGTCTCTAATAGGGTGATAGAATGATTCTATAGGGTATCTGGTCCTTCAGGTCTCTAATAGGGTGATGGAATGATTCTATAGGGTATCTGGTCCTTCAGGTCTCTAATAGGGTGATAGAATGATTCTATAGGGTATCTGGTCCTTCAGGTCTCTAATAGGGTGATAGAATGATTCTATAGGGTATCTGGTCCTTCAGGTCTCTAATAGGGTGATAGAATGATTCTATCGGGTATCTGGTCCTTCAGGTCTCTAATAGGGTGATGGAATGATTCTATAGGGTATCTGGTCCTTCAGGTCTCTAATAGGGTGATAGAATGATTCTATAGGGTATCTGGTCCTTCAGGTCTCTAATAGGGTGATAGAATGATTCTATCGGGTATCTGGTCCTTCAGGTCTCTAATAGGGTGATAGAATGATTCTATAGGGTATCTGGTCCTTCAGGTCTCTAATAGGGTGATAGAATGATTCTATAGGGTATCTGGTCCTTCAGGTCTCTAATAGGGTGATAGAATGATTCTATAGGGTATCTGGTCCTTCAGGTCTCTAATAGGGTGATAGAATGATTCTATAGGGTATCTGGTCCTTCAGGTCTCTAATAGGGTGTGTAACATTGGTTGGGCTGAAAATGGCATATTAGCTGTTCTAAGAGCCCTAATGCAGCCTGGTTAAAAGCCCTAGAATGAAACCACAGGTCTTTCTTCCTTTTATGGTTTGATCATGAATATTTAGATGAGCTGTGCTCTAATTGGTCGGTTTACAACGAGCCAAGCTGCTGAGCAAAGACGCATCATAGCAACAAGCACTCACTCACTGAAACATCAGATTGTTGATATGGTAGGGGGACCAGACGTCCTCTCTTTCCCGGACATGTCCCACTTTTCAGACCTAAAAAATGTCCGGGGGAAAATTCAAAATCGTCTGGGATTTTGGTCGACTACAGTGCAGGACGTAGTGGAAACAGGGAGCCAGCGGGGGGCGGAACAACCGAACCCGACCCCGTGACAGCGTGACCTGGACAACAGCAGCCCCGTGCTTCCCAGGCGGGGGGAAGCCGTCACCAGGTCGGGTTCTGTCGCTGCGTCTCCTGGTGGGGTCCGGTCCGGTCCAGTCGGCGAACATGAGCCTCTCAGGAGAGAAATCTCTTCTCTTCTATTTCTATGATCACTCAGCGATGATGAGCTCTGCACAGGTCAGCATTCAGAGAGGAACAGATGTGGGTCGGTGCATCTCTCAGTGTCACATGCTGCAGGGGGAGGACGCCTACCTTCACATAACCCCGCGGCGCCAGCGTAGAAACGAACAGCTGACTCCACGGATCGTCGAAGATCATGTCTGACACAAACCTCAGCGGTCCGGAGTAAACTTCCTGCAGGCTGAGAACATCCAGATCATTTATTTACATTCATCCTTTCTTTACTCTAGTGGAACCAGAGCAGAAGCTGCTTCCTACCCGATGACATAGAGGTCTGCGGTCTTTGGCGAGTTCAGGTGGAGGAGCGAGGCCACGTCAGCAGGAGGATCAGCAGTCGCCACGTTCCACGTCACCATGTGAAGTCTGCAGGATCAGAAAATATTAGAAAACATTCAGACTCTGATCCTGAACATCTGAATCATTCAGAGAAAAGGTTTCTGCCAATGGCTGAACAGAATCTACTGATTGACAGGTCAGGTTAGAGGGACAGGCGGTCCTCTGCTCCACCCGCTCCACCTGAAGCTCTTCTTCCTGGGCTTGCTGGCGCTCTTGGAGCAGGACAGAAAGGCGCCGTCCAGGGTCCGCACCACTTTCTCATGCAGCTCAGACTTGGGGTCCAGGTCGTCCAGGCAGGTCATCAGCTGGCTGAGGCGGTGGCGCAGGGCCAGCTTGCTGCCAGTGGACTGCGTGGCATCAGAGGAGAGGGTGTCGCTGCGGGCGCGGCCCATGGCGCCCAGCAGCCGGCTGATTTCATCCATTCTGGCTGCAGATCCAGGGAAGCGAGGAGGTTTGATGAATGATTCTAGTAGAAATTGAAAACGGAGCGAAAGGCAAAGGAAGGAGCGAGCAGAGAGCGTTTCCAGAGGGAAGGAGGAACGCCGCGCTCTGGTTTATGTTCTCTGGCTGGACGGGCGATTAGAGAACGGCTCCGTTCTTTACACTCTAAACTTCACCTCTAATCTGATGGAAAAATGTCCAAACAATAGGCCTATTAAAGGAGTTGAGAAACTAGAAATCCTCCCTGTGAGCCGCTGAGAGCCGCGCCGCTCCGGCCTCAGCGGCTCCGCGGGTTTTCACTCCAAATCCGCATCAGCTGAGCGCCGTTGGGAAACTAATCCACCTCCCAGAGGGCTGCAGGGTCTGTCCCAGCAGCTGGATTACAGGACAGACAGACGGACTGAGAGACTTCAACTTTATGGTCATTACGCTGTCAGAGCAACGAAATGAACTCTGCATTTAATCCCTCCCCCTGGGCAGCTGAGGACTGCCATGGTGCGGCGCCCGGGGAGCAGGGTGGGGGTAAGGGTCTGGCTCAGGGACCCAGAGGGGCAGTCTGTGAGAGTGGGGCTGGAACTCAGAACCTCTAAGAACCAAAGCTCTAACCACTGGGCAACCACTCGCAATATCCATAGACAGACCCTCCATCACATGGAGGAGGAGCAGGAGGAGGAGCAGGAGGCTGCAGAGGGAGAGGAAATTCATTCTATTCAGTTTATTTCTATAGCTCCAATTCACATTCAAAGTTTTCTATCTAAGGAGTATGGGGCCAAAATGGTAGCTTTAACATTTGCAAATGTGTGTGGAGAGTTGTGTGTCTGTATCTCGATTTGTGTGTGTGCAGTGGGATTTGAAAATGTGTAAATAAATCTGTAAATGTGTGAGGAGATTTGTCTGTCTGTACAACAATCTGCAAATGTGTAAAACTACTTGTGTGTAATCAGTTTTGCAAATGTGTAAAAAATCCAAAAATCTGTATTCAGATCTGCAAATGTGTACTGAGACTTGCAAATGTGTAGATCAATCTGTGAGCACACACAGAGACACTTGTGTCTGAAGTATTTTCGCTTCAAGACCCAGAAATACAGACAAATCATTGGTTACAAGTCAAGCGGTTTTTCGGTTGGCTCTCTTTACACACGTGATTTTTGCTACTCTTCTGCCGCGTGAGATGCACAAATGCGTAGAAGGATTTGTATGTGTATTTTCGCGATTTGTAACCCCTTGCGCAGGCTCGCAGGCTCACATGCTGCCCTGACCGCAGGCTCACAGGCTCACAGACAGCCTCTCTCTGCTGCGGCAGTTCAGCACATCTTGCTTCACATACAGCCACATACCACCAGTTGGCGGTATTGTACAGTACGTGACGTTACTGGGGTCCTAGGGGTTGTACCTGCTAAGTTGAGAGCAATGGAATCCTGTCAGCTTTCTGTAAGTATATTTCTTTAATTTTTTCTATAGTTTGCATTAGTAAAACTGTTTCTTCTTCTTCTGCTTCTGTTTTATGGCGGCTGGCAAGCAACTTTATGATGTGCATTACCGCCATCTACTTCAGTGGAGTGTGGATCGGGATGCTATGTATTTTCCCACTGAAAAATAAAAATAAATATTAACAATATTTACATAAATAAACTTATATCCTTTCTACCAATTTCTTTTTTTCAAGATTGTTTATCAAATTACAAAAATAATCATAAGTAGATTTTTTTCCCCCCAAAATATCTTGTATATTTAACTGTAATTTATTTTCTTGTAACCCTTCTCTCCATAGAATATTTATAACAAAACAACAAAACATGCTCCACCGTCTCCCCTTGATAACAAAAACCACAACCTCCTGTTCCCATTCTAAATAAGTTTCCATTTAACCCAGTGTTTCCGAAACTTAATCTAGATATAACCTCTTTTTTATTCCTTTCCGTTCTCCTCATTTCACCAATTTTCCTTTGAATACTATAAAGCCAACTTCCAGTTCTATGCTCTTCCCACAGCTTCTGCCATCTTTCCGTAACCTTTTGTTTAATAATAGATTAAATTTTTTCCTTACTGAATGGTATCAATATATCATCCTTGTCACGTCAACTCCCACAGCGGAAGGAAAAAAAAAAAGGTAGGGGCTGTCTGTGAGCCTGCGAGCCTGCGGTCAGGGCAGCATGTGAGCCTGCGGTCAGGGCAGCATGTGAGCCTGCGAGCCTGCGCAAGGGGTTACAAATCGCAAAAATACACATACAAATCCTTCTACGCATTTGTGCATCTCACGCGGCAGAAGAGTAGCAAAAATCACGTGTGTAAAGAGAGCCAACCGAAAAACCGCTTGACTTGTAACCAATGATTTGTCTGTATTTCTGGGCCTTGAAGCGAAAATACTTCAGACACAAGTGTCTCTGTGTGTGCTTACAGATTGATCTACACATTTGCAGATCTGAGTACAGATTTGTGGATTTTTTACACATTTGCAAAACGGATTACACACAAGTAGTTTTACACATTTTCAAATCCCACTGCACACACACAAATCGAGATACAGACACACAACTCTCCACACACATTTGCAAATGTTAAAGCTACCATTTTGGCCCCATAAAGGAAAACCAGCTGATTGCATCGACTCATTGACTCTTCAGCAATCCCTCACACTAAGCATGCTTGTAGCGACAGTGGAGAGGAAAAACTCCCTTTGAACAGGAAGAAACCTCCAGCAGAACCAGGCTCAGTGTGAGCGGCCATCTGCTGAGGCCTCCTAAATGAGCCTCCTTCTCTCTGCTTTAAGCGCCTCCTTCCTCCATGTCTCCCGATGGAGCCTCCTTCCCTCTGCTTTAAGCGCCTCCTTCCTCCATGTCTCCTGATGGAGCCTCCTTCCCTCTGCTTTAAGCGCCTCCTTCCTCCATGTCTCCTGATGGAGCCTCCTTCCCTCTGCTTTAAGCGCCTCCTTCCTCCATGTCTCCTGATGGAGCCTCCTTCCCTCTGCTTTAAGCGCCTCCTTCCTCCATGTCTCCTGATGGAGCCTCCTTCCCTCTGCTTTAAGCGCCTCCTTCCTCCATGTCTCCTGATGGAGCCTCCTTTCCTCTGCTTTAAGCACCTCCTTCCTCCATGTCTCCCGATGGAGCCTCCTTCCCTCTGCTTTAAGCGCCTCCTTCCCTCTGCTTTAAGCACCTCCTTCCTCCATGTCTCCCGATGGAGCCTCCTTCCCTCTGCTTTAAACGCCTCCTTCCCTCTGCTTTAAGCGCCTCCTTCCCTCTGCTTTAAGCACCTCCTTCCTCCATGTCTCCCGATGGAGCCTCCTTCCCTCTGCTTTAAGCGCCTCCTTCCCTCTGCTTTAAGCGCCTCCTTCCCTCTGCTTTAAGCGCCTCCTTCCCTCTGCTTTAAGCGCCTCCTTCCCTCTGCTTTAAGCGCCTCCTTCCCTCTGCTTTAAGCGCCTCCTTCCTCCATGTCTCCCGATGGAGCCTCCTTCCCTCTGCTTTAAGCGCCTCCTTCCTCCATGTCTCCCGATGGAGCCTCCTTCCCTCTGCTTTAAGCGCCTCCTTCCCTCTGCTTTAAGCACCTCCTTCCTCCATGTCCCCCTGATGGAGCCTCCTTCCCTCTGCTTTAAGCGCCTCCTTCCCTCTGCTTTAAGTGCCTCCTTTCCTCTGCTTTAAGCGCCTCCTTCCCTCTGCTTTAAGCGCCTCCTTCCCTCTGCTTTAAGCGCCTCCTTCCTCCATGTCTCCCGATGGAGCCTCCTTCCCTCTGCTTTCAGCGCCTCCTTCCCTCTGCTTTAAGCGCCTCCTTCCCTCTGCTTTAAGCGCCTCCTTCCCTCTGCTTTAAGCACCTCCTTCCTCCATGTCTCCTGATGGAGCCTCCTTCCCTCTGCTTTAAGCACCTCCTTCCCTCTGCTTTAAGCGCCTCCTTCCCTCTGCTTTAAGCACCTCCTTCCTCCATGTCTCCTGATGGAGCCTCCTTCCCTCTGCTTTAAGCACCTCCTTCCCTCTGCTTTAAGCGCCTCCTTCCCTCTGCTTTAAGCGCCTCCTTCCCTCTGCTTTAAGCGCCTCCTTCCCTCTGCTTTAAGCGCCTCCTTCCCTCTGCTTTAAGCGCCTCCTTCCCTCTGCTTTAAGCGCCTCCTTCCCTCTGCTTTAAGCACCTCCTTCCTCCATGTCTCCTGATGGAGCCTCCTTCCCTCTGCTTTAAGCACCTCCTTCCTCCATGTCTCCTGATGGAGCCTCCTTCCCTCTGCTTTAAGCGCCTCCTTCCCTCTGCTTTAAGCGCCTCCTTCCCTCTGCTTTAAGCACCTCCTTCCTCCATGTCTCCCGATGGAGCCTCCTTCCCTCTGCTTTAAGCGCCTCCTTCCCTCTGCTTTAAGCGCCTCCTTCCCTCTGCTTTAAGCGCCTCCTTCCCTCTGCTTTAAGCGCCTCCTTCCCTCTGCTTTAAGCGCCTCCTTCCTCCATGTCTCCCGATGGAGCCTCCTTCCCTCTGCTTTAAGCGCCTCCTTCCTCCATGTCTCCCGATGGAGCCTCCTTCCCTCTGCTTTAAGCGCCTCCTTCCCTCTGCTTTAAGCGCCTCCTTCCCTCTGCTTTAAGCGCCTCCTTCCCTCTGCTTTAAGCACCTCCTTCCTCCATGTCTCCCGATGGAGCCTCCTTCCCTCTGCTTTAAGCGCCTCCTTCCCTCTGCTTTAAGCGCCTCCTTCCCTCTGCTTTAAGCGCCTCCTTCCCTCTGCTTTAAGCACCTCCTTCCTCCATGTCCCCCTGATGGAGCCTCCTTCCCTCTGCTTTAAGCGCCTCCTTCCCTCTGCTTTAAGCGCCTCCTTCCCTCTGCTTTAAGCGCCTCCTTCCCTCTGCTTTAAGCGCCTCCTTCCCTCTGCTTTAAGCGCCTCCTTCCCTCTGCTTTAAGCGCCTCCTTCCCTCTGCTTTAAGCGCCTCCTTCCTCCATGTCTCCCGATGGAGCCTCCTTCCCTCTGCTTTAAGCGCCTCCTTCCTCCATGTCTCCCGATGGAGCCTCCTTCCCTCTGCTTTAAGCGCCTCCTTCCCTCTGCTTTAAGCGCCTCCTTCCCTCTGCTTTAAGCGCCTCCTTCCTCCAGGTCTCCCGATGGAGCCTCCTTCCCTCTGCTTTAAGCGCCTCCTTCCCTCTGCTTTAAGCGCCTCCTTCCTCCAGGTCTCCCGATGGAGCCTCCTTCCCTCTGCTTTAAGCGCCTCCTTCCCTCTGCTTTAAGCGCCTCCTTCCCTCTGCTTTAAGCACCTCCTTCCTCCATGTCTCCCGATGGAGCCTCCTTCCCTCTGCTTTAAGCGCCTCCTTCCCTCTGCTTTAAGCGCCTCCTTCCCTCTGCTTTAAGCGCCTCCTTCCCTCTGCTTTAAGCACCTCCTTCCTCCATGTCCCCCTGATGGAGCCTCCTTCCCTCTGCTTTAAGCGCCTCCTTCCCTCTGCTTTAAGCGCCTCCTTCCCTCTGCTTTAAGCGCCTCCTTCCCTCTGCTTTAAGCGCCTCCTTCCCTCTGCTTTAAGCGCCTCCTTCCCTCTGCTTTAAGCGCCTCCTTCCCTCTGCTTTAAGCGCCTCCTTCCTCCATGTCTCCCGATGGAGCCTCCTTCCCTCTGCTTTAAGCGCCTCCTTCCCTCTGCTTTAAGCGCCTCCTTCCCTCTGCTTTAAGCGCCTCCTTCCCTCTGCTTTAAGCGCCTCCTTCCTCCATGTCTCCCGATGGAACCTCCTTCCCTCTGCTTTAAGCGCCTCCTTCCTCCATGTCCCCCTGATGGAGCCTCCTTCCCTCTGCTTTAAGCGCCTCCTTCCCTCTGCTTTAAGCGCCTCCTTCCCTCTGCTTTAAGCGCCTCCTTCCCTCTGCTTTAAGCGCCTCCTTCCCTCTGCTTTAAGCGCCTCCTTCCCTCTGCTTTAAGCACCTCCTTCCTCCATGTCCCCCTGATGGAGCCTCCTTCCCTCTGCTTTAAGCGCCTCCTTCCCTCTGCTTTAAGCGCCTCCTTCCCTCTGCTTTAAGCGCCTCCTTCCCTCTGCTTTAAGCGCCTCCTTCCTCCATGTCTCCCGATGGAGCCTCCTTCCCTCTGCTTTAAGCGCCTCCTTCCCTCTGCTTTAAGCGCCTCCTTCCCTCTGCTTTAAGCGCCTCCTTCCCTCTGCTTTAAGCGCCTCCTTCCCTCTGCTTTAAGCGCCTCCTTCCCTCTGCTTTAAGCACCTCCTTCCTCCATGTCCCCCTGATGGAGCCTCCTTCCCTCTGCTTTAAGCGCCTCCTTCCCTCTGCTTTAAGCGCCTCCTTCCCTCTGCTTTAAGCGCCTCCTTCCCTCTGCTTTAAGCGCCTCCTTCCTCCATGTCTCCCGATGGAGCCTCCTTCCCTCTGCTTTAAGCGCCTCCTTCCTCCATGTCTCCCGATGGAGCCTCCTTCCCTCTGCTTTAAGCGCCTCCTTCCCTCTGCTTTAAGCGCCTCCTTCCTCCATGTCTCCCGATGGAGCCTCCTTCCCTCTGCTTTAAGCGCCTCCTTCCCTCTGCTTTAAGCGCCTCCTTCCTCCATGTCTCCCGATGGAGCCTCCTTCCCTCTGCTTTAAGCGCCTCCTTCCTCCATGTCTCCCGATGGAGCCTCCTTCCCTCTGCTTTAAGCACCCCCTTCCTCCATGTCTCCTGATGGAGCCTCCTTCCCTCTGCTTTAAGCGCCTCCTTCCCTCTGCTTTAAGCGCCTCCTTCCCTCTGCTTTAAGCGCCTCCTTCCCTCTGCTTTAAGCGCCTCCTTCCCTCTGCTTTAAGCGCCTCCTTCCCTCTGCTTTAAGCACCCCCTTCCTCCATGTCTCCTGATGGAGCCTCCTTCCCTCTGCTTTAAGCGCCTCCTTCCCTCTGCTTTAAGCGCCTCCTTTCCTCTGCTTTAAGCGCCTCCTTCCTCCAGGTCTCCCGATGGAGCCTCCTTCCCTCTGCTTTAAGCGCCTCCTTCCCTCTGCTTTAAGCGCCTCCTTCCCTCTGCTTTAAGCGCCTCCTTTCCTCTGCTTTAAGCGCCTCCTTCCTCCAGGTCTCCCGATGGAGCCTCCTTCCCTCTGCTTTAAGCGCCTCCTTCCCTCTGCTTTAAGCGCCTCCTTCCCTCTGCTTTAAGCACCCCCTTCCTCCATGTCTCCTGATGGAGCCTCCTTCCCTCTGCTTTAAGCGCCTCCTTCCCTCTGCTTTAAGCGCCTCCTTCCCTCTGCTTTAAGCGCCTCCTTCCTCCATGTCTCCTGATGGAGCCTCCTTCCCTCTGCTTTAAGCGCCTCCTTCCCTCTGCTTTAAGCGCCTCCTTTCCTCTGCTTTAAGCGCCTCCTTCCTCCAGGTCTCCCGATGGAGCCTCCTTCCCTCTGCTTTAAGCGCCTCCTTCCCTCTGCTTTAAGCGCCTCCTTCCCTCTGCTTTAAGCGCCTCCTTTCCTCTGCTTTAAGCGCCTCCTTCCTCCATGTCTCCTGATGGAGCCTCCTTCCCTCTGCTTTAAGCGCCTCCTTCCCTCTGCTTTAAGCGCCTCCTTCCCTCTGCTTTAAGCGCCTCCTTCCTCCATGTCTCCCGATGGAGCCTCCTTCCCTCTGCTTTAAGCGCCTCCTTCCCTCTGCTTTAAGCGCCTCCTTCCCTCTGCTTTAAGCGCCTCCTTCCCTCTGCTTTAAGCGCCTCCTTCCCTCTGCTTTAAGCGCCTCCTTCCCTCTGCTTTAAGCGCCTCCTTCCTCCATGTCTCCCGATGGAACCTCCTTCCCTCTGCTTTAAGCGCCTCCTTCCTCCATGTCCCCCTGATGGAGCCTCCTTCCCTCTGCTTTAAGCGCCTCCTTCCCTCTGCTTTAAGCGCCTCCTTCCCTCTGCTTTAAGCGCCTCCTTCCCTCTGCTTTAAGCGCCTCCTTCCCTCTGCTTTAAGCGCCTCCTTCCCTCTGCTTTAAGCACCTCCTTCCTCCATGTCCCCCTGATGGAGCCTCCTTCCCTCTGCTTTAAGCGCCTCCTTCCCTCTGCTTTAAGCGCCTCCTTCCCTCTGCTTTAAGCGCCTCCTTCCCTCTGCTTTAAGCGCCTCCTTCCTCCATGTCTCCCGATGGAGCCTCCTTCCCTCTGCTTTAAGCACCCCCTTCCTCCATGTCTCCCGATGGAGCCTCCTTCCCTCTGCTTTAAGCGCCTCCTTCCCTCTGCTTTAAGCGCCTCCTTCCCTCTGCTTTAAGCACCTCCTTCCCTCTGCTTTAAGCGCCTCCTTCCCTCTGCTTTAAGCGCCTCCTTCCCTCTGCTTTAAGCGCCTCCTTCCTCCAGGTCTCCCGATGGAGCCTCCTTCCCTCTGCTTTAAGCGCCTCCTTCCCTCTGCTTTAAGCGCCTCCTTCCCTCTGCTTTAAGCGCCTCCTTCCCTCTGCTTTAAGCGCCTCCTTCCCTCTGCTTTAAGCACCTCCTTCCTCCATGTCTCCTGATGGAGCCTCCTTCCCTCTGCTTTAAGCGCCTCCTTCCCTCTGCTTTAAGCGCCTCCTTCCCTCTGCTTTAAGCGCCTCCTTCCTCCAGGTCTCCCGATGGAGCCTCCTTCCCTCTGCTTTAAGCACCCCCTTCCTCCATGTCTCCTGATGGAGCCTCCTTCCCTCTGCTTTAAGCGCCTCCTTCCCTCTGCTTTAAGCGCCTCCTTCCCTCTGCTTTAAGCGCCTCCTTCCTCCAGGTCTCCCGATGGAGCCTCCTTCCCTCTGCTTTAAGCACCCCCTTCCTCCATGTCTCCTGATGGAGCCTCCTTCCCTCTGCTTTAAGCGCCTCCTTCCCTCTGCTTTAAGCGCCTCCTTCCTCCATGTCTCCCGATGGAGCCTCCTTCCCTCTGCTTTAAGCGCCTCCTTCCCTCTGCTTTAAGCGCCTCCTTCCCTCTGCTTTAAGCGCCTCCTTCCCTCTGCTTTAAGCACCCCCTTCCTCCATGTCTCCTGATGGAGCCTCCTTCCCTCTGCTTTAAGCACCCCCTTCCTCCATGTCTCCTGATGGAGCCTCCTTCCCTCTGCTTTAAGCGCCTCCTTCCCTCTGCTTTAAGCGCCTCCTTCCCTCTGCTTTAAGCACCCCCTTCCTCCATGTCTCCTGATGGAGCCTCCTTCCCTCTGCTTTAAGCGCCTCCTTCCCTCTGCTTTAAGCGCCTCCTTTCCTCTGCTTTAAGCGCCTCCTTCCTCCAGGTCTCCCGATGGAGCCTCCTTCCCTCTGCTTTAAGCGCCTCCTTCCCTCTGCTTTAAGCGCCTCCTTCCCTCTGCTTTAAGCGCCTCCTTTCCTCTGCTTTAAGCGCCTCCTTCCTCCAGGTCTCCCGATGGAGCCTCCTTCCCTCTGCTTTAAGCGCCTCCTTCCCTCTGCTTTAAGCGCCTCCTTCCCTCTGCTTTAAGCGCCTCCTTCCCTCTGCTTTAAGCGCCTCCTTCCCTCTGCTTTAAGCGCCTCCTTCCCTCTGCTTTAAGCGCCTCCTTTCCTCTGCTTTAAGCGCCTCCTTCCTCCAGGTCTCCCGATGGAGCCTCCTTCCCTCTGCTTTAAGCGCCTCCTTCCCTCTGCTTTAAGCGCCTCCTTCCCTCTGCTTTAAGCGCCTCCTTCCCTCTGCTTTAAGCACCCCCTTCCTCCATGTCTCCTGATGGAGCCTCCTTCCCTCTGCTTTAAGCACCCCCTTCCTCCATGTCTCCTGATGGAGCCTCCTTCCCTCTGCTTTAAGCGCCTCCTTCCCTCTGCTTTAAGCGCCTCCTTTCCTCTGCTTTAAGCGCCTCCTTCCTCCATGTCTCCTGATGGAGCCTCCTTCCCTCTGCTTTAAGCACCCCCTTCCTCCAGGTCTCCCGATGGAGCCTCCTTCCCTCTGCTTTAAGCACCCCCTTCCTCCATGTCTCCTGATGGAGCCTCCTTCCCTCTGCTTTAAGCACCTCCTTCCTCCATGTCTCCCGATGGAGCCTCCTTCCCTCTGCTTTAAGCACCTCCTTCCTCCATGTCTCCTGATGGTTTGTGGGAAAGAAAGAGGAAAGATGTTCTACCTGACTCCTTCCGTTTCTTTCTCCGCCTCCTGCTGATCATCTGGTTGCTCCTCCTTCTCCTCTGTCATCTCCTCACCTGGAAGGAGCAGATTCATCAGTTGATGACGCACTAAGGTGCTAACAGCAGAGCTAACCAAGTATTTCCTGAACATTTGAACGCATCATCTCTGCTTTCTGCAGCTCCTGCTAACTGCTAACTGCTAACCTTCCTGCTACATTATGTGTTGTTGTATTTTAAAGAAACTTCAGCTAGCTGCATGACGCAGAATCTTACAGAATATAAACTTTTAAGAAAAATAATAACATTTAAAGTAACAAACATGGTTTCCAATAATTTAACCGGAAACTACCTGGAATGCTTTTAGAGAAAGTATTTTGGACCCAAGGAAAGATCACAGTAGATCGAAGCTGCAGAGGGCGGAAGTTCAGTGCTGTTGTTTCCGCCCCCCACCGGAAGCGACGTAGGCCTTCAAAATAAAAGCATAAGCTCATTTTTTGTTTTACTTTCTTCTCACATAGAATATATCAGAAATATATATAGATATACATATTTATATATGTGTGTAAAATACTTAGTGACATAAATGAAAGAGGATAATGTGAGGCATTAAAAACTAAGGATCAAATATTCAGGCTGCATAAAGACCTGCTGTTCTGGAATATCACACAGATATTTAATAACAGAGAGATTTTTTAATTTGAAGAAGCAGAATTTTAGATGTTGATTTAGGATCAGTTTTGTTGTGGATGAGGTTCTGCAGACCATCTCCGCACAGTTGACCTCAGCTTCACCTCCTGCTATAGATGGTTTTTCTATGTGTGCATTTTTCTCTAAGGTACATGGAGTTAGGAGCCTACAGCCCAAAATGTTTAATAACAGACTTTTCTTTCTGACTGCAAACATTAGAGAACGAAACAAAAAGTCAATCTATTTCATGAAATAAAAATGTCTGAACTTTGTGGAACTCCAAAAGTGCTTATAGGATCATCAGCACCTCAGTCCATAACAGATCTGTTTTCAGTGGATCTACCTCCCAGACCAGCCCACTCTGTCCACCCAAAACTAGAACCAAACCTGGAGAAGGCAGCATCTGTGCTCCATGGATCTGGAACAAACTCCCAGCAGACTGGAAAAGAGTTGAAAGCCTGAGTCGGTTGAAGTTAAAAACCCATTTGTTTTTAAAACCAAGATGTCTGCTGGCTAGGAGGGAGTGTGTGGAGCTGTCATTAAATGACGTAAAAAACTACATTTATGGTATTCAGGGATTATTATAGACAATAAAAAAATAAAATAAAATTCAGGGATTATTGTAGACAATAAACTAGTTGGGAGCCTCACAACAAATATATTAGAAATAAAGTCGATAAACTGTTGGAATATTGTTTCAAATAAAAGATTGAATAAATATCAAAGGCCTGCATGTTATATCTTCCTCTTTGGTCATGCCTTATTTGTCTTGTTGTTCAGAAGTAAGAGTAAAACAATTATTGATAGGTTACTTAAGTGGCAAAAAAAAGCTCTCAGGCTTATTAATAAGGCGGGATACCGTAAACCAACTGATAATCTTTTCACTCAAAGAAACATATTAAAATTATTACTTATTGTTTATATAAAAATGCTGAAAATAATGTATAAAGCAGTGAACAAAAGTCTTCCTTCTAGTATTCAGGAATCATTTAAGTTAAGAGGGAATAAATATGATTTGCAATTTTTGAATTTGAATGTGCAAAAGAGAAGAGCCAGAAGTTTACCATCAGGCAATACTAGGCAGTTCCTGGGGGCCCCGAGTTCCTGGGGGCCCCATAAAACTCTGTTTCCATGTATGGTTAATACAACTATTCCTTATTTGTGCACATTAATGATGTGTTTTGGCTAAAATGCCATCAGAATGCTGATAATATTAAGTGTGTCTCAGCCCCCCCCCTTCAGTGTCCACCATATTGGATCAGTCCATTTGCTGCACATGTTCAGAAAGGTCCAAACAGACAGCAGCAAACCATTTGAAAACAAACCATGCAAAGAGCAGTGTTGCCAACTTAGCGCTTTAGTCGCTATATTTAGCCACTTTTCAGACCCCTCTAGCACTTTGATTTCTAAAAAGCTCCTAGCGCCAAATCTAGAGACTTTTTTCTGCTACTGGAGACTTTGGAGACAACATCTAAAAGCAGCGAACTCTGCTCTCCAGAGCGAGTAGATTGGTAACCCCCCCATACAAAACATAGAGAGGAAAACAAGAAGAAAGGGGACAAGAAGAGAGGGACAAAACCTAAAACAGATAATGGATGTCTATTCTATTAACATTTCTCTATCTGGTGAATGGGTCTGTTTTATGTGTTGGCTTCTCAGTTCAGAGGGGCCCCCTGTCTGTTTTTCCCCGGGGCCCCAAATTTCCTAAATCCAACCCTTGGATACTGGTTTCATGCAGAACATTCAAGCTAATTTATCAAGTCTTTTAACTGCTGAAGCTCATTTAGATCAAATATTTTAACTGAAATGGGTGCAATGTTGCTATGCTGCCACTATATGGAGCTCATTAATAAGGCAGGCAGGTCTAAGCTGGATAAAAGATGCCTTGGTGCAGAGAGGCTGAGGTGTTTGAAGTCCAGCATTGTTGTAAAGATGGTGGTCTGTCATAATGGGAGCAAACTATCTGCTAATTTCTTCAGCCTTTTGCAAAATCAAAGCAAATCTACACCAAGCAGGTAATTTTTCTCCAGTGTGATTTATTTCAAACTTTGAGTATTTCATATTTTTATTCAGCTGCGTTTCTGTTGTTGGTGTTAATTTATGTAAACCCTTAAATGTTCTGTTAAAAGGATGCACAAAACACCAACTTTGGAACCGGTTGTTGGTTTTGGACAGAAAAATAAGTCATCTTTGTTTCAACCATTACGGTAACTTTTGAATATGCTTTTATTTGGAAGTGTAAACCTTTATAATGCAAACTTGAAATTATTACTAATCCTCTTTTAATGAGTTTCTTTCAGAACTGAATGTTGAATGACGTTAGGCAAGTGAAAAAAAAACTCTTTAATATAATGCACACATCCCATAAAACTCCAGATTATTGCTTCTGACACACTAAATATTCTTAGTTCTGCAACCAGTTCAGCCTAAAGTACCAAAACCCGGCCGTTATGTCAGGATCATTTTTAGGTCTGCATATTTTCATCATCCAACGCCACCGTGTCATGATGCAAGGCACAAAAGGGGACATAAATGTTGATTTACACCAAACCAGGAAATAACAGCAGTAAACATGCCAGGAAAATATTTTCCTCTGGTATAGTACAAAAGAAACAAAACAATTTACATTTGTTGACAGAAAACTGATAGAAAAGTTTGCCTTTGAGTTGAAAGTAAACAATAAATCCATAAAATATTAAAAATCAAGAGAAACAAATCTGATAAGGATTACAGTAGTTTGCAGTGTTCCTGCCAGAAGAACCTGCAGCATCTCTCTGACATTATAATAGGTTTGAGGAATAGGCATAAACAAGAATACTTTATCCAACAAGCAGATCTCAAAACTTGCCTCTAAAATAAAAAAAAATAAAAAACAAACACTAAAAGCAGCCGTAGTCAGATTTAATCAAAGTACATAAAAATGCACGATTGCTTTACAACGAGCTCTTATTAAGAGCAAATCTTTATAAAGATGGGGGGGTATTCTTGGTTATGCCTAGGAGTCCAGTGTAGCCCAGTCAGCCTGATGGGCGGAGCTTGAGATTGCAGGATGAGGTCAGGTCCTCCGGCACCGCAGGGGTCTGACAGCAGGAAAACACAGGAGGAAATAAGAAGGATTTTTTCCGACAAACTTCAATACTATGATGAAGCTAGTTGTGACTTACTGAGACGTCACTCAGTACCCATTCCTTTGACTTCTTCACTCATCCTCATCTGTAACAGAGAAGGGTATGACGTTACTTAGACTACTTTCTTTGTCATTTTGTACATACAGAGTGAATACAAAAGGACATTTTGTTTTGTGCAGCTTTAAGACAGTAAATGAGCAGCAGCTTAGCAGTGAAATTAACATTTCCATTCCTTAAAGTGCAGCAATGATGAAATATAAATAGTGGGAGAAAATACGTGCATTGATATGAAAGTTCAGAGCAGTGCAAAAAAACTAACAAATATATGGTGCAAAAAAACGCAGTAGAAAAACATTTGAGTTGAGTTCTATTGGTTTGAATGAATCTGTAAAATTGACTCTGGTTCTGCTGGAGGTTTCTTCCTGTTCAAAGGCAGTTTTTCCTCTCCACTGTCACTACAAGCATGCTTAGTGTGAGGGATTGCTGAAGAGTCAATGAGTCGATGCAATCAGCTGGTTTTCCTTAGATAGAAAACTTTGAATCAATCTGACTGGATGATCTGGTGAACTGGAAAGTGACCTGAGATGACATGATGTGAATTGGAGCTATAGAAATAAACTGAATAGAACTGAAATTTATTTTCTCCCTCTCTCTGTGTGGGTTCTCCCTGGGTACTCCAGCTTCCTCCAAAAGCAGGACTGTCAGCTTGACTGCCACCTCTAATTTGAAAAAGTTCTTCAACAAAAAAAGGTTTTCAGAATTACTTTGCTGATCTTCAGCTTAATTTTTATTTTTGAGATTTAATTTTATGGACTTTTTTTCTTTTCCAGTATTTTTCCAGATATCATCCTCTTCATTCCCACTCAGTACAAACCACCACCAATCAAAATGTTGCTAAAAAAAATACTAATATTAAAATAGAAAAAAAATGTCATTAACATAAAAAATAAAACATGAAAAAAACAGCAAAGTTCCTCCTAAAACCTTTTCTTGAAAAACAAGTGAATTCACTTTCATTTCTGAATTGATTTTTAATTTTTTTTTCATATGGAAGGAGCAGGAAGTGACGACGCTGCTGTTCTGGTTTAGGCTGTAAAAGATAAAAACTTTAGGGAAGAGTAGATAATGAAAAAAAGCAACTAAAGTATTTATCCTCAGTTATTTAACCCGTCAGCAGAGCAGCGCAGTCCGACGCTGATCCGCCCTCATTAACCATTTTACAACCTTTAGAAGTTTCACTCCACAGAATGAATGATTGACCTAAAATCCAGGATGTAAACGTCTGAACTCAGCAGGAAGCACAGCGGCTCAGGCTTTCACTAAACTTATGAGGACCGTTTGATCCTTAACAATATGATCAGGGGCGGATTTAGTAAATGTGGGGCCCTAGGCAAAGACAGGCAGGGGCCCTCTGAATGGAGAAGACATAAAGCAGCCCCATTCTCCAGATAGAGAAATGTTAATAGAATAGACATCCATTATCTGTTCTAGGTTGTGTCCCTCTCTTCTTGTCCCTTTTCTTCTTGTTTTCCTCTCTATGTTTTGTACTCAGCTGACTTTTCATGCTGTCTCTAAAGGAATGAAAGATTTTTTCCAAGCACTAAGCTCACTTAGCTGATTGCTCCTTCCTGTGTTTCCAAAAAGGCCAAAGTAAATAACCCAGTCCTTCTTTTCACTGTAGACAAGCCATGATCTGCTTATCTGTTCTCCATTTTTCATTTGGATGAAATAATAGCTGCATGAATCATGACAGCAGACAAGATAGAGGAGAGCAGGAGGCGGGGTTACCAATCTACTCGCTCTGGAGAGCAGAGTTCGCTGCTTTTAGATGTTGTCTCCAAAGTCTCCAGTAGTAGAAAAAAGTCTCTAGATTTGGCGCTAGGAGCTTTTTAGAAATCAAAGTGCTAGAGGGGTCTGAAAAGTGGCTAAATATAGCGACTAAAGCGCTAAGTTGGCAACACTGCTCTTTGCATGGTTTGTTTTCAAATGGTTTGCTGCTGTCTGTTTGGACCTTTCTGAACATGTGCAGCAAATGGACTGATCCAATATGGCGGACACTGAAGGGGGGGCTGAGACACACTGAATATTATCAGCGTTCTGATGGCATTTTAGCAAAAGGATTTTTATCAGAAACATAATTAGTGCAGAAATAAGGAATAGTTGTATTTACCAAACATGGAAACAGAACTAATGCCCCCCCCCCCCCGGATATGATCATAATGTTCCTTCTGATGCAGGCAGACCGCCCCAATTCACCTCATCCAGCTGCTTTTTCGTCTCCTCCTCCATCCGCCGGATGTCGTCCATCGTCAGCCTGATCCAGTCGTCCATGGTGCAGAACAGCTGCCTGTGGAAGTGGGTAAACAGACGCTTCTCCACCTGGACACAGTGGGAGAAATGGGGGGAAACCAGTGTGAACAGGAAGACAGCGACGAGTTCATCATTAAGAAATCAGACTGAGTCGTCCATCTATTTTCCACCTTTTGAATGAAGGCCTCCATCTTTTTCTGGAGGCCCCTCCATTTGAATTCAACGGTGACTAGCTTGTAGCAACACATTTTGGGACATTTGCTGTCAGCAGCAAGTTCCTTCTGCAGATCCAGAGGAGAGGAACACATGAAGGCAGAGAAACTAAAAACTTTTCAATCATCCAATAATGTAGATCATTTACCTGCCAGTCGGGCCCCAGAGGGCCTCTTCCCGTTTTCTCTGACTTGAACAAGGAGGGATCATGCTCTTTCTTGTAGTCCTGCTCAACCAGAGGAAAATATCACATGTTGCTTTTTATAACAGGAAAAATGGAAACTGGTAACCGAGGAGAAACGCTGCTGGGTTCCATTACTGAACGGCTGCAGCTAACCATTATTTTCCAAGTCAATTGTTCACTATAGTCATGAATTTCAAAGTGCTACAGAGTTACACTCCTAACCTTTATGATATTATAACCATAAACATTTACATTTAATAAAACCTGCTTTCTTACCTTTGTAGAGATCTCATTATTATCAGCAATGTTAATATTAATAACCTCCACTGAGTCCCAGTTCTCCACCTTATGAACCTGCAGAGAAGAAAAATGCATTTTCAGCAGCTTGAAACCATGAAGACATTAAATAAGGAACAGTGATGCATTATGGGAAGTGAGGATAACCTGGAGAACGTCTAGGATGAGAGTTTCTGAGCTGGTAGAGGAGGAACAGTCTGGGAGGTTTTGAACAACCTGGAAGGTTTTGATTTCTGATCGCATCATCTTGAGAATATTTATAGAATCAAAGGAATGACTCTGCGCTTTAGGATGAGCTCAGAGCTTCATCCAAACATAACTACCTGCAGGTTGCTGATAAAATGGAAGCTAAATTCAATCTTAACGAAAGGAGGGATCAGAACCACAGTCTGCCTCTGCAAAAAGGCACGACTAAGCGTAAAAAGGTCGATAAAAGCTTTAATACAAGAAGGAAAACCAGAATAAATTATCAAAAATTACCAAAAAACTAACATAGTTCATAATCCCTTCTTTTCATTGGCTGCTCATACTGAGCCTGGTTCTGCTGGAGGTTTCTTCCTGTTCAAAGGGAGTTTTTCCTCTCCACTGTCGCTACAAGCATGCTTAGTGTGAGGGATTGCTGAAGAGTCAATGAGTCGATGCAATCAGCTGGCTTTCCTTAGATAGAAAACTTTGAATCAATCTGACTGGATGATCTGGTGAACTGGAAAGTGACCTGAGATGACATGATGTGAATTGGAGCTATAGAAATAAACTGAATAGAATTGCAAATTGGGCTGTTTGTGGCAACATAACTAGAGATATTCAGCAGTTAGTTAGTTAGTTAGTTAGTTAACCTTTGCTGGTAACTAGGCTGCTGCTTAGCAGACCAGCTGGAAAAACAGTTGCTTGGTTTGGTTCCGGTTTGGTAGCATTGGAGCTAACATAGCCTAGTCGGTACTTTAGCTTAGTCTATGCTTTAGCCTAGCTGGTACATTTGCTTAGCCGGTGCTTTAGCCTAGCCAGTGCTTTAGCCTAGCCAGTGCTTTAGCCTAGCTGGTACGTTTGCTTAGCCGGTGCTTTAGCTTAGCCGGTGCTTTAGCCTAGCCGGTGCATTTGCTTAGCCGGTGCTTTAGCCTCAAAGGCGATTTAGCCTAGTCGGTACTTTAGCTTAGTCTATGCTTTAGCCTAGCTTGTACATTTGCTTAGCCGGTGCTTTAGCCTAGCCAATGCTTTAGCCTAGTCGGTACTTTAGCTTAGTCTATGCTTTAGCCTAGCTGGTACATTTGCTTAGCCGGTGCTTTAGCCTAGCCAGTGCTTTAGCCTAGCCAGTGCTTTAGCCTAGCTGGTACATTTGCTTAGCCGGTGCTTTAGCCTAGCCGGTACATTTGCTTAGCCGGTGCTTTAGCCTAGCCTGTACATTTGCTTAGCCGGTGCTATAGCTTAGCTCCTGCTGTCCAGTAAGGGAAGACTAGCTCTCAGCCACTCTTGCTCTGTGGTTCATGTTTAAAAGGCAGTTTTTAGCCTCATGATGATGTTAATACGACAAAGCTGAATCATAATCGTGTCTCTTTATTGATTCTTAAGGGAAATCATTGAAAACTAAGTTCAGCCGATTATTTAACCTGGCTGTAAGTATTGTTCTGGCTTGCGGTCTGAAAGCAGCAATAGGCGTCAGTAAGCCAGATGATTAAAGGGTAACCGGCCCCTGGCCCTCCCTCTCAGTGTTTTCTGAGTGGAACCGGTTTGCTGAACCTAAATCCAGCAGCACTGAGGAAACGGTGACTTACGTTCTCCTGATCCCCCATATCAGGCTTGTGCCAGGTCTCGATCTTGATCATGAAATCGTTTTTCATGTAGGTGTTCTACAGCAGGAGAGACGGACAGCATGGTCAGTCAGAAGGGTCAGCTCAGCACCAAGCAGACATTTCATCAAAATAATACTCACAGTCAGGACTGCGTCAGGCGAGGAGGAATCCAGAAGAGAAGACATTAAAAAAAGTTTAAGAAATATGCAGATTTGAATGAAAATATCTGTAAATTTATCCTGGAAACACAATTAGACCGAGGAGCCGTCCTTTGGCAGTGTGCCAGAGCTCTATCAGGTCAGCATACCCCGTCAGACCAGCATACCTATAGTCAATACGCAGCACAAGACACCATTTATCCCTTTATCCCTTTAGTTTTATACAAAAAATAGACTATAGACGACCTAGACGGACGTGTCTCCCTTTAGGCATGTACAAAAAACGATTTAAGGTCAGATCGCCATATGCTTCAAAAAACACCAAAAAGTAAGTCATTAAATTGTTTTTTTCTACATGACTAAAGGGAAACACGCCCACTGGGGTAGTTTAAAGTTCTTCTTTTTTTTTTTTTTTTTTTTTTACTAAAAGGGATAAAAGGGTATTGACTATGGGTATGCTGGTCTGACGGGGTACGCTGGTCTGACAGCGTCTCCATTTCACCAGCGCTCACTGTGTGTGAGCGACTCACCTGTTTTGCAGTAGGGATAAGCGTTCCAGGCCTTCTCATGCACCTCCAGGGAACCTTTGGGGGCGATCATGCGGATAAACTGCGGCACCTTGCTGTGGAGGCAAGGCCGGGTCGATTTCAATCGCTTATTTCAGCAAATGAACAAGTCTAAACATTTGAAATGATGAAGGTTCTTCTGTTTTCACTCCATCCCTGCAGCTTCCAGCCGTTCTTCTCTGGTGGAACCTGGAGGGTCCGGTACCTACCTCTGCAGGTGGTAGACCTTATGGGTGTATTGCCCTTTCTCCCCTTCCTGCTCATACGGCTCGTTCACCAGCACCTCCACACCTTCACCCCCTCCGGTCTCATTTTTACTGGCCTCTGCTACCGTGTACAGCTGACCCACTTGGTACTGAAAGACACGACAAAGGTTTAACGGTCATCAAGGTGTTTCCATGATAAATGTTCATCTGGAACTTAATACAAGGTAAGCTAACGCTAGCTTCACTGTTTATACTGTTTAGGCTTGAATGAACTCTGGTTTTTAGGGGAACACAGTTTATATTTACAGGGGTGCGGAGCGGCCTAGCTGGGGGTGCGGAGCGGCCTAGCTGGGGGTGCGGAGCGGCCTAGCTGGGGGAGCGGTGTGGCCTAGCTGGGGGAGCGGTGTGGCCTAGCTGGGGGTGCGGGGCGGCCTAGCTGAGGGAGCGGCGGCCTAGCTGGGAGATCGGCGGCCTAGCTGAGGGAGCGGCGACCTAGCTGGGGGACCGGCGGCCTAGCTAGGGGAGCGGTGTGGCCTAGCTGGGGGTGCGGCGGCCTAGCTGAGGGAGCGGCGGCCTAGCTGGGGGATCGGCGGCCTAGCTGAGGGAGCGGTGTGGCCTAGCTGGGGGTGCGGCGGCCTAGCTGGGGGTGCGGCGGCCTAGCTGGGGGTGCGGCGGCCTAGCTGGGGGTGCGGCGGCCTAGCTGGGGGTGCGGCGGCCTAGCTGGGGGTGCGGGGCGGCCTAGCTGAGGGAGCGGCGGCCTAGCTGGGGGAGCGGTGTGGCCTAGCTGGGGGAGCGGTGTGGCCTAGCTGGGGGTGCGGGGCGGCCTAGCTGAGGGAGCGGCGGCCTAGCTGGGAGATCGGCGGCCTAGCTGGGGGAGCGGCGACCTAGCTGGGGGAGCGGCGGCCTAGCTGGGGGTGCGGGGCGGCCTAGCTGAGGGAGCGGCGGCCTAGCTGGGGGAGCGGTGTGGCCTAGCTGGGGGAGCGGTGTGGCCTAGCTGGGGGTGCGGGGCGGCCTAGCTGAGGGAGCGGCGGCCTAGCTGGGGGAGCGGTGTGGCCTAGCTGGGGGAGCGGTGTGGCCTAGCTGGGGGTGCGGGGCGGCCTAGCTGAGGGAGCGGCGGCCTAGCTGGGGGAGCGGTGTGGCCTAGCTGGGGGAGCGGTGTGGCCTAGCTGGGGGTGCGGGGCGGCCTAGCTGAGGGAGCGGCGGCCTAGCTGGGAGATCGGCGGCCTAGCTGAGGGAGCGGCGGCCTAGCTGGGAGATCGGCGGCCTAGCTGGGGGAGCGGCGGCCTAGCTGAGGGAGCGGCGACCTAGCTGGGGGATCGGCGGCCTAGCTGGGGGAGCGGTGTGGCCTAGCTGGGGGTGCGGCGGCCTAGCTGAGGGAGCGGCGGCCTAGCTGGGGGATCGGCGGCCTAGCTGAGGGAGCGGTGTGGCCTAGCTGGGGGTGCGGCGGCCTAGCTGGGGGTGCGGGGCGGCCTAGCTGAGGGAGCGGCGGCCTAGCTGGGGGAGCGGTGTGGCCTAGCTGGGGGTGCGGCGGCCTAGCTGGGGGTGCGGGGCGGCCTAGCTGGGGGAGCGGCGGCCTAGCTGGGGGTGCGGGGCGGCCTAGCTGGGGGTGCGGGGCGGCCTAGCTGGGGGGTGCGGGGCGGCCTAGCTGAGGGAGCGGCGGCCTAGCTGAGGGAGCGGCGGCCTAGCTGAGGGAGCGGCGGCCTAGCTGGGGGTGCGGGGCGGCCTAGCTGGGGGTGCGGGGCGGCCTAGCTGAGGGAGCGGCGGCCTAGCTGGGGGTGCGGAGCGGCCTAGCTGAGGGAGCGGCGGCCTAGCTGAGGGAGCGGCGGCCTAGCTGGGGGAGCGGTGTGGCCTAGCTGGGGGTGCGGCGGCCTAGCTGGGGGTGCGGGGCGGCCTAGCTGGGGGAGCGGCGGCCTAGCTGGGGGAGCGGCGGCCTAGCGGGGGGTGCGGGGCGGCCTAGCTGAGGGAGCGGCGGCCTAGCTGAGGGAGCGGCGGCCTAGCTGAGGGAGCGGGGCGGCCTAGCTGAGGGAGCGGTGTGGCCTAGCTGAGGGAGCGGCGGCCTAGCTGGGGGCGCGGGGCGGCCTAGCTGAGGGATCGGCGGCCTAGCTGGGGGAGCGGTGTGGCCTAGCTGGGGGTGCGGCGGCCTAGCTGGGGGTGCGGCGGCCTAGTGGTTAGGGCATTGAGCTAGGGTCCCAGAGGTTCTGAGTTCAAGTCCCACACCCACAGCCTCCACTATGGGTCCCTGAGAAAGACCCTTGACTCCACACTGCTACCCGGGGGCGTCGCACAATGGCAGCCCTCTGCTCGCCATTGTGGAACCAATCACAGGCAGTTAACTTCCTAAGGTTGGATCCACCCTCAAAGTGACCAAAGGTTGACATGAACACAGGATCAGGTCCAGGAGGAGAGGAGGAGTCAGGAGGAGAGGAGGAGAGGAGAGCCGGTTCTCCTGGTTGTGATATTTTGGGGCCCCCAAGTGGCTGCAGTTTTTCATATTCATTTTTTAAAACTGCAGGCGCGTATTTTAACCATTTCTTATTCTGAGTTTTTACTTGAAAAAAATGATTTTCTTACATTTTTTTTTTACTTCAGTCGGAAATAAAGTAAAGTTGAACTTCAAAGAGCACAGAAATAGGAGCTGCCCATTACATCACAAAAACGTGATTTTTAAAGACAATACAGAAGAAGCGTAAATGAAGAGCAGCAACAGCAGATAGTAAACATTCCCCCCCCAAAAAAAAACTCCCAGTGAGACTCCAGCAGAGAAACAGGAGCTGATTAAATCGAACCCGGTTCTTCCTGAGAGCCGAGGCGGCCATTAGTGCTGCTGGATGACTGCTGTCACTAAACTACCGCTGCTTAGGCTGCTTTATGCCGGACGTCTGGTCCTCTGGGGCCCCTGCTGCTGAGTCATCAGTGGGGGCGGATTTAGGAAATGTGGGGCCCTGGGCAAAGACAGGCAGGGGCCCCTCTGAATGGAGAACACATCAAACAGCCCCATTCTCCAGATAGAGAAATGTTAATAGAATAGACATCCATTATCTTTTCTAGGTTGTGTCCCTCTCTTCTTGTCCCTTTTCTTCTTGTTTTCCTCTCTATGTTTTGTATGGGGGGGTTAACAATCTACTCGCTCTGGAGAGCAGAGTTTGCTGCTTTTAGATGTTGTCTCCAAAGTCTCCAGTAGCAGAAAAAAGTCTCTAGATTTGGCGCTAGGAGCTTTTTAGAAATCAAAGTGCTAGAGGGGTCTGAAAAGTGGCTAAATATAGCGACTAAAGCGCTAAGTTGGCAACACTGCTCTTTGCATGGTTTGTTTCCAAATGGTTTGCTGCTGTCTGTTTGGACCTTTCTGAACATGTGCAGCAAATGGACTGATCCAATATGGTGGACACTGAAGGGGGGGGGCTGAGACACACTGAATATTATCAGCGTTCTGATGGCATTTTAGCAAAAGGATTTTTATCAAAAACATAATTAATGTGAACAAATAAGGAATAGTTTTATTAACCAGACATGGAAACAGAGTTTTATGGGGCCCCCAGGAACTTGGGGCCCTAGGCAGCTGCCTAGTATTGCCTAATGGTAAATCCCCCCCTGGTCATCGGCTAACATTAGCGGGAAAAGGAAGAGGAAATGCCGCATCATGGACCATCATGTGAGAAGCTCAGATCCACCCAGAGGCAAGGCGTCGCTTCAGGCTGGGTCCAGTTTCAGCAACACTGGATGTTCAGTTTCTGCTTTGTCTCCAGGAATGTGACTCATCCTGCAGAACCGGTCCGCCTCGTCGCCAAAGACAGAAACAGGCGACTCCCAAACAGGGAGCCGACAGCCGGAGCTGCTGCAGGAACAATCAGAGCTGCACGTTCAGACATGAAGAACACAACAGATCCAACCAGGTCACAGGGTGTGTTTGATTTATGCACCAGAACAAGGTCAGCCTGCTGTCAAACATCACCGCTGCACCCGGATAACAACAGTAATCAACATGAGGAACACGGCGACACATGGCTGCTTTGGTTCAGCTTAGATTAAGTCGAAATCTTAAATTTGTCTTATTTCTTTAGTATTTATTTTGTTTGTTCCTGTTTGGCTGTGACTCCATCCTGGAGAGAAATATCAGCTGTGCTGCTGCCATCAACACCTTTGTTTCTAGATGTTGGAGCTTGGCCTGTTTTCCAGTGTAGTCCTGTTTCTCTGACTGTGACTAACTGGATGTGCTCTCTTCATCCTCTGACATGGGAGCTGGCTCGGAGCTCGTCTGCCTGGCTGTGTGTTTCCTGGACGGGGCCGCCTGTGGAGCTGGTTGACAGTTGCCTTTTGTATCTATGCTTCTTTTTCTATGTCTGCTTCTGTCTCCTTGAACCCCAGTGGGCCTCAGCAGATGGCCGCTCACACTGAGCCTGGTTCTGCTGGAGGTTTCTTCCTGTTCAAAGGGAGTTTTTCCTCTCCACTGTCGCTACAAGCATGCTTAGTGTGAGGGATTGCTGAAGAGTCAATGAGTCGATGCAATCAGCTGGTTTTCCTTAGATAGAAAACTTTGAATCAATCTGACTGGTTGATCTGGAAAGTGACCTGAGATGACATGATGTGAATTGGAGCTATAGAAATAAACTGAATAGAATTGAATTTATTTGCACACATATTGAACTAAGGCTGCAACTGAGGATTATTTTAGAAATCAATAATTTTTTTCGATTAATAATCTGATAGCCAAAGGTTCCATAAAGACTTTTTACAAAATTAAACCAGACGAAACTAAAACTTTTCCTCTTGAGGAGTTCTGGATAGAGAATATTGACAAATTAAAACATTTTTTTTTATCTTAAATGCAAAATCTTTACAAATTTTCTGAGTGGCTCTGTTAGCTAAAGGCATCTTTTACAGTCTCTATACTCCAATTAATAATGAAGCGATTAATTAATTAGTTGATGATTATTTTGATTATTAATCCAATGAATTGTTTTAGCCTGATATTTAATAAACGTCTGATTCTAACATCTCTCTACCTCAGTCACAGGAATAATCAGCAGATTATTGTTAATCTCAGTCGCAGCTCCGCCATCGTGCTGTTTCTCTAACTTTTAGTTTCATTGCTCGTTGCAGCAGCTTCTTTTTTGGCTCCTTTATGTTTTAAAGAAGTTTTCACAAAATGAATCCAACCTTCCTTTCTAAAGTTAAATCATGAATCATGATCTCCATTAGATCACAAAATGTCCCCAAGTTCCTGGGGGCCCCATAAAACTCTGTTTCCATGTATGGTTAATACAACTATTCCTTATTTGTTCACATTAATCATGTTTTTGATAAAAATCCTTTGGCTAAAATGCCATCAGAGCGCTGATAATATTAAGTGTCCCCTCCCCCCGGCACCCAGCCGAGCATCATGGAAGGTTTCAGAGTCTAAGGAGCTGCAGAAACCTGTGAACATTTCCCTGATGCATCATCATAAATTATTAAACATGAAAACATGAAAGCTGATCTAGAGGACGGTTCTACTTTTTTACTGTTCAGATGAGACGGACAGCTCCTGTGTCAGAAGGAGCACAGCTAATGTAACAGGAACCAGCTAGCGCGGCTGGGCCAAATATGGGAAGCTGATGGGTAGCAGTGGATTACCCCCCCCCCCCCCCCCCCCCCCCCCCCCCCCCCCCTCTAAACATCCAACCCTGTTGCTCAACTCAGAGTTGAACCAACGGCTCCCAGCCGTCCCACAGCAGAGAGGAAAAGCCGGTCTCACAGCAAAGCTTCAATGAAATCCTGGCTTCTGCTTTGTTGACGCAGTAAAAACAAGAAAGAGTCTGTTGAGCTCGTTACCTGGATTAAATCACACAAAGAGCAAACAGGAGGGGTGCATCTTACAGCAGAGGGAAGGGCAGAACCGGCTCGGCTGAATATCTGGGACAAACAGCCGTTAAGGCTTTAACGGCCGTTTGTTTCTACAGACCCGGTTAACGACTCTGAACCACCCGTGGTTCCAGATTAAACCGGTTTGGGTCTAATCTGACACACAGAACCGTGTCTATTAGATCAGCTGGTTCCTCAGGTTCCTTCATCTAGTCCCTCTGGACTCAAACTCAGGAAGCATGGGTCTGTTCCCATCGCCGTGCAGGTGATAGATCATCAGTTTGGCTTTGAAGATATTAAATATTAGATATTACAGCCTTCTATCATGGCAGCGCCAACCCCTTTACAGGAGAACAGGAAACCTCCCCTATTCAGCCAGACCAACAATTCCCTCTAACGACCCCCCTTTCAGAGACACAGACAGCTATGGGGCATTGCAGGCTAACTAAGAAGCCAAACGACCCCCATTCCAAAGGGGGGGACCCGTTCATCCAGGGGCCAACCAAGAACATACCAAAGACCAGCCAAGGACCAACCAAGGGCCAACCAATGGCCAACCAATGGCCAACCAAGGACCAACCAAGGACCAGCCGAGGACCAGCCAAGGGCCAACCAATGGCCAACCAAGGACCAACCAAGGACCAGCCGAGGGCCAACCAAAGACCAGCCGAGGGCCAGCCAAGGACCAACCAAGGACCAGCCGAGGACCAGCCAAGGGCCAACCAAAGACCAGCCGAGGGCCAGCCGAGGACCAGCTGAGGGCCAACCAAAGACCAGCCGAGGGCCAGCCGAGGACCAGCCAAGGACCAGCCAAGGGCCAACCAAAGACCAGCCGAGGGCCAGCCGAGGACCAGCCAAGGGCCAACCAAAGACCAGCCGAGGACCAGCCGAGGGCCAGCCAAGGACCAGCCAAGGGCCAACCAAAGACCAGCCAAGGACCAGCCAAGGGCCAGCCAAGGACCAGCCAAGAACCAACCAAGGACCAACCAAGGGCCAACCAAGGGCCAACCAAGGACCAACCAAGGACCAACCAAGGGCCAACCAAGGGCCAACCAAAGACCAACCAAGGACCAACCAAGGGCCAACCAAGGGCCAACCAAGGGCCAACCAAAGGCCAACCAAGGGCCAACCAAGGGCCAACCAAGGGCCAACCAAGGGCCAACCAAGGGCCAGCCAAGGACCAACCAAGGACCAACCAAGGGCCAGCCAAGGGCCAGCCAAGGGCCAGCCAAGGGCCAGCCAAGGACCAACCAAGGACCAACCAAGGACCAACCAAGGGCCAACCAAGGGCCAACCAAGGGCCAACCAAGGGCCAGCCAAGGACCAACCAAAGACCAGCCAAGGACCAGCCGAGGACCAACCAAGGGCCAACCAAGGGCCAACCAAAGACCAACAAAGGACCAACCAAAGACCAACAAAGGACCAACCAAGGGCCAACCAAGGGCCAACCAAGGGCCAACCAAAGACCAACCAAGGGCCAACCAAGGGCCAACCAAGGGCCAACCAAGGGCCAGCCAAGGACCAACCAAGGGCCAACCAAGGACCAACCAAGGGCCAGCCAAGGACCAACCAAGGACCAACCAAGGACCAACCAAGGACCAACCAAGGGCCAGCCAAGGGCCAGCCAAGGACCAACCAAGGGCCAGCCAAGGACCAACCAAGGACCAACCAAGGACCAACCAAGGGCCAACCAAGGGCCAACCAAGGGCCAACCAAGGACCAACCAAAGACCAGCCAAGGACCAGCCAAGGACCAACCAAGGGCCAACCAAGGACCAGCCAAGGACCAACCAAGGGCCAGCCAAGGACCAACCAAGGACCAACCAAGGACCAACCAAGGACCAACCAAGGGCCAACCAAGGGCCAACCAAGGGCCAACCAAGGGCCAGCCAAGGACCAACCAAGGGCCAGCCAAGGGCCAGCCAAGGACCAACCAAGGGCCAGCCAAGGACCAACCAAGGACCAACCAAGGACCAACCAAGGACCAACCAAGGGCCAACCAAGGGCCAACCAAGGGCCAACCAAGGGCCAGCCAAGGACCAACCAAAGACCAGCCAAGGACCAGCCAAGGACCAACCAAGGGCCAACCAAGGACCAGCCGAGGAAAGTGGGGATATTTTGAATGGTTGCTTCTGTATCTGCACTGATTGGTACAAAAACTATTTATATATTTATGGAATTAAAATGTTTTACTGAAGTAAAATCCAACATTTCACCATTTTCTGCTGTTTGAAACATGCTGGATGTAAACAATCAGTGAAACGTGAAAACACGTAATTAATGTTTCACTTTTTTCTAAAGTCAGTCCATCTCTGCAGTCCATTAATCCCAGTCTGCTACTGTGTAGCTTCCCTAAACTCTCTACTGATGTTTTAATATCTAAAGGAAAGATATTCCAGGACATTGCAATGTTTTTATGCTCTTTTTATATTGTCTGTTGTATTTTTATCTCTAATGGCATCTTGCTTTAACTCTTTATTCTCTATAGAAGCTACTGGAACCAGAATTTCCATGAAGGAATAATCCCAAGGGATTAATAAAGCTCAGTCTATGTCTAATTAAATGAGAGGAAATTAGATAAAGAAAATTTAAACCCGTCTCTTTTTGTTGTATCGTTACCCAAACAACACAATAAATGTGATGTTCGGCCATCATTTAGTCTGGGAACCCATCCAACCAGTGTGAGGTTCCGACCGCTCAGCAAGGCAGAGCAAACTCGTTCAGTTGGGGAGAGAACCAAACTATCAGCAGCAAACAGGAAGGTTGAGGAGAAAAGTGCTGATTTCCGTTTCCTGTTTTAAGCTTGGAGCTGCAGTCAGACACTCTGCTGCATCTGAAAGCTCAGGTTTAAGGTCAAAGTTTTCTACACTCTGCTGTAGTACAAGTTGGACTTCTAGTTCAGATTTCTATTAAACCAAAAAACTCTTCTCTCTAAAAATCTGTGAGGAACGTTTCTAGCCGTGGTTCTAACTGAGCCTCATCTGTAGACGTTAAACGACTAAATCAGCTAAAAGGCTGCTGTAGTATCTCTGAGCGGGAAAAGCAGAACATCCTGCAGATAACAGGAATCTGACACATAGAATGTGAAACATGGACGCTCTGTTCAGGTCAACAATCTGCTGCTTCCACAGATAAATAAAAGAAATAAGAGAAGAAAAAAAGAAGCGTACCTCCTCGACTGAGACGGGCAGGACGATCCGGCTGCATGAGGGAGAGAGGAAAACAATCATTAGACTGGTGAACACGTCAGATACAGTGGTGACATCACAATAAAAAGCACAGATTAACTGCAGAGACGTCATATCTGGATGGTTTAGTTCTGGAGCTGCAATCATTACAGCGCCTTTCTTTTTCACTTGATCTACACTGGAAAACCCATCTAGAAATAAGAAAACGTGCATCTATCCTTAATTTGAGTAGATAAATGAGATAGTTTGCCAATGGAATGAGTATGTTTATTTTTAAAATAAGATAATTCAATAACATGCACTTGAAATAAGACAATGCAATTATGTTTTCTTATTTTAAATGTAAATTTCGTTCTGTTGGCAAAATGTGTCTTTTATCTCCTCAATTCAAGAATAAAAGCTCTTATTTTAAGAAGAAAATGACTCATTTGGATTTGGATTTATTCCAGCGTGATCGGAGTCTAACCGTGGGATTTAATCTGAGTTTGGATGTAGAGATTAGCAGCTAGAGTTCAGCTCTGTGTTTGTAAAACAAGGTTCTACTTCTGCACCTGAAAAACAAGGCAGCCAGTTCGCTTCAGGCCGTGTCCATTTTATTTTTACACCTTTAAAGTGAAACTCACCCCCAAATGTAACAAAAGCCCCGCCCCCAGACCACCAGATTGGCCAATGCCAGGAGACCCTGGGGGGCGGGACTAATTGAGTGGTACATGTGGGGACATTCAAACGCCGTTGATGGCGTCCCCATGAGCAGTCTGCTGGCAGCAGTAAACATTCAGAGGAACTTCCTCACATCGGTGACGTGACGCAGAAAACCAGCACTTATCTCTCATTAAAGTGTAACTCACCCCAAAATAGTTATTTAATGCCGATAAACTGTCTATTTAACCTCCCCATAAGGTTGATCTCCTGTTTGAGCTGGGCTTAGCTTAGGGTAATGGGTAATAGGCGGTCAGGGGGCGGGGCTATGTTAGCATTAGGTAGGTGAAGGTTTGGGTCACGCCATATAAAATGAATGCAATGCATCACAGAGCGCCGCCATTTTTACAATACACACGGGAACTTGGCTAACTGGATCACTTTTTTTTATATTTTTGAATGTCAATTTTACTTTTATTTATTTATGTTTTACAAAAATTTGTTTTTGAGTGTTTGAATAAAGGTTCTTGGTTATGTGATACCTTAATTGAATCATTTTATCCCCTCCCTGAGGGCTAATGCTAATCCAAACATTGGTGGAGAAGAAACTTAAACACCTAAAATTTTTTCAATTCCTTTTTTCTATTTCAGCACCATCTGACCCGAAGACACAGACGTCCATCCCCGTGAACACTGGGACGCAACTCAATGGGAAAGGAAAGGATTCTGGTTTCAACCGTTGCGTATATTAGCTGCGACACATGAATCAAGATGCTATGACCGAAAACATTTGATTGACAGATGAGCGTTGATATATGATTGGCCGAATTTAGGTGTTCAGGCTGACGTAGAACTAACTGGCCTGCAGAAGATAACGAAAAAAACACAGATTTTATGACGGGATTGTTTTTTAAATATACATTTTCTAACTTTTGGGACAATATGATCTGATAAAGAGAACATTTATATACATTTTTAAGCCAGAATAATTTGACATTTAAATATGATTTCAGTACGACTTAAAAAAAAATTGATACTAGGAACTAAAGGATCGATATTATAATAGGGCAGCCAAAAATCGCGATATATTGCCAAAAAACATTTTTTCCCACTCCCCTAGCAAAGACTGTTATAAACTGGGAAGTAAAGGAGCAGAAGATCTTCTACTGGAGTCTAACCCAAAGTCCAGTGGATCGTTTTGAACCAACCAGCCTGCAGCTCTGGGTGGGAACCTGCAGCCGCCCGCCGGGCGCTCTGTGCCTCCATCCAATAGTCTAGCAGGTGTTTTCAGCGCAGCCTGAATATTTCATAAGCAGAGATCAGGATGGAAGGTGAGCTTTAAAGGCATCAGGCTGCTGCTGGTTGGACCAAAGCAGAACAGAGGGAATAGAAAGGTCACTCCAGGTCATCCAGCATTCCTCTGTCTGCAGGCAGGTGATAAGTGAACTGAAGCTGCAGGTGCACTTTGCACCACGGTCAGATGACACACACTGGTGCACAGATGATGTTCATATGACGAGGAAATATTAAGTCAATAAACATCAGGGTGTGTTTATTTAATGTGTGACTAAAACTCCTTATCGGCGGAGGAAGAGTTTCAGCTGCAGAGGAAATAATCTGGAAAACAGCCTTCATCCTCCTCCTCTTCCTCCTCCATGAGCCGCAGGTTCGGCTCGGTTCTGTTCATCCGAACCGAATCCTCAGAGCTTCAGCCGCGAGTCCAAAACGCGCTTATTTAGGAACAGTTTCCACTTCAAGCATGAAAAAGGAGAAATCAGCTAAAAAACGAGGAGAATGAAGGAAGTTCTGCCTTTTCAGATAGAAAGTGGTAAATAGAAGCTGCTTTTAAAGGAGAAGTTCATTGATAGAGTTTAGAACCAGTTTTAGGCTGAGTTTTAACCCGTTCTGTCCTGAGGTGAGACGTTAGAAAGAGGAAATCAAACTTACAACTCTTTGATCAGCATGTTGAGCTTCGGTCCAAACGTCTGTGCGGCATAGAGCGGCTCCTTCTGCGCTTCTTCCGCTTAGATACCGGGAGCGCGCGAAGGGGCGGGGCCTCGGACACCTAGCTTCAGGTAAACCGTCTGATGCGTTTGGGTGCTGACGGAAAATTAGCAACCTGTTTGGACTAGTTTCTGTACGGGGCCCCAGGGGCCCCCGAACCAAAGGAGTAAAGATTGATGATAAATAATCTGTAATATGAGCCGGAAGCAAAACTGGAAACAAAATATTCCTCCAGTTTTATTTTATTTTTACACTTTTAGCTTCTGTCACATAGAGACAGATTTAATCAGCTAGATCTGAACTTTCCAGATCTGCTGTGGCTCTTTGCTTTGACTCACTTATAACAAAGGATGAACCCCCCCCGCATAATAAACACAATTTTTAAATTAAAAATGAATGAATCCTAGAGCTACATAGTGTAGAGCTGTTTTAGTGCTGTGAAACAGAGGGTCACAGAGAGATCTGCTCAGTTTGATCAAACCAGAGTGAAACCGGATCATCAGATCCTGATCAGCCGGTTTGTTTCAATCTGTTCCTTCAAACTGGTCTGAAAACCAGAAGATCAGCTTCTAGATGCTGATCTGGAATCATCCGTCCTGCATGTTTGTGGCAAGAAAGGAGTCAAATATACAAATTATTATTTATTCTTTTTCATATATTCATTTTTTTCCTTTCAGTTGAAAGATCATGTTTTTAAAAGTCAATAATTATGCTGATAAAGACAAAATGCAATACAGGTAGAATAGATCATAGAAATGCACATTCTGATAAACACAATAAAAACAGCTCAAACATTTAGACACAATAGAAAAAAAAAATAAAATAAATGTGAATAAAAAAGGTTTGAATTTCATGAAGAAAAACTAGAAGCTTCAACCCAGAATTCATCGATACGATTCAATGGAAACGACAACAACACGCCGACGGTCCTCTGAGGGCGCAGGACGGGGACGGGACGGGGACAGGACAGGGACAGGACGAGCATGGGACAGGACGAGGATGGGACAGGATGAGGACAGTTTGTCCTCTCAGGAAGTCTTGTCCAGCTCATGATGACGTCGTCATAACGACCATTTCAGGGGAGCTTTGAGACAGCAGGATAAAAATCAAACTGAAGAGGAGGAATCAGCTGATTCCCTGTCAGCTGATTCCTCCTCCATGGAGGAGGAGGAGGAGCCTCTGGTCACATGGAAACGGAATATTTATCTTTAAATCTGTGCAAATCTTTTCATAAACTATGAAAACATTGTGAGGAAAAGGAAAAGGTGCGAGACCTGAGAGACAAAACTGCTGCTGCTCCTGAATCTAATGTTTACAGGAACATAGAAAACGCCTTAAAATGAGAATAGATCTGCATGCAGAGCCATTCTAGATCCGTCTCTCCTTGGTTTTCACGCTTGTTAAAGTGCATTCTGTGCTTTTAATGAAGGTCTGTCTCTGGGAGCAGCCATGTTGTCTCTCAGTTCGCTCACCTGGTTTCAACCAGGCAGGAAAAGCTGCTCTTCCCGCCTGGTTTCACCCCCCCTCCCTGAAGGCCTGTCGTTAGCTTCACTGCACGGCGAAGCTCTAAACAATCATGAGCATCAGGCCGCCGCGCAGACGCCTCTGAAGGTCAGCCGGGCTGAAGGTCAGCCGGCTCTCTGAAGGTCAGCCGGGCTGAAGGCCGCTCCGCCTGACGCTGGAAAACTGCTCATTCCTGTCGTCACATCGTTCGTTTAAAGGTTTCCTCATAACGAGAAACTCCTTTATCATTCCTGATGCAGCATTGAGTTAAAGAGGAGCGTCCCACCCCCACCTGTTGCTGGCCAAAAGGTGACTATGATCAAAAGATCAAACTCCTCCCATCGCTCTCTAATGCAGTTTTATATCAGAACCGTTTGTAAAGTTAAGCATCAGAAAATATGAGCTAATTCTGGTTATTTAAGAGAAAATAATGGAGTTAATTTTTTTTTTAAATCATTCGTTTATAAAAATCTGATTTCCAAACTAAATATTTAGATTGTCAGTTAAAAACAATCATCAGCAAGTTAAATATTTATTTTTCCAAACTAAATATTGATTATTTGAACTAAATATTTGGTTTACAAAATAAATACTTAGTTCATTAAATAAATATTTAGTTTCTTAAATAATAATAGGCCTATTAAATACATATTTAATACCCATTTTTCTCTTAAAAACACGCTAAATAAACAATTTTGACTGCTTTACGTCACAAACGGTGCGCCGTAGCTTTAAATCTCGTTAAGGAGGAAGTGTTGCAGCTCACCAGGCCTGGTGAAAACCCTGGTGAGAGGAAAGCACGGCTGTTGTTTAACTCCCTCCTCTTCTTGCTCTCTGATTGGTCAGATCTGCTGCAGAGAGTCGAAGCTTCCCCAGGCTGACCAATCAGGTTTTATCATCCAACAGTTTCTCCAAACTTCAGGAGACATCTTATCAATTAATCCTTTATCCGTTCTTGGATGATTACTTTCTACTTTTAGCCAAGTTTAAAAGTATTAAAGTAGTTCTACTCTCACTTGAATAAAACTCTGGAGCGACTCTGCAAAAAATGTCAATCTAAATATGTCATGTTTTCTTAAAACATCTGTATTTTCCTTAAATGGAGGCGGCAGGTGAGTAACTTTGCCAATGGAACAAGACAATTTACATCTAAAATAAGAAAAAAAATTGCATTGTCTTATTTCAAGTGCTTTTTATCTAATCATCTTATTTTAGGAGTAAAAATACTAATTCCATTAGCAAACTATCTCATTTACCTGCTCAAACTAAGAGGAGATTCACTTATTTAAGACATTTTTACTTATCAGTTTTTGCAGTGCAGGAAGGTTTCCTCTAAAGCGAATTCAGGAAGTTTGTATTAAAATGTTTGCTTTTATAACAATAAAAGTCTTTTATAGATTAAGTTCCTGCAGCTGAAATAATCATTAATCATTAACGCTTCTGCTTCACTTCTACGTTTTTGTGCAAATACTATGAACTGAAAAGTTAGCGCGTTTCCTGGTTAGCGTCACGCGTTCGGCCATTTTCCCGCTACCAGCCGACGCTATCTTTTCCAGGCCCGGAGGAGGCGAAGCTAAAGCTGGCAGCTGAAAGCTGCGGCTGCACCGACTCTTTGGAAAGGAAAAAAAATAAAGATTTGATTGTTTTTAGCGGTCAGAGCAGCTCAGCTGCTTCTGGAAACACATTTCTAGGATTCTAACTAGCACCTTTCATTGTGCGGGAAAAGCTTTGATGAAATGAAGACATGTTTGGGTGAATGTCCAGCGCCCAGCGCTGCACAGGAATACTTATTGCTCAGATGATCTAACACTATGATGATGATGATGATGATGATGGGGACTAATCAAACCTTCATCATCGTTGTAGTTTTCACAGTTTCTAAACGTTTATCTAACATGAGGAGGAAAAAACAGCCTGATGGTTTCCAGCTCTGGGTGGGGGGGGCTGAACCGTGTGAGCAGGCATGCAGCGCCGCTGCCCCCTGCTGGTGAAATGCAGGAACAGCAGGATTCAGGCTGTGGATCTCCAGCAGCTCCTGAACTGCAGATTAAGCAGAGGTGAGGAGGAGGAAGGAGGAGGAGGAGGAGGAGGAGGAAGGAGCTCCGCTCCTCTTTTTTCTCCCATTTTGGTCAGTTTGGATCCTGACTGGAGAAGCTGGCAGAGTTTTAATCACAGTGTTCAGGCGTGCAGAATTAACGGTTCAGTGTTTCTGAGTGTAGAAGGTGTTTCTGTGAGCAGGTGGAGGATGAAGAGCGGCTCTCCTCCTCTTCCTCCTCCTTTCTGAGCCGCAGCTTCTCCGGTTCCGGATAAAACTCTCCCTCCTGTTCTACACGCTGGCCTCCGGCGCGCCGTCGTCCTTCATCTTGACGTAGACCTTGGGGTCGTCCTCGCTCTCTTCTCGGAGGCGCTGCAGGTGGCGGCTGTGGCACAGCAGGTAGAGCGGCAGGCAGAACCCCAGCATGCTCAGCACCAGCAGACCCACGTTCACCTGAGCATCAGACAGACATGGGGATGAAGAGACGGGAGCGCCGGGCGGCCATGATGGCGACTCGGGGTTCAGCGTCTTACCCATAAAGGGTCTCCTTCCAGGGGTCCCACCATAGCCAGGAAGAGGGGCTGCTGCAGCAGAGCAAACAGAGCGCTGATCAGGGACTGCATGCCGGTCAGGCTGCCAAACTGGGAGGACGGGTACCTGCAGAGGACAAAAAGGTTCTCTGCTAGAGCAAAGTTTTCACTTTATTACAAAAATACTAGAATCATCTGAATGTGAGGAGAGTCGGAGTGGAGCAGCGCTTCCCAAAGGAGGAATAAAGATCCCCTAAAATATGAGTTGTTCTTTTTATTCTGCGCTTTTTACAATAAAAACCAACAAACCAAAAAAATGTGACCGTTAATTATGAAATAATAATAAACAAGAAACCAAAACCAGTAAACCAGCCTGATGGAGCTCCTTCACTAACATGTGGAGCAACGCTTGGAGGAAAACGCTGCATTCAGGTGTTTCTGAAATAATCCGTCAGATTTCTGCACCTGTTGATGGTGTGTTGGTGAAATGTTCACCAGCCAGGTGCTCTGATGGTTTGATTATCTGTAAAACCATAAATCAATATCAATATTTAAATTTACTGAATCATTAGTAAATCGTTATTTTTTCCAGTTTCTAGTTATTTGAATTAATGATCCATTCTCTGATTGGCAGTCTAACGAGGGAGGGGGAGCAGAGGGAGGGGTGAGCAAAATGAAAACTGATTGAAAAGTTTCCATAAAATGAGTCGATTTAAAAGCTTTAATTGGTTGAAATATTCTTCTAAAAAAAAGCAGCTTTTTGCTTGTTGGGTTTTTGGTTCACGTCTCAAATACGATGAATTAGTGAACGATGGAGTCGCTCATTAGCAAAACGCACTGAACTAGTTTCTAAATCTGTTCCAGACAGCTCCCTGGGTGCTCAGCCCCCCTAAACCTCTGCTCCTAGAATCACCCCGGGGTTCTCAGCCACCCCCCCCACTGGGCAGTGTAAATCGTAGTAGCATCAGTTTATCATTTCCTCCCGTTCTGCACATCCAGCGAAGTAACAATAAAACTCTGAGAATAAATCAGGATCTGAGGAGGTTTTTACTGAAGGTTTAACACTAAAATAGATTCAAACCCTGAATTCAGTTTCAGTGGCACCCCAAGAGTTTTAGTGGCACCTTTTTCTGGAGGCGCCACCGCCGTTGGGAAACGTCTGAGTGAAGCAAACATCTTTCATTTCAGCTTCACAAAACCTGATATGTTTGTTTAATCTAGTTTAATATTTGTTGTTTAAACCCTTTCCAAACTAAAATACCAAAGTGTCTCTGATCTAAAGGCCGAGGTTCCCCAAGATTTCAGCCTGAGACCAAAACGGAGGGGGGGGGGGGGGGACCCAGAGGAGCAGCTAGCTAGCATTTCCACTTTTTTTTCCATTGGTCCCTTGATTTTCCGTTATTCCATCATGTTCTACTCTCCCATCTGAGTTTAGTGTCATCTGGAGCCGTTCTGAAGATATTCCGTTAGGTTATATCCAGTAACGTCTTCCTATGGGCAACGACTTGAAGGCACAAACTAAACTGTTCATCATTTATTCTTTATGGTACGCCAGCATTCAGAACATGGAGGACAATCACTGTCCCCCAGACATCCGCCGTTATTACTTTTTATATTTCTATTTATTTAAAACAAAGCGGAGTGTGTATGACATCATCCGCACGGCGGACTGGAGTAGTGACAGGCAGCCCGGGCCACAGGCGGCTACGCTCTACCCCTTCTATTCATTCTAGCTCATCTGAATCGTTCATCTGGAGAGCGAGATCATCTGTGGTAGCAGCACTAGACATCTTCCAGGCATGAGAGGAAAACTAGCAGCAGTTCAGCGGACAGGATGAATGAACGGTGGCTGGCGCACGCCAACTATGCCATCAGAACGCTGATAATATTAAGTGTATATATTAAGCTCCTAGCGCCAAATCTAGAGACTTTTTTCTGCTACTGGAGACTTTGGAGACAACATCTAAAAGCAGCGAACTCTGCTCTCCAGAGCGAGTAGATTGGTAACCCCGCCTCCTGCCTGGCTTTGCCTAGGGCCTCACATTTCCTAAACCCGCCCCTGGTTTTCATTATCAATATATAATAGTCTGATTATTAGCTGATTAAATGACATATTGGATGAATTTCCAGTTAAACTTGTCATGTTTTGAATGACAGCTATAGTTTGCTTTTGTTGTGTTTATGTCTCTCTGGTTGAATCATCTGATGATATGTTCCAGTTTAAAGGTTGCAGCTTGGACCTTTCATTCAGGTGAATAAATAAAGCCCTGAAAGTGTCATGGCTGCTTAACGCTGCAGGTCAGACCGTCCAACACTCACACAGCGGCATACAGGCCTCCGACAGCAGAGTGGATGAAGCCTCGGACCACCGTGTGCAGAACGAAGGACAGGATCTGGAAAGGAACAAGACAAGATGTTCAGTGCAGCTGTAACATCTAATCATAGCAGCTCTATATTTAGCAACAGCTAGCTTCCATCTGTGACTCAATAAATAAGCAATATCTTTTCCGTCCAGTAGGGGTCAGTGTAATGCTGCTCTATTCCCTCATGGAGCAACAGCTTCACATGTTGGCAAATGTGCTGCAAAAACCATCCAGGAATAAATCAATGTTTCTTTATTTAAATGCATTTAGTGTCTGATCAGGAGCAGAAGATGATTCACCAATTAATAATTTTACTCTTAAAACAAAATCAGATAAAATGCACTTTAAATAAGACATTGCAATAGTTTTTTTTGTTGTTTTAAATGTCTTTTTCCTTCTCAACTCAAGAAAAAATGCTGTTATTTTAAGAAAGAATGATTTTCAGACGCCCTGACGATCAGTGCGCCTCCCACCTGCAGCGGCAGGTTGGGGACCACGCAGGTGACCCCGAAGCCGACCAGCAGCAGGTTGGTGAAGATGAAGGCTCTGGTGGCGTTGACGATCTTCTGGATCTTTTTGGTCGGGCGCCGGGGCTGACCGGGCTCGCTGCAACATAAAAACAGAGCATACTCAGACCCGTTCTCCGGCCTCTCCCGCTCCTCCCTCTGACGCCCGCTCACCTCTTGGCGCTCTTGTCGTTCTCATCCTCGCAGTCTTTGAGCTTCCAGTCCATGACGTAGCCGATGACCGGCGAGGTGACCAAACACAGGAGCTGGAGCACGCCGAAGATGGAGGTGTAGACGCTCACTGAGGGACACAGAGTTCCTGGTTAGGCTTTCAGGCCGAGCACAGCGCTGAATGAATAACTGGATGAGGAGGAGATGTTCTTAGATAACATGAGACTCTCTGATTGCTTTAATCCAGACTTCATGCTCTAAACAAGGACAGACAGGAGGAGGGTGAACTGGGCCCCTTACCCACTTGCATCCTCTCCACTGCGACAGCAGCAGGAAGCAGGCATGACAGGGATGTGGAGAAGTTAAAGAAAAGACACGCAGAGCAGCATTTCCATGTTAGCTTAGCACACAGCCTGCGACTCTCACCTGTGTTCAGGTCGCCGTCCGTCAGCGACTCCAGGATGGTGTTCATGGCTCCCATGTAGAAGATGAGCCTCAGCTGAGTGACGCACATGGTGATGAGGCTGAGCAGGAAGATGGGACTGAAGATGCTCCTCATGAACGACTGGGCTGCAGAGGGAAACCAGAGCTTCAGGACTTTGTTTAGATCCGGATGTTCCAGATACGGAGCAAGTCTCCGTCACAGTCACCCCCCCCATGCAGGTGGAGCAGCGGTTAGCGATCATGACCTGTCCTCTAAAATGATCCCATTTGTCATCTTTTGATGTTTAGTTTTTTGTTTGTTGCGGCTGGGAGGCTAGAAATCTGAAAAGTGTGGCCTGACTCTATGTCTGTTCGCCAGTCGTTGCTCTGGCATAAAGGTTTTAAACTAAATAGATTTAGACTTTGACTAGGCCGTTCTAAGACATAAATCAAATGTTTCGGTTGTCAGACTCCTTTCCTGCACTGCAAAAAATTTTAATCTAAATAAGTCATTTCTGCTTAAAAAAAAGTTCATTTTGTCTTGAATCGAGGAGGTAAGGGAGACATTTTGCTAATGGAACAAGACAATTAACATTTAAAATAAGAAAAACAATTGCATTCTTTTATTAAGTGCAAATTATCTAATTATCTTATTCTAAAGGTAAAATTGCTCATTTCATTGGCAAATCATCTTATCTACCTGCTCAAATCTGCTCAAATTAGGGGTAAATTCACTGACTTTAAGAAGTTTTAGCTTATTTTTAGATGGTTTCAGCTGGACGGCCATCATTAGTTTGCAGAGAATAGCCCTCGTCGCTGCGCTACATGTCCAGAGGTTATGACACCGTTTGCACTTTGTTTTTTTTAGGCTCTGATATTAAAGCTGCAGAGTTGGTCATCCAGATATTCCCGCTGCCTCCGTGTTGCCATGGTGACGCCTGGGCGCGTAGCGGCAGGAGGACCCAGAGAAGAGCCAACAGTCAGAAAGGTTGATCATTAATGAAGGGGGTGAATATGAATGGAAAATGGACACTTGGCTCCATACGGTGAAGTGCTGCACAATCCAATTAGCAGTGAGTGCACAGATGGAGCAGGTGGGTTTATTGCCCACTGGAAACCGAAGACCAGCTAATGACTGGAACTGTTTGGTCATGGGGACCAGAAATTGGGATATTTTCCGAAGCCCTTTTAGCCATGCATTATTAGAACGGTGGCGGGATCCATTAGCTGCAGCGCAGAGCAAAGAATGAGCCGTTTCCACTGATCGCCTGTTAGCAACATAACAGGAATATTTGTTTCTGAAAATCACAGGAAAAACGAGCCTTTGTCCCTTTTCTTCTTGTTTTCCTCTCTATGTTTTGTACTCAGCTGACTTTTCATGCTGTCTCTAAAGGAATGAAAGATTTTTTCCAAGCACTAAGCTCACTTAGCTGATTGCTCCTTCCTGTGTTTCCAAAAAGGCCAAAGTAAATAACCCAGTCCTTCTTTTCACTGTAGACAAGCCATGATCTGCTTATCTGTTCTCCATTTTTCATTTGGATGAAATAATAGCTGCATGAATCATGACAGCAGACAAGATAGAGGAGAGCAGGAGGCGGGGTTACCAATCTACTCGCTCTGGAGAGCAGAGTTCGCTGCTTTTAGATGTTGTCTCCAAAGTCTCCAGTAGCAGAAAAAAGTCTCTAGATTTGGCGCTAGGAGCTTTTTAGAAATCAAAGTGCTAGAGGGGTCTGAAAAGTGGCTAAATATAGCGACTAAAGCGCTAAGTTGGCAACACTGCTCTTTGCATGGTTTGTTTTCAAATGGTTTGCTGCTGTCTGTTTGGACCTTTCTGAACATGTGCAGCAAATGGACTGATCCAATATGGTGGACACTGAAGGGGGGGGCTGAGACACACTTAATATTATCAGCGTTCTGATGGCATTTTAGAGAAAGGATTTTTATCAGAAACATAATTAATGTGCAGAAATAAGGAATAGTTGTATAACAGTTGTACTGGCAGCTGTCTAGTTGCTTAATAATAAATTAGAAATCTATTACTGAGCCACTTATTGGATAACATCTATAGATGAATGAACGGTTGTGCAGGAAGTGGGCCTCTGAGGTTCTGGACAGCTGTTGTCAATATTCTACACATGGTTGAACCGGTTAACCCCAAACAATGCTTCTCTGGCGCCCCCTGCCTCAAACACGCCACCTGCTGAGCAGCTTTTCCCAGAAATCGCTCCGACTTGATTCCACGGTCCATTTGGTACCAAAAGGACCAAGAGGAAAACCACCAGCAGACCGCTGGGAGATCCTGACCCCAACGAAGAGACAAGGGGGCCCCCAGGGGCCGGGAGGCGTGGGGGTGACAGGGGTCGACTTTGTGTGGATGTGGGACAGAAGGTCCACTGTAATTACTGTACGCAGCTCTGGGACAAAACGCTGTGAAACTTCTTTATTTTAGACACTATAAATTAAACTGTTTTAGGAAAATTAGGGGAAATTTTCCACCTAAAGCTTTTTATCTGATTTACAAACATTTCATGCAGATTCTTAAAGCGCGAGACGCTAAAGTTTAAACACTATTTTAAGAAAAATGAAAGTAAAACATGACCTGAAATTATTTTACACAAAAAGCAAAAGTGAACAAACTGCTGCTGAAATAATAAAGGATGTTTTTATTAAACTAAATCATTATTTTTTTTCCAAATGCTTCATTTTTGGGAAATAAATGTGACATCTTCATTTTAAACTGTAAATTACTAAAATAAACAAATAAAATATAAAACGTGAAATCGAAATAATCCTATTGATTTTCATCAAGTTTAATAACGTTAGAAAAGCAAAATATTGAATGCTGCTAAATGTAGAAATGCTTATTTCATTTCACCAAGGATTGAAGCTAATGCTAATATTAATTAGTCTAGCTAGCCGGCAGCTAACTGACATTCGGCTTGTAGCTAGCTAACTGAAGTAATGTTGTCTTAAAGGAGTAAACACCCAGAAATATGCAGACGCCCCGACGTTAGCCCCGGCTGCTGCAGGCGCCCCGACGTTAGCCCCGGCTGCTGCAGACGGCTAACACTTTGGCGCGTCTGCAGCAGCCCTCTCTCTGCATAGCCGTGTGTGAAGGACCTCTGGCTCTCATGGCGATATTTTTGTTCTATTGGGCAAAATGTTAATTTGATGTTTATCCGACTGTGTTCATTATTATTTTCCCACTAAATGAAAAACTTCAGAATTACTTATTATCTAGAGACTATTAATACCAGGAGGTGAAATGCAGCTCCAGATGAGCTTTGAATGCGGTGAGATTTAGATTTATGCTGCGTTCCCCCAGAATCCAGACTTTCTTGGGTTCTTCTCATGAACAGACTTGGCGAGAACACGAGTCCGTACTCGCGTTCTTGTGAATTGAGAAATGGCCGCCAACTGCTAATGTCGCTAACGCTACGTCCACCTAAACGTTCGTACACACAAGGGTTGTAAAAAGTGTTAGAGAAAGTAATCCTAACGAGCCGTTTAATTTTCTCTCCTATAAAAACTATTTAACTTTACAGACCATTTCAGAGGAATTGTTCCAGTAAAATAAAATAGTGTTTTTTAGAACTGGAAATATTTCAAAACAGCTCAATTCAAAACGTTTTCAGAAAAAGCAGCCTCCTTTCAGCCAGCTGACTGGAAGTGTGCAGCAAGCTTTACATTATCAATGCTTCTCTATAGGTTAGAATTCTTTGGTTTCCTGCATAGAAGTAGATGTTTGATACCAATAATATATTGAATAATTTCCTTCATCAGGAATCTGAGGAGCAAAGCAAACCCAAACACCATGATTCTACTCGCTACGCATCATTTAGGCACATGCTGCGTATTTGGTGCTAGCTCTGTTGGTAGCATGCTAAAGACCTACGTTACTCAGATGGGAAAAGGCAAACAGAGCAGCAGTGAACGGCCAATCAGAAGGAACCTGTCATGTGACATGGCGGGGGGGCGGGGTTTCACCTCAGCCCCTCCTTTCATCTCTCATTCCTTTAGTTAGATCTATTATTCCAGAGTTTAGATGCTCTGTGGCGACTCACATTCTTCATTGCTTTTGCAGTTGACCTCCAGGTCGACGGTGGACAGGCAGAGTTTGCTGGCGTCCTGCGCCGACAGGTCTCTGGACGGCTGCTGCGGCTGCTTGATGGCGTGGCCCACGCTCAGACGGCGCCCCACCGTGGTCACCTGCCGGTAAAACTGTTTCCCGGTGATCTTGTGGTCAAAGCCCAGCCAGCTAAACTTAATCTTCACTCTAAGGGATGTTGTGTGGGGAAAAGACAAGAGAAGAGGCTTTTAGTGAGAACGGAAATAGGAGGAGGGGGAATGTCGGCGAACAGCGGGAAGAATAAAGACCTTCATGAGAGAAATCTGCTGCTTTTATCTGCCTTCATCTTTAGGTTTCAGAGGAATCTGCTGCCTGACTGCAGGATTTACTGAACAGGCAACTTCTTTCTTGCAAATATATTTTTTTACTTTTTTATGTTGTTGTTTTTAGTTTCCGAGTTAATTTGATTCTTTTTTATTGTTTCAGTTTTATTTTTTCATCTTTTTATATATATATATATATATATATATATATATATATATATATATATATATCCACATTCAATTTTTTCAAATTGCTCTTTTCCTTACTGAGTTTGTTTTTAAATTCCAGATCCTGTTCGATTCCTTTCCTGTCCAATCCAGTCGCTCCCACTTGACCAATCAAACGTCGCCAACATCCAGCAGACCAATAGAAACGAGTCTTCCCTCCTCAGATCAGAGGAAACCCCGCCCCCAGAATAAAGATCATTTAAAAATGAACTAAATTTGTATAAATGAATTAGAAAAAGTGAAGATAAATGTTAAAAATACATTGAAAATGTTGAAATATTCTAAAAAAAAAAAAAGTTACTCTCAAAACTTTTATTTTTATTAAGATTTTTTTTTCTGTTTCATTTCTGGATTAATTGTTTTTTGCAAATGTTCTCTAGAAACTATGGAGTCAAGTTTGTTCCATAATCTTCGCTTTGCACAAACTTTTTGTTTCAGAATAAGGACTCAAACGGGAATAAAGTGACGCCGGGTTCGGGAACAGAGTAAATAATCCACACCATGAAGCATGGTGGTGGCAGTGCCATGCTGAGGGATGGAAACATGGATGACGCTAAAAGTACGGCAAACAGAAATGATTTTCTGCTTTCAGTTGTTCTGTCCCATATAAAACCAGTAAAATAGACCAGTTTTTGATTACGAGATCCAATATGGAAACCAGTTAGCCGTGGAGGTTAGCCTAAAGCTAACGGCGGGCTTAGCATGTTTTAGCGTGTCTTACGTGAAGTCCATGTCTTCTGGTCCTGGGAAAGGCTCCAGCGGCCAGTTGATGAAGCAGTTGAGGAAGACGAGGCAGGCGCAGCCGGCCCACACCAGCAGGATAGAGATGAAGGCGGCGCCCAGGTCATAAATTACCTGGAGACACAAAGACAGAAACGGAACCTGAACATGGAGGAACGGGACAGAGAGCAGCTCGGTGGAAAACATGAGCGCCAGACGCAGAGCTCCGCTCTGAGCTCACCTTGATCCCAGGAAAGGTGACGGCGGAGGAAGCGTAGGATCCGATCATCAGGGCGATGAAGGTGGACCTCAGGTCTCCAAACATGTTGGGAAGCTGAGAAGGGAGGAGATAAAAGCGTCGTCATGGTGACCGATGTTATGGCTCCGACTGAGGCTTTTTAGTGATGAAGATTAAAGAAGAAGAACGGCAGGAGTGACGGCAACGTTCATTCTCCTCATATTTAGCTTCCTCCTGCTCCACAGCATGATGCTTCCACCACCATGCCTTAAAGCAGGGATTCCACCGCCCTCTATATGGGTCCAAGCAAACTGAACACATTGCTTGATGTTTAAAAACCTTTGAGGCTGGATTCATTCTGAGATTACATCATTTCATCTAAGCCCCGCCCCCCACGCCAAGGGGCTCGCAGTTTGAAAAACCTAATCAAAGATTAATAAAACAAAATTGAATCCAAAAAATGTTTTGAATTTCTCTTTAGTTTCAAATTTGTTTATTTTTGTTTTGATATATTTATTATATAAATTTTGCTGGGGGGGGGGGTTCTGCTGTTCTCCTTCTCCTGCTGGAAGCAGCCGAATGTCTGTGACTGCAGAATGAGGACATGCTGGCTGAGGCTGCTGTGAACCCGGTGGGAGTGGAGCTGCTCCTTCCTGCTCCGCTGTTGCAGCAGAGGGAGGCGCTGCTGATGCAGGTCTCACTCAGAGCACACGGCGTTCTCAGCCAGCAAACTGTAAACATGCTCCTCAGAACGAGCGCCTGACCCACAAGTTTGTCCTGAGTGAGACGGATGGCAGCTTCAGTGCCAGTCTTCTGTCAGACCAGCATACTTATAGTCAAAACGCAGCGCAAGACGGCAGATAAGCTTTTATCCCTTTAGTTTTGTATGAAAAATAGACTTTAAACCACCTTAACGGGCGTCTATCCCTTTAGTCCTCTACAACAAAAAACTATTTAAGGTCAAATCGTCATACGCTTAAAAAAAAACACCAAAAAGTTGGTTAATAAATCGTTTTTTTGTACATGACTAAAGGTATAAACTAAAGGGATAAACGGGTACTGACTATGGGTATGCTGGTCTGACAGGGTATGTTCGTCTGACAGACAGCAGATGTGAACAACATGAAGCTGCTTGAATCAAAGGAGCTATGATGGGTGACGGATCGCAGAGGCGTTCTGTCTCGCCACGCTTTGAGCTTCCTGAACCTGTTCACCCCAAACAGATGTCACTCCTCAGATCCACTGGAGCACAAAGTGAGAACCAGTGCAGAACCCGCAGAGACCAGAAGTTAAAGACCCAAAACAATGAGTTCAACGGTCCACGGGGGGGGGGGGGGTAGATGGCCGACCTCTGGTCAGGAGGGGGGGGGGGTCCCTTGTGTTGGTGATTTCTAATGGTGAAAGGAATGTGTTGAGTGTTTCTCAGCCTTCAGCGGACGCCCTGAGACTCCTGAGGAGAATCTGTCCCTCAGTCACTTTTTCTGACGCGTCGCTTTGAGACGTAATCTGTGTTAGAAAACAAAACCAGGCCAGGAAGTTCATCTGCCTGGAAGAACCGTTGGAAACGTCTGCAGAGCAAACAGCTGGTTTCTAGTGTTTCTCTATTGGTTTCAGTCTTCAGGTAAAACCTGGCAGACGATCCAAAGAGTGAATGTTTGATCGGCTGCTTTCAAATCCTGGGCTGGATCTTCCAAGGACTCGGTTTTACCTGGACTGGATTCTTCCAAGTCCATGAAAATAAGGAGACCGGAGAGTTTTGGCTGTGGATTCAAACAGGTCCAGCCTTCCACGGCACTTACCGCCGTATGCTCTGTCGTTTAGCAACCAGAGGCACAGCGACACGTTCCCAGCCTGTTCTTTGCTCCAAGCTTTGATTCAGAAATGGGAACAAGTTATTTTGCTGCGCAGACTTTGGAAGACAGATAAAACTTTATGGGTGTTAAAAACTAAAGAGGACCGAGCAGATTTCAGTTTCAGGCCTGTGAAGGGAAGAGAAACGCGGCGGGTCTTTAAAACTGACCGAGGCTGAAAGAGGAAATTGGATGAAGCCGTGTGAGCGGAAAAAACAGAAATGAAAAAGGAAGCCGGTTTCTTTTTCGTTCTCTTTGCTGCATCAAGTGGAAACTCCAGCTGCCAGAACCAGATCGGTCCAGATCTAATCGGTCCAGTCCAGATCAGATTGATCCTGTCCAGATGCATGGAGTGGGAATCAAAAAGAGCAGCGAAGGAGACGCCACTTGCTGTCAGCAACCATCAGCCTGACGTCGCCTCCCAGGTTCTTCATCAGAACCTTCTGCCTTATTCTCACATAGGAACCAGTGATCTCGTGCTTCATCAACAAACCAACGAGGAAGATGATCCCTTCTTCAACCTTTTAACACTGATTCTGCTGAGCAGACAGAGAGGCTTTCAAAGGTTCAGACTGGTGGAGATCTGCATACGGAGGAGGAGCCTGCTCTTCCTGTGGGCGTGGCCTCTCTGTGCAGAATGTACTGCATGTTCCTATAGGCCATAGAGGGGCTTTTGTTTGGGACCAACAGAAACAGAAGCTCTGCACTGTAACACGACACTGTTTCCACATTTTCTCCTCATCCAGATACTTTCCATGTTTTTCTGGAAGGCGGAATGCATTCAGGATGAGGGAGGAGATGATTGAGCACATGAGAAACTGAAGGAATAATCCTAAAAAAGAGGATGGGATCAAAGCTGAAGCAGGCGTCCAGATCGGAGCTGAACGGATCTATGTTCAGTTTGCTTTGTGAGACAAACGCCTCAGCCTCTGCAGACACACCTGCACACAGCGGCCTGCATGAAGCCGACAGGTTAGACAGCAGCTGCATGCAGGTCCCGCCCACTAGGGTGGGGGTGTTCTGCTGTAGCAGCTTCCTGTTTTGCAGTGTCAGAGGAAGTGCTGCAGGACCAGAGAACCACAAAGCCAAAGCATCTTTTATGCTTCGCAGCTCGTCTTTCTTTTGCTAATAAAAAAAGTGATAAAGACTATTTCAGCTTAAAGCAGCAGCAGGAGTGAAGAAAACATAATAATCAACCATGCAGCTCAGACTGAGCAACCTGATCATTCCAGACACTCACTGCTGATCCTCAAACTGCTCTACTATGCATATATCTATGTCTAAACAAAGCTGCAGAGCAATCACTCATCTATCATCAGAACCTCCCTCTGGTCTCCTAATGTTTTTCCTTGAAAGCGCTCTAATCCATCCTCCTGATCCACTTCCTCGCCAAACCGCTTCCTGTTCATCATCCTCTGCAAAACGCTGCTTTCTTTGGACTTTTCCTTTATATTCACAGGAAAGTCGCTCATATTCAGAATTCAAACTTCTGAAAGTTCTTTAAATCTGAAATGATTCCATCCTGTTCAATAAATGATCAGTGTTTTTAATTCAGAGTAATTTCCATGTGAATGTGCTTTACTGGAGGCATCCATGTTTGTCAAAGAACACTACTGCCACCTACTGGTTAGTGACATTGTCACGGTGCGGTATCGGCTGTTGATCAAGTCCCAGTGCTGTATCTGGTGTTTGTCACAACGCGCTATTATCCAAGTCATCTTGAAAACATTCTTCTTCCAAATGTTGGCTACATATTACGGGTTTTTTCTCTGGCCAGAAGTTCGATGGCAAATCCTCCCTCTTCAAGTTGGCGATCCAACGACCAACCCGTCCGTGGAGGATCAGGAATCAGAAAGGTGGAATAACTCTTTTTTTCCACTTTTACCCGATGTATTCCAGCATCCAGCTGCCATGCACGTGGGCATTGTCAGTTTCACTATAGCTCTGGTGAATTTCAATGGTGAAGTCCTCTGGAAATCTTCAATAATTGTTGTTGATTGCAGATGTGTCTAGTAGTTCCCATTGATTTAGCTTGGAAAGCGGGGAGAATGGCGCTAGGCTTACCGCACCGTGACGTCACTGCTGGAAGATGGCAGGAGGGAGGGGCTACTAGATTTGTCATGGTTTTGGTTCAGTTTTATCTCTGAGTTTTCATTTCCATTTTTGTGTTCTTGTTATTTTTTATTGTCTTTGGGTTCTTAGAGGTCTCTTGTTTTCCATCTTGTCTCCTTCCACCTGCTCCCAACCTGCTAATCAGGCTGGTCTTTGCTTCTCCCATTTATTCTCCTCCTGTTCACAGCAAAAATTATCTCAAAATGAGTAAAAATGTCTTAAATTAAGGGTATTTACCCTTAATCTGAGCAGGTAAATAAGATGATTTGCCAATGGAATTAGTATGTTTACTCTTAAAATAAGGTATCTAGATAATATGCACTTGAAATAAGACAATGCAATTGTTTTTTCTTATTTTAAGTTCAAATTGTCTTGTTCCATTGTTAAAGAGTCTCACTTAAATCCTTAATTCAAGAAAAAATGCACTGATTTTAAGAAGAAATGACTTATTTAGATTTCATTTGTTCTCCTGTTCAGTCACTCTTTGCCGGTTTGTCGTCATTTCTTTGCCCCCTTGTTGTGATTGTTCCTGGTTTGCAGTAGTTTGGGATTTTTGTGGATTTATGTTTTTAGATTTTCTGTTTGAAAACAGCAAAGTTTCTTTTTAAAATGTTTCTTGATTAAAATGTTTATCAAAGTTTAATTATTGAATTGGATCTTTACTAATTTCTTCCCCAGACTCCTCAGACCGAAGCCGATAGGACAGGAGGACTCTAACTGTTCCTGACCTTTAACCTCAGAGCTCCTCTACTTCGATCAGACGACCTTCTGCCTGAATGAGGTTTTATTCACCAGGAGCGTCGTCCTGCACGAGGATTAGTGCTGCTAGACTGACAGCAGAGTTACTGAGGAAACTAATCAGCTGAGGTCTTCCTACCGTCAGAGAGGTGAAGGTCATACACATCCCTCCAAAGCCGTTCATGGCCAAAGCAAAGAAGATCAGGATGGAAAGATCTGAGAGCAGAAGAGGCACAGATGAGAAAACATCTGGACGCTGGTTAACGAGGACATGAAGTACCGCAGAGGACGTACTGTTGGGATCGCTGGCTCCATAAGCAATGAGGAGGCAGGAGAAGGCGAAGCAGGCGCTGCAAACAGAGAGACACGGTCAGAAGAAGAAGAAGGAGCTGGACGGTCCGTCTCCTCTGAACGGAGCCTCACCTTCCCAGCAGTCTCAGTTTACGCGGGCCGTATTTGTCCATGACGATGCCCAGGGGCAGAGTGATGGCCGACAGCAGGAAGGAGCCCACGGTGAAGGCCAGGTTCAGCCTCTCATCCTGGTCCTTGCAGATGGGCCAGTTATTCATCAGCAGGAACTCCTCCTCCTCCCCGGGGGCCGCGGGGGAGGAGGAGTTGGAGACGTTGAGGCTGGAGATGTTTTCTACAAAGAAGGAGAGAAACTCTGTGAAACACCTGCTGATGGTTTTAATGAGGCGACCTCATCGGGACCATCAGCTGGTCCAGCATCTCACCCCCCCCCTGAGTAAACAGAGGGAGCAGAAGCCAGTAAACAGCTCCCAGAAATATTTACCAGCTGAACTTTGGGGGGGGGCTCACTGTCCCTCAGCTGGTTCGTACCAACAGGTCTATTTCTGTGCTTCATCAGGGTGAGGTGGTGTAAACAGACGGAGGGGAAGCTGAGGACCCAGCAGAGCGGCCAACGACACCCCCCCCCAATGTGAGGGGTGGGGGGGAACCCGTCTTTCTCCAGGAAAGAAGCAGCTCAGCTCTGAACATTAAACCAGAAACACGTTGGAGGCGGAGTCTGCTGGAGAAAACACGCCGTTTCTCGCTGAGTCAGGGAGACGGCAGGAAAGGAGCTGTTTGTGCCGGGGGGGGTTAGAGCAACAGGAAGCTCCAGTGTCAGGATGAGATGCTTCCCAATGGAAAAACTGGTTTGTGTTTGTGAGGATTTCAGTGGAGGAAAGGTTAAAGATCTGATGAACCTCAGCGCAGTTCTGGTTTATAGAATCTAGATTTTAGATGAACAAGCAGGATTAATTTAATCTGGATGAATCATTGGGAAGCTGGTGCAGCAGAAGCTTCAGACACTCAGCGACAGCAGAGGGAGGAAAACCTCCTCCTGCTCTCACAAACAGAGCTTTACTCCAGGAAGTGGTCATCATTACGACCATAAAAGGAGTCATCCATGGTTCTGTCTGCAGGCTGCATGAAACCGTTCAAACATGTCCTGTTTGTCCTTTTGCTGATGACATTCTGCTCCCAGTCAGAAAGCAGCCGTTAAGCTGACTGTTTGAGCAATAAGGGACAGTCTGTGAACCCAGAGCTCAGCAGAGCAGACGACTCGTTCTGCTCTGTGTGACATTGGACACAGATACGGCGCCGCCAGCGGCGCTGATAACGCCCGACCTTTACAGCAAAGCTAGAAGCGCAGCTTTGTTCTGGACAGACATGCGACTCTAGAATGGCTGCACCCGTGGCGTCTGCAGCGGCTGGAGACGCATCAGACCAGGATTGGGGTCACAGGGGTTTTAGGTGGCAGCTGACTGCATCAGCGGAAATCTGACTGGTTGGAGCCGGACTTCCTGAAAACAGGCCGTTTAAAGCTGGGATGCAGCCATGTGACGCTTTCAAGGCTGAACTTTAGCTGCTCAAGGAAAGTCATGAAAAACACAAATAAAGCAGCAGAAACTAAGAGCTTATCCTGGATTTCTGATGATTAAACGTTTGTCATTTTGTAAACAGAGTGTATAGAAAAGGAAATATTTTGTGCAGCTTTCACACAGTAAATGAGCAAAAGGTTAAACTGCAAAAACAACCTAGAAATTCAAGCTGAGATGAAGTTTGGTGCAGCATAAATCACCTGGAATGATTTAGCTCCTCTGAACTCAGGAAACTAGTTTTTTCATGGAATAAAATGTTGTTCTGTAAAATATCGATCAGTGGAAAGACACCATCTTTAATTTTGACCGAATCTTCCAGTGCAGACGAGCTAAAAGCCTTTTAGCGCCGCGTCTGGGAGACTTCTGAGTGTAAACGGCTCCGTTTCCTTTAGTTTTCAGTCAAGTGGAGCTCATTTCACAGCTGCTCACTGCAGCAGAGACTCGGATTTGCATTGAGAACAGATAACTGGGAAGACATGGGAGGTCAGGCTGGACGGTTTCTCTGCACATGAAGACACCTTCTAATGTCCATGATGGAAAACAGCCCGATAAGATGGATGGTTGGATGATGGATGGAGATGATGGATGGTTGGTTGGATGATGGATGGATGGATGGATGATGGATGGATGGATGGATGGTTGGATGGATGGATGGATGGATAGAGATGATGGATGGTTGGTTGGATGATGGATGGATGGATGGATAGAGATGATGGATGGATGGATGGATGGATAGAGATGATGGATGGATGGATAGAGATGATGGATGGATGATGGATGGATGGATGGAGATGATGGATGGTTGGATGGATGGATGGAGGGATGGATGGATGATGGATGGATGGAGATGATGATGGAGGGATGATGGATGGATGGATGGATGGTTGGAGATGATGGATGGATGGTTGGAGATGATGGATGGATGGATGGATGGATGATGGATGGTTGGTTGGATGATGGATGGATGGATGGATGGAGATGATGGATGGATGGATGGATGGATGGATAGAGATGATGGATGGATGATGGATGGATGGATGGAGATGATGGATGGTTGGATGGATGGATGGAGGGATGGATGGATGATGGATGGATGAATGGATGGATGGAGATGATGGATGGATGGATGGATGGATGGATGGATGATGGATGGATGGATGGATGGAGATGATGGATGGTTGGTTGGATGGTTGGATGGATGATGGATGGATGATGGATGGATGATGGATGGAGATGATGATGGAGGGATGAATGGATGGATGAATGGATGGATGGATGATGGATGGATGGATGATGGAGGGATGATGGATGGATGGATGGATGAAGGGATGATGGATGGATGGATGGATGAAGGGATGATGGATGGATGAATGGATGGATGGATGAATGGATGGAGATGATGGAGGGATGATGGATGGATGATGGATGGATGGATGGATGGATGAAGGGATGATGGATGGATGAATGGATGGAGATGATGGAGGGATGAATGGATGGAGATGATGAATGGATGATGGAGGGATGAATGGATGGAGATGATGATGGAGGGATGAATGGATGATGGATGGATGGATGGATGGATGGATGGAGATGATGATGGAGGGATGAATGGATGATGGATGGAGATGATGATGGAGGGATGATGGATGGATGGATGGATGGATGAATGGATGGATGGATGGATGATGGATGGATGGATGGATGGATGATGGATGGAGATGATGATGGAGGGATGATGGATGGATGGATGAATGGATGGAGATGATGGATGGATGGATGATGGATGGAGATGATGATGGAGGGATGATGGATGGATGGAGGGATGATGGATGGATGAATGGATGGATGGATGAATGGATGGAGATGATGGAGGGATGATGGATGGATGGATGGATGGATGGATGGATGAAGGGATGATGGATGGATGAATGGATGGAGATGATGGAGGGATGAATGGATGGAGATGATGAATGGATGATGGAGGGATGAATGGATGGAGATGATGATGGAGGGATGAATGGATGATGGATGGATGGATGGATGATGGATGGATGGATGGATGGATGGAGATGATGATGGAGGGATGAATGGATGATGGATGGAGATGATGATGGAGGGATGATGGATGGATGGATGGATGGATGGATGATGGATGGATGGATGAAGGGATGATGGATGGATGAATGGATGGAGATGATGGAGGGATGAATGGATGGAGATGATGAATGGATGATGGAGGGATGAATGGATGGAGATGATGATGGAGGGATGAATGGATGATGGAGGGATGAATGGATGATGGATGGATGGATGGATGGATGGAGATGATGATGGAGGGATGAATGGATGATGGATGGAGATGATGATGGAGGGATGATGGATGGATGGATGGATGGATGGATGGATGAATGGATGGAGATGATGGATGGATGGATGGATGATGGATGGATGGATGGATGGATGATGGATGGAGATGATGATGGAGGGATGATGGATGGATGGATGAATGGATGGAGATGATGGATGGATGGATGATGGATGGAGATGATGATGGAGGGATGATGGATGGATGGATGGATGATGGATGGAGATGATGATGGAGGGATGATGGATGGATGGATGGATGATGGATGGAGATGATGATGGAGGGATGATGGATGGATGCCGTGTCAGATTTAACTTTGCTTCATCTAGAAAAACTATTTATTTTGGTTTGTGAGCAACAAGTTGGGGCAGCACCGAGTCCAATCACAAAGAAATTAACTGTCTGGATGAAACTAATTCTTTTGATGCATTTAAAAAAAAAAAAAAGATTTTTAAATACTAAAAGACCATAATGAAAATGAGTTTAAATAAAACAAACTAACGAGTCTATTTTTAAAATTTAAGGAGTAGAAGAATAAAGTTGTCTATCAAATCTTTACTCCAGTAAAGCATCGATTGGCCAGAATTTCTGCTGAAGTCAAGTTACTTTATTACTTGACGCCTCTGGTTTTATGAAGCAACATCTAACGGAGCTGCTGTCAGGAATCTCTTCAGAAAGATGCATTAGAAGGACAGACGGATGCAGGATGACCCAGACAGGTGGACGTACCTGGTGTGTTGCACAGGTAGGAGTAGAAGCCCTCAGATTTCAGCATGATGAGCAGAGAGGACCAGCCCAGCAGCACCGCAGAGAACAGCAGGTTCTCAATGACCGCTGTGACCGCCATCCACCAGCGCCGGCTGAAGGCCGTGGAGAGGGTAGGAGCCATTTCTGCTGGTCCGGAGGTAACGGCACGCAGGTGCGAGCTGATCTGGGGAAGCGGCAGAAGCAAACGGACAGAAGAGCGTCCAGAGGAAAAGGTCAGGAAGATCTTTGAGCAAATTAAAGAGCAGCTGGATGGAGAGATAAACATGGAGAAAGCTTCTTATAGCAGCAGCAGCAGCATTTTCTTCTCTGGTTCGAGTTTTTATTTCCTCCCATCAGATTACCCTGCAGCAGGGGCGACTCTAGGACCAGAGGTTTAGGGGGGCTGAGCCCCCAGTTAGCTGCACTGGAAAAAAAATCTGAATCTAGATATGTCACTTTTTCTAAAATAAATACATTTCTTCTTGAATCGTGGAGGTAAGTGAGACACTTTGCCAATGGAACAAGACAATTTCCATTTAAATTAAGAAAACACAATTGCATTGTCTCATTTCAAGTGCATATTATCACATTTTCTTATTTTAATTGTACTTTTTCCATTGGCAAACTCATTTACCTACTCAAATTTAGGGTAAATACACCTAATTTAAGAAGTTTTTATTTATTTCTAGAATGTTTTTTCCAGTGTAGAAGAATATTCCAACAAATTAAAGCTTTTAAATCAACTAATTTCATGGAAACCTTTTAATCAGTTCTCATGAAATGAGTTTTCTCTTTCGTGCCAAAATTACTTCTATGATAAATGTAAAATAATCTGCTGAATGAAATCTTTTTCTTTACCAGTTTAACAGCTGATGCTGGTCTGTCTGTTTTCTTACCTGGTTTCATTTTGCACACACCTGTCCCTAGACTGCCAATCAGAGAATGGATCATTCATTCAAATAACTAGAAAAAATTATAACGATTTACTAATGATTCAGTATATTTTTTTAAATATTGATATTGAGCTGTGGTTTTACAGATAATCAAACAAACCATCAGAGCACCTGGCTGGTGAACATTTCACCAACACACCATCGATAGGTGCAGAAATCTGACGGATTATTTCAGAAACACCTGAATGCAGCGTTTTCCTCAAAGCGTTACTCGACATTTTAGTGAAGGAGCTCCATCAGGCTGCTTTACTGATTTTGGTTTGTTGTTTATTATTATTTCTGATGAACCAGAACATAATTGAAGTGTTTAAATAACCAAATACCGTATAGGATTTTAAATATTATTATTGTAAAAGGCGCACACAGTATAAAAAAAAAACATCTCATAGTTTAGGGGTGGTTTGATTTAAATTAGGTTTGCTTTAGCGGCCCCAGAAATAAGCCAAACACACCAATGATCAGCAGCCATGTTTGTTAGGAACTCTAAACCTGATCAGTGGGAAACAGGGTTTCCATCTGTCCCCTAAAAAAGGAACCGTCCCGTATTGCGAATCAAACGTAGGTGTCAAATTTTATTCAGATTTTATTTCAGTTTTTTATTAAATCAATTCATGCATAAAAAAGGAAAAAATAAATCCAGAAAGTGTGTAGAGTGGAAGAAGATGCCTGCAGGAAAAGTGTCCCTTATTTCATTTTAACCCCTAAAATACCAAAAATAAACCTGGAGAAAAAAAAAGGTGTAACATTACAAAAACAAAATGGCTCCCAGAGCTAAACTGTCTTAAAAAATAAACTAGTCTACGTGCTAAAATCTGTTTGCAGCGTAAACATTTAGCTTTTATAGCTGAGTGAACCAAAATATAATCTATACAGAAAAAAACCCTTATTTAATTCTTAATTTATATTTTCCTCCATCCCATATTTGGATTTATTAATAAATTAATCTGTTTTAATGACAGTTTGGATCAAGAACCAACATTTTCCTTTGTTCTGCCTCCTTGATGATGAGGAGGAGAAACAAGAACAAACAAGTCAGGCCTGAAGCCACGCCCCCAAACAGGACCGCCCCGCCCACGGAGGCATCTAAATGGCTGCAAAGTTTATGAGCTCGGAGCCTATTGGCTGCTTGTTGTTCAGCTGTAAGTTTGTTGTTGCAAAATTAAACTAAGATGGTTGGAAATAAAGCAGCTGTCAGAGTTTAAAGCTCCTAAACAGACTTTCTCATTTTAAATAAATAAAATCCTCGATCTAAAGCTGTTCACTGATGAAAGAGAATTTATGATGAATTTCAGCAGCTTTTTGTTTAAAGATAAAGACTGCAACAAAAGGGAAGAAAAAAAGGATTTTCTTTGTTAGAGGCTGAAAACAGCAGCGGCCGTGAACGCGGCGCGAGCTCCATCCAGTTTGAACCGGTGCGGCGCGCGGCCGCTGCGTGACGTGCACGAGCGCAGCTTGATGTTGTGATGATGAGGAGCAGCAGCTTCGTTTGATTTACAGGAAGAAAAGGAGGAATTGTGATAAACATCAGCAGAAACTGATGGAGTTCATATTTAATGAAACATTTGATCTGTTTTTTAAACGAACTTTTTTGTCGCTGCGCATCTTCTGACAAATAAAGCTTATGTAATAATGCGATAAAATCCCGCAGCCTCCTCCTGAAATTAAAGCATAAAGCTGAAAAACTGCCCCCCTCCCCCCTTATTTAGACCATAACGGGAACAAAAGCGCTTCCAGTGAACATGGTGGCTTAAAATAAAGATGAAAGAAGAGTTTAATAAAGATGGAGCCTGATTACTCATCAAACAAACTCACTTCATTACATCTCAGGTCTTTTATTTTGAAAGGTTTGTCGATATTTTCTGCACCTATAAATGAATCCGCTGCTCGGTGACAAACAGCAGAAAAAAACAAACAAAGAGAGAAAGATGCTTTTCTAACTTCTGACATAGAAACATTTAAACAGAAACCATCCATTTAGCTCCTGCTTCTAGAAGCAGCTCCTCCTGAGGCTGGACCAGCATCTAACTGAACCTCTTCAGGAGGACAACCTGTCCTCCTCGGTGTGTCTGTGGAGCATCAGTCTCACCTGGATGCTGGAGGACAAACGGCTCCTCGATGATCAATGGGCTGATGAGGAGCAGGAGGAGGTGGAGGTGTCTGCTTCTCCTTCTTGGTCTCTATGGTTTTGTCTCCTCTCTCATTGCTGCTGTTTTTATATATCAGCTGCAGCTTCAGCGCACAAACAGCCCAGCCTGCTGATTGGTCCATGGCTGCTGCCCACAGCCAATCAGAGAGCAGCAATATTACATCTGTGGTGTTTCCCAATGTTTTTATTTAGAGACGGGGGGGCACCCTGAGGAACCAAAACAGCTTCTTACTCCAATTAAAACTTTATTAAATGTACTGATTATTAGATGAACTATAATACCTTAACTGTAACTTCACTAAAATCACAGCTTTAATAGCCTTTAGGGGGGGGGGGGCTATCTAACCTAGTGGGAGAACACCCCCCCCCCCCCCACCATGTTTCCCTGCTCTACAGATCTTGTTCCTAGACATGAAGGGTAACTTCATGTTCCAAGTTGGAGGAGTCTGTCGGAGGAGGGCTTAAAGAGACGCAATGACGACCCCTGGTGGCCACTTTGAACATGACACACTCTGGACTAAAACCCAGGAAGGATTTCCATTAGCAAGAAAGCAAAGGACACAACTTCTATAAGATTTACAAGAAAACAGGAGAAAAGAAAATGGACGCCAAGAAGAGACATTATTTTTATCTCACATTTGGACACACTGGGCTGAAGCGAAGCGCTGCCGGGCTACGTCAGTAGATTATAGAACATATTATAGGATATTATGTTTAAAATAGATAAAATAGATCTGTTTAAAATTCAAATAGCATTAAAGTAAATCTAGATTGAGTTGGATTATTAAGGATCATTTGAAAAGTAAAAATTTTCAAATGGGGAAGTGTTTTTGTTCACTGCGACACCTACGCAGGCGGCCTAGTTTCGAAGTATAAAGGCTGATTTATACTTCGAAACTAGGCCGTCTGCGTAGGTGTCGCAGTGAACAAACCGATGTCCCCGCCCCCTCAGCAGATACTTTGCTGCACCTCTCCAAAATTGTAGGTGACCGCAGACAGTGCTGCAGACAGGAGCCAGCCTCCTGTCTTGTTTTGTTTATATGATCAAAATTGTGGAAAACAAGTAGTGAAGTTTGACCCGCTAGAAGCTCGAGGTGCACGAGAACGCTGGGACCCATTTTCCACCTGGATCTCCGCTATTTTTTGCCATCATGTCCCTCCGTTGTCGCATAAACTTGCCCCCACTTCCTCACCGCCTCAGCCGTATCTAGACCCACAGCGTGTAGCGCAGACCATGCTCAAAATTGAGCATAAATCAAAAATGTCTGCGTCAAGCTCACTGCGACACACTGCAGCAGGAGGATAACCAGGCCTTAAATCAGCCTTTAGCCTGGAGGGGCTCTCCTTATACCGCACTGACAGAAACATCGAACCCAGTGATAAGACCTGAGGAGGTGGGCTGTGTGTGAAATCAGAACCTTCCAGCAGCGGGCCGAGCATGTCCCTCCTAAAACAGAAGCACCAAGAACAGAAACTCATCAAAGATGCTCTCCAAACCTGTGGAGACCCAAACTGGGCCAAATCCAAAAGACCTGAGAGCAGAACATAACGGTGAGAAGATTAAACCCAAAAACATCTCCATCCCATCATGTTGCTGGAAACTCTGAGAAACTCCAGAGGATTTTCTCCAAACACTAAATCCCAGAACATTTCAAAGCAAACAGACCCTGAAACAGAGACTAGTTCATCCTGCAGACCTAATCTGAGCAGAGTGTCTGCAGGTCAATGCAGGGAGGAATGATCTGATCTTTGGAGAAACCAAACAACCTCTCCACAGACGCATGGCCCAACACAGGAGAGCACCCTTTTTGGACAAAGAAGACAGGTGGTTTGAGAGGAAGGAAGCATCTATGTCAAGAGAGAAAAACCAACCTTAAACTGGGGGGGGGGTTGGGGATCTCAGGATCCTCTATGGAAAAGAAACACTAGAAATGATGATGGTGAACAGTGAGGCACATTTGTGTGCTTTAAGATATAAAAACATCAGTGAGAAATATAGAAGACAAAAGCAATGACAACGGATGCTGTTTTTATTTATCACTAATTCACCAGATGTTTAAAGATGTTTCAGAAATGTTTCTATTCAGATCAGATGTTAAGCTGGTGATATAATTCTAGCTCTATATTACGGGTCACCAGTTGAAAGGTTTGGGAACCTTTGGGCTGTTTCTCTTATAACTGCTGCCGTTGCCCTGTTGCCCAGGTGGACGGCTGTGTGTCTGTAGATATAGAGTTAACATGAAGATCAATGCTTTTACAGAACAGCAGACATCTTTTGGAGGGTGGGAGGAGCCACCAAGACCACCAGGTGGTGACTATAGCCGACCTCGGCAGTGGGCTTTATTTTATCCATTTATGTTTTATTTTATATTTTATTGTGCAACATTACTGACCCATGTTTGAGTTCTTTTCTCTTTTATCTGTGATGTTTTATTTTTCTGTACAGAACTTTGGTCAGCTGTGGTTGATTAATAAGTGATTAACCATTCAATTAAATTCTATTCAGTTTATTTCTATAGCTCCAATTCACATCATGTCATCTCAGGTCACTTTATAGATCCACATCAACCAGATCATCCAGTCAGATTGATTCAAAGTTTTCTATCTAAGGAAAACCAGCTGATTGCATCGACTCATTGACTCTTCAGCAATCCCTCACACTAAGCATGCTTGTAGCGACAGTGGAGAGGAAAAACTCCCTTTGAACAGGAAGAAACCTCCAGCAGAACCAGGCTCAGTGTGAGCGGCCATCTGCTGAGGCCCACTGGGGTTCAAGGAGACAGAAGCAGACATAGAAAAAGAAGCATAGATACAAAAGGCAACTGTCAACCAGCTCCACAGGCGGCCCCGTCCAGGAAACACACAGCCAGGCAGACGAGCTCCGAGCCAGCTCCCATGTCAGAGGATGAAGAGAGCACATCCAGTTAGTCACAGTCAGAGAAACAGGACTACACTGGAAAACAGGCCAAGCTCCAACATCTAGAAACAAGGGTGTTGATGGCAGCAGCACAGCTGATATTTCTCTCCAGGATGGAGTCACAGCCAAACAGGAACAGACCAGATGAAGCTACTATGAGAAAAAGCAGAGAGAGCAGAACGTTAGAGATTGAACTAACAGATTCTGCAGAGTGGGAGAATAGAGATAGAATGAAGCAGAATGATGAAAAAGGGGTCCCTATGTCCTCCAGCAGTCTAAGCCTATAGCAGCAGAACTATAGATAGCTCAGGATAACCTGAGCCACTCTAACTAGAAGCTAAAGTTTTAAGCCTAGCCTTAAACAAAGCTGGATTCTTCCTCCCTGCTGCTGTTAGATTTAAATATCTTAACGGCTCCCAAGAGGTTTGTTTTTGGCTAACATAGTTGTGGAGCGTTTTTGGTCTTATCTCACCACTTTTTTCTCAGTAACTAAACTTTCTGAATGAAACTTTGACTAAAAAAATGTAAAAAGAAAAGAAAAAAATAGAAGAAGAAAGTTAAAAACACCAAACAGCCACTCACTAGGGTTTTTCAATTTATTTATTCAAATTATAAGTATTATTTAGTGTTGGCATCGTTATACATTGGTGTTACAGTATGGGACTGAAGCAGGAGTGCGTCTGTAAATCAACAAACATTGGACTTGGTTCAGTGAAGCTTGTACAGTGATGAGCAAACCTGTCAAAGTCAGGCTGGGATTTGGTTTAGCGTTTAGCAAGCAGCTTTTGGTTCTAAAAAAGGCACATGAACAAAAAGTTGGCATTAAAGATCATTAACAGCCCCCCCCACACACACATACAGAAAGCAAACATGACATTCCTGACAGACACATTATTGATTATACGATAAAATCATTAGAAATCAAGATCTTTGGCTTGTAGGTGCAGAGGCACGGTCCAGTGTGCTGCTCTAGCCCCCAGAACCAGCAGGAAGGTTCTGCTGGTTCTGGTTACTAAATATTCTGAAATAGCTAGCAATTCATCTGAGAAGCCTTCCTCCACCAGGCTTTGGTCTGCGGGAGGTCACTGGTTCCAGGACCGGTGTTCTGTCAGACCAGCATACCCCGTCAGACCGGCATACCGTCAGACTGGCATACCCCGTCAGACCGGCATACCGTCAGACTGGCATACCCCGTCAGACCGGCATACCGTCAGACCGGCATACCGTCAGACTAGCATACCCCGTCAGACCGGCATACCTTGTAAGACCGGCATACCGTCAGACCAGCATACCGTCAGACCGGCATACCCCGTCAGACCGGCATACCCCGTCAGACCGGCATACCCCGTCAGACCAGCATACCGTCAGACCGGCATACCCCGTCAGACCGGCATACCCCGTCAGACCAGCATACCGTCAGACCGGCATACCCCGTCAGACCGGCATACCCCGTCAGACCAGCATACCGTCAGACCGGCATACCGTCAGACAGGCATACCCCGTCAGACCGGCATACCCCGTCAGACCGCAATACCCCGTCAGACCAGCATACCGTCAGACCGGCATACCGTCAGACCGGCATACCCCGTCAGACCGGCATACCCCGTCAGACCAGCATACCATCAGTAATACGCATTACAGTGTCGTCTGTCTCTGCTCTCCTTCCATCCAATCACGCCGTTTTATTTCCCGATTTAATCAGATTTTTGTCGTAGTTTTGAGCATAAAACAATAAAAAAAACTCCCTTCATTAGGTCCACTAAACACATTAGCTTTAAAAAAAAACCTTTTCAAGTCCTTTTGACGAGGATCTTATTAAAGAATGATCTGCATTTTTTCACAGAGAATTTAATATTTATAGGGAGAGGATTCTACGACTCGGTGATATGAGATTTATTTGTTTGTTTAATATGAGCGACATGCGGATTACTTTTTAGGGATAACTCATTCTATGGGCCTGATAGCCGCTAATAACCAGCATGCGCGCATGCTGGTCTGATGGGGTATGCTGGCCTGATGGGGTATGCTCATCTGACAGAACACCGCTCCACTGGGCTCTGTACTGAGCTAGCATGATCTGTAGCCAAACTAGCTAAGCTATTTTTTTTTTTTTAGCGTTTTCCAGACAGCAGCTTTTCTTCTCATTTATTTTCTTTCCAGAGACGGCACCCTTCTTCTTCTATACTAATTTTCATTAAAGCTAACCTAGCCTTTAGCCTTACTGCTAACAGAGCTAGCCTTGTAAAGCTAAGCTCGTTTCCTCCAGGCTGTAGCTTTTTAATGGAAAAAGTGGCCTGAAATCTTCCAGAAAACTTCAAACCGTTTTATATTTTTGTAAATAAAATATTAATTTCTGCTGCTTCTCAAACTGGAGTGTTTCGTGTTTGTTAGCTTTTTAGCTTAGCGCAGAGGCACAAAACTACAGAATGTAGCCTGAGTTCAGGGAAATGAGCTTAGCTCTGGGAGAAGGAAAATGGCGAGGATCATTATTGCCCAGTTTTTTTACACGTTGATCCAGAATCATCTGTTGGAGCAGATCAAGACTCGGCAGGATGGACATGGAGGCGAGGAGGACAGCGAGGCTGAAGCTCTGCTTCAGTCAAAAACCTAACCAGACCTTCAGATCTGCTTAAAACAAACTGATTAACTGCTGATGAAAATAAGCGGCCCCTGACTTCACGGTAAACATGGCTGTTTTTATCTTTCTGCAGCGGCTGCAGTCCGACTCCAGCAGCAGTTTGAAAGTTCTCTCTAACTTCTCCTCATCTGCTCTACATCTGTGCTCCTCATGGGTTTAATGAGGAGGAATCTGCCCCAGAAAAGCAGAAATGAAGCTGATTAGTCAAACGGGGAAAACAAAGAGGAATAAAAACAGCGACCAGCAGGTTTCGTCTGGAACTTTTCTCCCAAATAAAACACAATAAGCAGGAAAAGTGCAAGAAAAATGCACCAGAAATATTTGTTACCCCTTGGCCTTATACACATCTATATTTATAAAATCAGAATATTCAAACAGCAGCAGTATTAATCTCAAAAATATTATATATAAACATAAATAAATCAATTATTTTGAGCTTTTTTTTTTTTTTTTAATTGGAAGCACGAGCCTGCAGTAAAGACAGGCGGCGTCTGATTGGCTGAAGCAGAGCGAGGTCTGCATCTATGTGATTGGGGGACAGGGAGCTCAGGGGATTCCTGCGCTTCTCCATCATCTGGAGTTCAGTCTGGGAGCCGTCTGGAAAAAACAAGACAGGAAGTCAAAACTCAGCAGGAGGGAAAGAAAGAATCAGTCGGATTAAAACCAGGAGAAAGATGAGAGTTTTTCTCCTCAGAGATTCTGAATGAGATGAAAACACCCGGCGCCGCTCACCACAGACAGGTGTCCGTTCTTCGCCTTGGTCACCAGCAGCTCTGATCCCGGCGTGAAGTCGATGATCCCTTCTTTCCCATGACCCGCCGTGAACTTTATACTGGAGAGGAAGAACAGAATGAAGGAGACGTACCTACAGAGAACCTGGAGAACCTGGGGAACCCTGAGAACCTGGAGAACCTGGAGAACCCAGAGAAGCTGGAGATCCCGGATAACCTGCAGAACCCGGAGAACCCGGAGAACCTAAGGCATCCTTGTTCTGTTCCACCATTCTCTATATTTTTAACTTAAGATGTTGGTACGGACCCCTGAGGGGCCCCAGGAAGTGGCCCAGTTTAGACTCCTGAGGGGCCCCAAGAAGTCCCCCCCCCAGTAAGTGGCCCAGGTTAGACCCCTTAGGGGCCACAGGAAGTGCCCCCCCCAGGAAGTGGCCCAGTTTAGACTCCTGAGGGGCCCCAAGAAGTCCCCCCCCCCAGTAAGTGGCCCAGGTTAGACCCCTTAGGGGCCACAGGAAGTAGCCCCCTGAGGGGCCCTTGGAAGTGGCCCAGGTTAGACCTCTGAGGGGCCACAGGAATTGGCCCCCTGAGGGGCCCCAGGAAGTGCCCCCCCCAGGAAGTGGCCCAGGTTAGACTCCTGAGGGGCCCCAGGAAGTGCCCCCCCAGGAAGTGGCCGAGGTTAGACCCCTTAGGGGCCACAGGAAGTAGCTCCCTGAGGAGCCCTTGGAAGTGGCCCAGGTTAGACCTCTGAGGGGCCACAGGAATTGGCCCCCTGAGGGGCCCCAGGAAGTGGCCCAGGTTAGACCGCCCCAGGAAGTGCCCCCTCCAGGAAGTGGCCCAGGTTAGACCCCTGAGGGGCCCCAGGAAGTGCCCCCCCCCAGGAAGTGGCCCAGGTTAGACCCCTGAGGGGCCCCAGGAAGTGCCCCCCCCCAGGAAGTGGCCCAGGTTAGACCCCTGAGGGGCCCCAGGAAGTGCCCCCCCCAGGAAGTGGCCCAGGTTAGACCCCTTAGGGGCCCCAGAAGGTGGCCCCCTGAGGGGCCCCAGGAAGTGGCCCAGGTTAGACCCCTGAGGGACCCCAGGAAGTGCCCCCCCCAGGAAGTGGCCCAGATTAGACCCCAGAGGGGCCCCAGGAAGTAGCCCAGGTTAGACCCCGAGGGGCCCCAGGTAGTGGAGGTAGTGGCCCTCACCTGCCCTGGTTAATGTTGATGCTGTTGATTTTGTCAGCACAGATGGCGATCTTGGTCAGGGTCTCGATGACGTGTTCGCTCTGCAGAACCACGTCGCCCTGGGAGCAGAGAGGATCATCATCATCATCATCACCATCATCATCATCATCAGGAAGCTTTGCTCTCACCTTCTGGTTGTTGTCCTCACTGGGCACGTGCAGAACGAAGAGCCCGTCGCTCAGGGAGCTGACCGAGATGCCTACAGAGAACAAAGATGGCGGAGCGGCTTGAGGTGAGTCAGAGGCCAAACTGTGAGCAGAACGATCCACATCCCCATGTTTGTGAATCTGGACCTTTCAGGCTGCCGTAGTCGATGCGCTGCTTGAGTTTTCCCTCCTCCACGATGACGGCGCTGTCGGCGGTGAGCAGCAGCTGCCGGGACCGAGGCTTGTAGCCCTTCCTGTCGTACTTGGTGACCGGCACGGCGTACTGCGGTAGAGAGGAGGAGCATCAGCAGCCCGCCGCAGCAGAACGCCCGCAGAGATCAGGGCTTCACTCACCTTCATCTTCTCTGAGCCCAGCGCCTGGATGGCTTTGGGGTTGATGTCCTCGCCGTCTGAGCGGGAACAGAAAAGGATTATTTCAGACCGACAGGATAACCGCCGTTCAGTCGCCTCTGAACGTTGATGCTTACTGAGCCTGGTGCCGACGAACAGCTTGGGGACGCTCTGAGGGTAGTTGTCCTTCTTGTCCTTGAAGATCTCGCTGGCGACCATTTTCTGCTCCATCTGTTAAAGCACAGCTGTAGGTGAAGCGAATTCAGCGAGCTGCAGAAGAAGAGTGAGAGCGGCGAGGCGCCGCCGCCGCGCTCCTCACCTGGTGTTTCCACTCCGGGTTCATCTTCTTGCAGTAGCTCCACACCATGTTCTGCATGCACATCTTACGCAACAGCTCCGACGCCTGGAGACACAGACGGCTTATTACCACAGAGCAAAAGTTTTCACTCCCCTAAAACCTTTCATTTTGGAACAATAGAACCACAGACTGGGTCTGATTCTGCAGAACTCCAGAGATTCAACATTATTTTAAATTAATCAACCATCATCATCTAGATTAACCCCTAAAGCCCGGCGGCCCCAGCTGACATCCAACGGGTGTGAATAAACGGTGACCGGGCTTTTATTGTGAAATATTAGGTAAAACTAATCGAAAATGTTGGAATTATACCAATAAGATAAAGAGCCTCTTTCTTTTAAATGAATCATTGAATCTCCTCCAGCCCAGAATATTTAGGTCAGTATTTATTCTTATTTTTGATAAATTCAAATATCGAAGCTAAAGGCGTAATAACTTAATTTCGCTGTAATATTTTGGTTCTGATCTCTGAACGCGTGCGATCGGTACCTCAGCCAGAGCAGCAGGGGGCGCCGGCCAGCTCTTATCCAGGACGTTCTTGGGAAGGTTCCTGTGCAGCTTCATGAGCAAGGCGTAGCGCACGTAGTCCAGGAAGTACTCGTTCTCCGGACAGCGCTCCTTGTGGCGGTAGATGAAGCCTTTGATGAACCTGAGGAGAAGAAGGCGTCGGATCAGACGCTTCGGAAATAAAAGCGGCTGATCTGATGATGATGATTCGCCGCCTCAGACCTGCGGATGGTGTAAGCTGCCTGTCTCCTGCGGTCCGCCTTCCTCCGCGCCAGGATGCCTCGCCACCACGCCTGGATGACGATGGCTGGTTGGGACACAAAACAACCGATTGAAGGCGTTCCTGTCAAACTGCTGCCTGCCTGCCGTGGTTACATTAGTAACCTCACCTGAGCTGCGTAGCTTCTGGTATTTGGTCCTCTGCCGGTAGCCCTTCCATCCCGCCTGGAGCTTGGTGGCTGTAGGTGGGAAACAGACGACAGAATCAATCAGGAGCTGAAGGTGTGCTTCCCTCTGGTGAGACGACGGGCTGACTCCTACCAAGGCCGTGCTTTCTGCTCTCCAGCGCTTCTTCAGTGGCGAACAAAGTCTTTGGGAAGCGGATGAAGATCTTGGATCTGGAGGCAGAATCCAGCATTTTATTAATAATCTGACTAAATAATGGTGAAAATTCTCAGTCATCCAGGTCCAGTCACCTGGAACTAAACGCTATTTCTGACATTTGGAATTGAAAAAGCTTCCTGGATGGAAGAGAAACGTCTTCTTATATAAAACTTTTTTTTGGAAATCTGACTAAAATATGCACAAAGCAGATTAAAGAGGCTGGCGCTCTTTTTTAAACACGTCTGTTGCCATAGCGACGCTGGAACCAGGCAGAGAACGATTCCACGCTGAACCAGTTTAGCCGCCACTGATTCAAACCTGGATTATAAAGCAGATAATCTTTATCCTCTGTGACCGTTTCACATTCAGCCTCTATAAACGATCAGTTTGGGTTCAAGGAAAATATCAATGAAAACTTTAGTTAACTTTTAACCATTTTGTTAAATAAAACCAAACAGATATGGATCAGATCTGTCTAATTAGATGATGACATCATTAGGGGATCTTTGGGACAGCCAATAGCGGCCCTCCTTTCTGAGGAGTCGGCGGCAGCAGCTCACCTGCCCAGTTTATACTCCTCAGGCTTGTAGCCCAGGTGCTTGACCAGCGTGGAAACGCCGTCTGAGAGCTTTCCGTTCCAGTTAGGCCACGTCTCCGGGCACAGCGACTTGTACCTGAACACACAGCAGAAAACAGCTGCAGGTTTAGAGCCGCTGCATGTAGATGTTCAGAAAGAATCCATCTCCACGGATAAACAGGCAAAATAAACATTTTACACATTTAATCCGTTTTTAAGAGAAACTGAAGGAACTCTTGCTCTGTTTTCACTGCAATCAAAACCTATCAGGGAAATTTCTGATCCACATGAAATGTGCTGTGATCTAATGATCCATCGCCACAGTAGTGGCAGTGGCATGCTGTGGGGAGGCCTTTCTTCAGCACAGCCTGTGAAATCAGTCAGATGTGGTGGGAACGTGATCTTAGACCGAAAATTTTTTTTTTAAATATGTAAAAAATGAGGAACAATAAAATCTGGAAATGAAACTTTAATATTTTAATCATAAAAAATGTTTGGAGTAATTTAGCCGTTTTCTCACATTTTGTTTTTCCAATTCAATTCTATTCAGTTTATTTCTATAGCTCCAATTCCCATCATGTCATCTCAGGTCACTTTATAGATCCAGATCAACTAGATCATCCAGTCAGATTGATTCAAAGTTTTCTATCTAAGGAAAACCAGCTGATTGCATCGACTCATTGACTCTTCAGCAATCCCTCACACTAAGCATGCTTGTAGCGACAGTGGAGAGGAAAAACTCCCTTTGAACAGGAAGAAACCTCCAGCAGAACCAGGCTCAGTGTGAGCGGCCATCTGCTGAGGCCCACTGGGGTTCAAGGAGACAGAAAGAAAAACAAAGAAGCATTTCTATTGGTCGGTTTGATGAGTTTGTTGGATTTGGGCTGAAATGCAGTTTAAAAAGAAAGAAATTCATGAAATTTAATTTAAAAAAGAGAAATAAAAAAATATGCAAAATCTATTCCAGGAAAACAATGTAAAAGAGTCTTTTGAAATAATAAAATTTGACTAATTTAAATCTGAAAATAAAAAATCTGTAAAAAAAATAGAAATATATTTTTAAATATGAACATTAAAAAAGAAAATAATCTGAGAAAACATGAAAGTTCCTCTCAGAAACATTTTAATTGTTTAAACCTTATTTTTCTAGATTTCATTTTTATTTTCAAATCTTGATTTTTAAAATGTTTCCTTTTCTGTAACAATAATGGAACAAAAGTCACTCCATAGAATAGAAGAATGTAAATAAAATGATCTACTTAGAATAATATATTTAGATCTTATTCACTAGAGATGAGATAATTAGGCTGTTAATGTGAAAAGAAAAGTCCTGTTTGAGTGATTGTTCTTCCTAATGTTTGGGCGTCTGCGCTCCAGCTGACCAGGAGCTGCTCGCCGTCTCTCATCACCTCTGCAGGAAGGTCTCATAGCGCCGTCTGTAGGCGAAGCCGGCCCTCCTCACCCGCAGGTTCTCCATCAGTCCCAGATACTTCACCTGGTGACGGACCAGCACCTCATCGAAGCGACCTGCGACACAGAGAGAGCCACGTCACACCCACAGGAAGGACAAACAGGCCGAACGCCGAGCAGTGGGAGTAACGGAGGACAGAGGGACAGTGTGACGGCAACAAAGGACCAAGTGTGGAGGAAACAAAAGGCCGCGGCGACGCGGCGACGACCTCAGCAGCTCACAGGGGCCACGACTGACGCAGCAGAACCGCTTCACAGCGACGTCTGCAGAACCGAGACGGATTCAGTCCCAATGATTTAATCAATCTGTTGGTCAGTCATTCCAAAAAAGGTTAAAAATCAATCCTCTGGACTTTGTTTCCAAGTCTGAAGACGTTTCTCTTCCATCCAGGAAGATTTTTCAATTCAAAATGTCAGAAATAGCGTTTAGTTCCAGGTTTTATCCAGCAGCCCAACAAAGCCTGGTTTTAGTTTAGAAAACATGCAAATAGAAACGGATGAACGGGTCCCCCCCTTTGGAATTGGGGTCGTTTGGCTTCTTTGTTGGCCTGCAATGCCCCACACCTGTCTATGTCTCTGAAAGGGGGGTCGTTAAATTTAACGAATCAATAAATGAATAAAGGACAGAATGACGGTTAAAAGCAGCTCTGCTTTGTTTACATGTAAGCATGACCTGCAGGACGGACGAGTTTCATCACTTTATGTCGAAATCATTGGAAAAATGTTTCTTCTAAACAAAGAAGTTTTTTTTAAATAGATTTTTAAATCTGGAAAAAAATCAATATCTCAATAAGTCCTTTTTGTATTAAAATAAGTGCTTTTGTTCTGGAATTGACGAGGTAAAAGAGACATTTTGCCAATGGAACAAAACTATTTATGTTTAAAATAAGAAAAACTTATTTCAGGCGCATTTTATCTAATTATCTTATTTTAGGAGTAAAAAGCAGAGCATCTTATTTACCTGGTCAAATTAAGGGTAAATACATTTAATTTAAGAAATTTGTACTTATTTCTAGATCGTTTTTCCAGTGCAGACGTTGGGATCTAACATTCCTCTGAGCTTCAGGAGCGTTTCACTAAATATTTGATGTTTTCTTCGTTTTTTACTTCAGTTAAATGTTTTAGTTCTGCTCTGATAAAACACTGAGCTTCATTTTACAGATTAATGCAGATTAAAGTCCAGCTTTTCTACCGATCCATAGAAGGAAGAGTGGAGGAAAGAGGAAGGGGAACAGCTTACCCGCCTGCTTGGAGTCATTGGGCTTGATGCAGCGGACGTAGGACGGCTCCTTGGACATCAGGATCTCCATCAGTTTGGCCAGACTGGCTTTGAACTGGGTGGCTGCCTAAAGGGGCCGAAGCAGACCAGTCAACAGAGCTGAGGAGAGACCACAGCAGAAGAAGAAGGAGGAGGTCTGATGCTGCTGGGAGGACGGCGCCGGGACACTGGGCCCCCCCTCCCCACAGACAGCCCACTGCTGCTCACCGTGTCAGGACGCTTCCTGTCACTCAGCTCGTCTCGGTCAAAACACTGCGTCAGGATCTTGTTCTCAGACATGCACATTGCCTGCAGGCACAAACGCATCAGATGACCTCAGGCTGCAGATGGCGCCGTTCTTTCTTTCAGAACGTTTCTCACCTCTTTCAGATTCCTGAAGAGAAGGTCGTTGTTTTTGTCCAGAAAGCCTGAATGAGCATCAATGAAAGAATAAAAAAACCTCTAATTATTCTGAGCATGAAACTACGGTTCAAGCCCTCCCTCCTGCAGGGGGCGCTCTATTTGGTCAGATGCAGACCGATACGCCTTCTCTGAATTTGCCGAGACGTCGAACTAATAAAGCTTCAGCTACAGGGAGAGAGATCCAGAGAAATACAAACATTCTCACATTTCTGGAGCTCTGGAGGAATAATAGAATATTCTGATAGGATGGATGCATGTTGCAAAGAACAGTAACTGCTCACACATTTTTATCTCCCTCTCCAAGTGTATATATATATATATATATATATATATATATAGCTAGTTATCCCTCGAACACTGACGTCAACAATCGGTCGATTCAAACTAAAACACGCTAAAGAGCTGAGGCATCCTTCTTCTGTTCTGGTTAAACCAGCTGGTTAGGGTAGCAGGTCGACCTCCCCAAGATGGCGCCCGTAATTCCTGCGCCGCGACAGTCACTGCCTGGTCTACTCTTATGTTTATGGTTAGCCCCGCCCACTGACTAACAGCGACTCTCTCTGACATATTAGAGACTAAAGAGGCGGGACTATTTTATGGAGTCATAAACGGGTCAAAATGTTTATAAACCTTTAAATTTTTGTTGAAACTGGAAAGATAAAAATGTAAACAGTTTTTTCACACTTTTTTCTTTAATTTGCAGTCATGGGAACGTTATTTGTTTAAACAATGGCTGTCTATTTTTATATATAATAACGCATTCTGGAACGGTGATTAGTGACTATTGCAGTGTAAATGTCTTTAACGCAATATTTTTCTCAGGATTTTTACAACGAGGTAAATACATGCTGCAGAGAATGTGTTAACTTAGTAGTTGAAATTCCCACAGTCCATGAATGCACCATGGAAAGCAACATCTCTACAGCGCCTATGTAAACTGCCAATCATGTTTCCCCGCCCACTCCTGTCAGATTGGGGTTAAAATATGAAAATCTAAAACTGCAATAAAGAAATAAAACGTGTAATTAAAATACTAAACTGAATTATGAATTTTTCAAACTGAGGGAAGAATTTAGATTAGATTCTTATTATTTTATGTTTTTTTTTAGTTTCTCAAATTATAAGGTAAGAATTGGACATTCAATATCAACTTCAACTAAAATTTATACGTTTACAAATATTTTGGACCCTTTCTGACTCCATACTATTTCCCCTAATGTGCTATAAATGGGCTATAAAACCTTTAAGAAGTTTTTATTCCTTTTTCAGCTAAAATATCAAGTTTAAAGTAAAAGGAAATCCAGGAAGAAGCTGATTGGTCCTTCTCAGTGAAAAGCAGCCAATCAGATGTCAGGGTTTGTATAGAAGTGGTCCTAGTCCCGCCCACTTAGTCGATGGGTGAATTTAAGAGATTAAATGATGTCATGGTGAGTTTTTTTTAAAGACGCCATGAAATAATTAACTAATGAATCAAGTAGTTAAATATAAATGAATATTTTTATAAAGTTGAGTCTCTGCAGCGAGAGAAAACAGGAGCGACGATCACAGAAAACTACGGAGAGAATTTTAGTCCGTTATTCCAACAAAGGAAAATGAAGAAATCTACAGATTAAACCTTTTAGACTATTAGTTTATTTTTCCAAGTATATTTTTCGTTCAGTATTTTTATTTTCATCTTCTTTACCCGCTCAGATGAAGGAAAAAGTAACTCCTTTTGTTTAGTTTTTTCTTATTTTTAGATCAGTTTCTGAGGCGAGGAATGGAGCGGCCCGTTTCTACGCACCGTTCACGTCGTAGTTGACCTCTCCTGCGTAGTGCAGCAGCCTGAACTCCTCCCGGCCCATCACCTTCCGGGTCTTTCCATCGCCCAGCTTGTGTCTGTGAGAACAAACGGCAGCAGAATGAAAAACAAACCTTCTGCATCAGAATCCGAGACAAACGGCGGCCGATTGAGGAGCAAACTGACGTGACGAAGTGCGGATGCCCCCCCATGGTGTTCTCCAGCTTCTCCAGGAAGGTGAAGTCACTGGCATCTCCAGGTCTCAGACACTCCTCATCCTGTGAGGAGAGAAGAGGATCAGATCACCTGGACGTTTAGCTGCTGCAAAAAAACATCCAGAAAATCTAAAAACTTTGAAGAATCGAAGAATTTGGCCTTAATTTGAGTAAAAAATAAGATTAACTTCAAAAGGAAGGAAGAGTTTCACCTTTAAAATTAGCTATTTAGATATTTAACACCTGAATTTTCTTCTTTTTTAACCTAAATCATCAATTTAAACATCGTCTCAGGGGCGGATTTAGGAAATCTGGGGCCCTAGGCAAAGACAGCCAGGGGCCCCTCTGAATGGAGAACACATTAAACAGCCCCATTCTACAGATAGAGAAATGTTAATAGAATAGACATCCATTATCTGTTCTAGGTTGTGTCCCTCTCTTCTTGTCTCTTTTCTTCTTGTTTTCCTCTCTATGTTTTGTATGGGGGGGTTACCAATCTACTCGCTCTGGAGAGCAGAGTTCGCTGCTTTTAGATGTTGTCTCCAAAGTCTCCAGTAGCAGAAAAAAAGTCTCTAGATTTGGCGCTAGGAGCTTTTTAGAAATCAAAGTGCTAGAGGGGTCTGAAAAGTGGCTAAATATAGCGACTAAAGCGCTAAGTTACCAACCTACCTGATTGAAAGCAACAGGTAAAAAGTAATTTGATTATTTTGTAGATGAATAACTAAAGTGGACATTTGCAGGAGCAGCAGCCTGGTGGTTAGGGAATAGGGCTTGGAATTCTGAGGTTTTGAGTTTGAAACCCACTCCCACAGACTGCCACTCTGACACCCTGAGCAAGACCCTAAACCCCTGATTGCTCCCCGGGCGCCGCACCATGGCATGCTCCCCGGGGGGGATGGGTTAAATGCAGAGAGGGAGTTTCTACAATAAAAGTTCAATTTATTTATTTATTTTGTTCTTTTTTTAACGTTTTGCTTTTCGGTGCCTGAAATCTGGCAGGTTGAAAACTTTTCTGAAGCGTCTGAAAGGAGTTTTCTTCAGCTTCAGAAGCTCAGGCTGCAGCTCCTCACCAGGATGGAGATGATGCCTTTGAACTTCTCCTCCACCAGGTCACAGATGATCTTGTTGTTGAAATACTGGACTGGTTCCCACTGCAAACACACAGATGGATATGAAAGGAACTGGAAAAGGTCAGAGAGAGGCAGCAGGGAAAACATGGAGGACAGGGAAAGCCGAGCGCCATCCAGAGAATGTCAGGAATGCGGCCTCAGACAGCTGTTAGCCGTGTTAGCCGTTAGCAGCCCACGGCCCTCAGCGCGCATCATAAAAGGCTCTTTGAGACGCAGATTCTCCCACAAACTGTTTGTTCTGAATGTTTTCCCTCAGACTGAAGACGGGCCTTTGTTCTGACAGGGAAGGCCGGGGGGGGGGCGCCATGAGCTCAGCGGGGGTCTGGAAGCCGCAGAAACGTTCAATCTCCTCAGGAGAACAAAGGAACCCGTCTGCAGGTTCGGCTCCTCATGGAGCAGGTTCTCCCTAAAACCAGTCGCTCCAGCTGAATTCAGACCATCCCATCAGGACTCAGAGCGGAAGGTGAAGAGCGTCTTCCTCCATGGGACGATTCCTCGGACCCAGAGGAGACACGTTTCCATCCAGATGCCAAAGTTTAAGATGTGTTTCCATCAGCTAGAGTGAATTCACCAGGTGATGCAAAGCGCAGCATCGTGGTACGCGTAGGAACGCCTGGCTGTGACCAACAGGAAGTAGAGGTAGCTAGCTAGCAGACCGCAGTAATGGCGCCAGGATTGGATGATCGCGCTCCAATCAGGAAACAGTGTCGCCTCTTTATGGTATCAGTAGCTTTAGCAACCATCCAGACACGAAGATGGCGGCAGAGGAAACAGCTGGTTTCATTTCCTCTTTAGGGAATTAGTTACAATTTAAGGTAAAAAACACCTGAAGCAAACATTGGAAACATTTAGAGACAACATTTCAATTTTAGATGAAGTTCCTTCAAACATCGATGGAAACACGTCTGGTTATCAGCTGACCTCTGACCTCTCATGTTGTTTGGGCTAAGGGTTCAATTTAAGAAAAGGGGAGGTTCAGGGTCAGATTATTTAGAGTCAAAATATTCAGGGTCCGATTATTCAGGGTCAGTTAAGCATCAGATTATTCAGGATCAGATTATTCTGGGTCAGATTATTCAGGGTCAGATTATTCAGGGTCAGATTATTTAGAGTCAGATTATTCAGGGTCAGATTATTCAGGGTCAGTTAAGGATCAGATTATTCAGGATCAGATTATTCAGGGTCAGATTATTCTGGGTCAGATTATTCAGGGTCAGATTATTCAGGGTCAGATTATTTAGAGTCAGATTATTCAGGGTCAGATTATTTAGGGTCAAAATATTCAGGGTCAGATTATTCAGGGTCAGTTAAGGATCAGATTATTCAGGATCAGATTATTCAGGGTCAGATTATTCAGGGTCAGATTATTCTGGGTCAGATTATTCAGGGTCAGATTATTCAGGGTCAGATTATTTAGAGTCAGATTATTCAGGGTCAGATTATTTAGGGTCAGATTATTCTGGGTCAGATTATTCTGGGTCAGATTATTCAGGGTCAGATTATTCTGGGTCAGATTATTCAGGGTCAGATTATTTAGGGTCAAAATATTCAGGGTCAGATTATTCAGGGTCAGTTAAGGATCAGATTATTCAGGATCAGATTATTCAGGGTCAGATTATTCAGGGTCAGATTATTCTGGGTCAGATTATTTAGGGTCAGATTATTCTGGGTCAGATTATTTAGGGTCAGATTATTCAGGGTCAGATTATTTAGGGTCAAAATATTCAGGGTCAGATTATTCTGGGTCAGATTATTTAGGGTCAGATTATGTAGGGTCAGATTATTTAGGGTCAGATTATTCTGGGTCAGATTATTTAGGGTCAGATTATGTAGGGTCAGATTATTCAGGATCAGATTATTCAGGGTCAGATTATTCAGGGTCAGATTATTCTGGGTCAGATTATTTAGGGTCAGATTATTCAGGGTCAGATTATTTAGGGTTAGATTATTCAGGGTCAGATTATTTAGGGTCAAAATATTCAGGGTCAGATTATTCAGGGTCAGTTAAGGATCAGATTATTCAGGGTCAGATTATTCTGGGTCAGATTATTTAGGGTCAGATTATTCTGGGTCAGATTATTTAGGGTCAGATTATTCAGGGTCAGATTATTTAGGGTTAGATTATTCACTGTCAGTTCAGGTTTAGATTATTCTGTTTCAGATTACTCAGGGTCAATTTAATCATCGGGGTCAGATTATTCATATTCAGATTACTCAGGGTCAGATTATTATTCAGGGACTAAAACAACCCGATGTTTTTCAGAATGTTAGCAGAGCATCATGGAGGCAGCTGACAGCTTTCCCACGATTAGCAGCATAATCTGTTTAATCTAAGCTGGCCGCTGAGCTGTGTGACGGCAGCTGAAGGATCCACAGCCGAACGCTTCCAGCTTTCATGTTTTTCGAGGCTCTAATAGACCGACTCGTTAGGAGGACGCAGCGTCCGACACGCCCGCTGCTGGGCAGCGTGTTTTACAGTGTTTGGTGCAAACGTCCCGCGCCCAGAGTGTCCTCTCTGGTTTCTGCGTTCCGGTGACGGTTAGAGGATTAGGGCCATGGATGTGCGGCGGTGACTCACCGTGATGCCTTCAGCTTCATACTCATCCTGCTCCGACTTCAGCGTGAGCTCGATGAAGAGCTGCTGCAGCTTCTCGTTACAATAGTTGATGCAAAACTGCTCAAAGCTGCAGGACAAAGAAAGAAGAATATCAGTGAACCGCTTTATTTATCGTTAACATGATGAGATTCACTGTGAAATAATTCAATGTCCCATTAAATGAAAATATATTTAAAAGCAATTTATTTAATCAAAAATACATTTATCTAAAACATATTCAAAATATTACATATATGAATAAATATTAAATGCACAGTTAAATATGTCCAGTTAAGTTATTAAAATCTGTTTAAATAATAAATTATCACATTTTATTTAAAAAATAAATGCATTTATTTATTTATTTTATTCATGATTGTAATGTAAAAAACTATGACAAATAATTAGAAATACAATAAAAATAATAAACTAAATATGATATTTATTATTAAATAATTACAATTTATTTCAAAATAGATAATTAATTATTATCACTTTATCAGAAATATGATTCAATTGATAAATACCTTAAAATAATAAAATGTGCAAAATGTACATATAAGTAACACATATACACACACAATAAATAAATACAAAGGTAAAATCTTTTTAAAACAGATCATTTTATTTAAATCCTAATAATTTGTTATTTTTGAGCCACAGGCTGAAAAGTCTGTGATGCTCTGCTCTATCAGAGCAATAATCTGCAGCAGCCTGCAGCGGTGCTCTGTCAGGTCAGCATACGCCGTCAGACCAGCATACCTATAGTCACTATGCAGGGCAACATATCAGATCTGCATTTATTTAGTTATGTATGAAAAATAGACTTTAAACTCCCTCAACAGGCGTGTATATCCCTTTAGTCAGGTACAAAAAAACTATTTAAGGTCAGATCGCCATACGCTTCAAAAAACACCAAAAAGTACCTCATTAAATACTTTTTTTTTTTGTACATGACAAAAAGGATACAAGTCTATTTTTGTAAAAAACTAAAGGGATAAATTGACTATGGGTATGCTGGTCTGACGGCGTATGCTGGTCTGACAGAACAGCTGCGTTGCCTCGGTGACACCAGGTTCACCTGTTGTGCTGGAAGACCTCGAAGCCGTAGATGTCCAGCAGCCCGATAACGGAGAAGTTACTGTGAGCCTCATCCTGTTGAAGACAGAGAGGAAACAATGAGATCCGTGGCCACCAGGTGGAGCTGTGGAGCTGCAGACGGAGCAGCAGCTCTGCTTTCACATGTCTGGACCTTGTATTCCAGGGAGGCGTTGATCTTGTTGACCAGCCAGGTGAAGGTGCGTCCGTACACGGCCTTGGACAGAGCATCTCTAGCGGAGGACGCCTGCTCCAGGTTCAGAGGGCTCACCAGCTGGACAGACACAATGAGGAACAGAACCCCCCCACAGCCGGGGGCCAGGCGGCCGCGTTATTCCTCTGACCCACAGCAGACAGCCATCATGCAGGGACGGCGTGGCTCCAAACATACCTCCTCTCCCTTGGCGATTATCTTCTTGTGTGTGAGAGCCTCTGTCAGCACCGTCCCATTCACCCCTAACAACTGGAAAATCACAACGTCAGTGACAGACCTCCCCTCCTCCTGGCAAACGCCATGACATGTCTGTGGTTAGCAAGGACGGAAAAACAGACGGGAAATGGACTGAGGGACCGAAAGGGTCCGAACTGAAGATCAAACGGGAAAAACTTTTAGAGGCAAAATACTGAAAAGGAAAAATAGAGATAAAGGAGGAAGGAAGATGTCTATGGTGGAACAGGAACCAGATACAGTCCAGCTTCTTCCAGACGACTTGAAGAAAGTCCTGGTAACAGATCGTATTCTGGAGAAATTAAGAATTTATAGAATTTATTAAGTGTTTGCAAAACAAATCTAGATGACTAAATAATAATTGGTCACAAAACCTGCAAAGAATGTTACGTTCAGACCGAAGGCAGCAAAAACGCGCCTGCTGCTTCATCTCTGATCCTCACTAAGGTCAGACGTCCAGGAAAGTGAGTCCAGATGCTTCAGCTGCTCCTGTGTTCGATGCCAGAGAGCAGCTTTGCTATATTAGCTGTGATCAGCAGGTAGAAAGTAGTTAGAATCTATGTTGAAGTGAGAAAGTCCTCCTGAAAACATGGTCTGTGCAGTCAGTTCATCCAGATTACCATCCTGCCTTCAAAGATTATTTCTCTGTGGGAGCCGCTCAGACCCCCACATACCGGCGCTGCGCTGTCACTGGGAATCCCCAGCAGCAGCTGCATTTTCCAATTCTCTCTTTTTTTTAAATAAAGCATTTTAAATGCCACAATAATCACATTTAATGACTTTTAAAGCCAATTAAGGCCTCAATAAAAAAAAATAATAATGTAATGACTTTTAATGATTTATAACGACCCTGAAACTGTTTCAGAGGAATGATCATGGCGCTCTGCATCAGCAGTGCTGCGTCTGACTCCCTGCCAGCTCCCAGAGACAGCTTCTCTGATTGGTTGATGTCCAGCAACTAAAGTTACATTTTTCCACCTCCAGCAGCTGCTGCTTCTGAAGCGCCTCAGATGATCAGAAGCTCCTGAGGCGCCGCTGCTCCTGCTGCTAAAAACGCGCTGCAGGACCTTCTGATGCGCCTTAATGCGCGTCAACCGTTGACTTTACATTTAAACCAGCGGCTTCTGCTGCTAGCGATCTGAACGTAGCATTACAACCGTGTCCAAACGCTTCACCAGAGAAGCGTTTGGACATTTTTAGGAAAACTCAGATTCCACCTGCTGCTTTCTTTCTCTTTCATTCCTCGATTTCTGACAGAATTCTAGAAAAAAGTCAGAATTCTAACTTTTTTCACATATTACGCTGAAAAAATATTTAAAAAATCAGGAAACTTTTAACATTTTTTCAGTGGCCCTAATCCTCTTCCATAGTTATCAGTCGATGTTTGGATAGAAATGAGTAAAAAAGCATTTTGAAAATGATTGAATCATAAAATCAAAATAAATTTGCATTTGGAAAAAAATATATATTATAGATTCTTAATTAAATGTTATTCTATTTAAATCGTAAATGAAGGACGGTTCAGAGACGGAACTCGTCTGTCTCTAAAGCCTTAAAGTCGGTTTATAATCTGGTTTATTGCGGTTTCCTCATAAAAACTTTGATGTTCTGGTTAAAATGTAAACTGGGGTGGAGCGGCTGGCCTTGGTCTTACCCTGGACAGGTACTTAATCTGTGTGTCCGAGGCGATGTGGGAGTGGCCTTCCTCCTCACCGTACTGCACGTTACCCAGGTGCAGCACGCTGGCGATGATGTTCAGCAGCTCCTGCGTAGAAAACAAGGAGGACGCGGTGAGGAGCTGCAGCTGGGCACGGAGGGAGCAAAGGTCAGGGTTAAAAGATGGTTCCTTTAAGGTCACAGTTATCTTTACGAGCGGCTAAACTGATAAGAGCCTCTTTGATAAAGAAGGTGGACAAAGATCAGGGCGGGCCAAGATCCGGCTGCTGAGGACCTGAGAGAGGACAGCCTGGACATGTAGGAGGAAGCTTACACTTCAGCTCAGACATGATAACAGCTTCACACCCACAGAAACACCGGATTAAATAATCACCTATGAGCCTCTAATCCAGGAGTAACCAATTAAAAATCAGCTGGTCAGAATACAGAAAACCATCAACCAGTAAAGGATCTTAGTTCTGGTTTCTTATCGCGTATATTAGCTGCGACATGAATCAAGATGCTATGACCGGAAACATATGATTGACAGATGATTGTTGATATATGATTGGATGAATTTAGGTGTTCAGGCTGATGTAGAACTAACTGGCCTGCAGAAGATAACGGAAAAACAGATTTTATGACAGGATTTCTTTTAAATATAGACATTTTCTAAATTTGGGACAATATGGTCTGATAAAGAGAACATTTCTAAACATGTTTAAGGCAGAATGATTTGAGATTTAAGTATGACTTCAGTACGACTTCAAGAATATAAAGCAACATAGAACAGGGTTTATATATATATATATAGCAAAATCCTTGGTCATCTTTACCGTGGACAGGCTGCTGCAACCATTTCCAGTATTCTTTGTTTTTCAGCCACTTTTGTTGAAATTTGCATTTTCCATTGCATTTTTTAGAGACGTTTTTTTCTTTTTAATAAAGCATTTTATATTCCACTATAATCACATATAATGAATTTTAATGCCAATTAAGACTTTTGTTTAAGAATAATAATTGAATGAGTTATAATGATTATTAAGTGTGGCAGAAACCCTGTAGAAGGGATTTAGTTTAGGAGCTTGTTTTGAAGCTGGATGTTTATTTAATGACGGAGTCACAAAAATGAGGACATTTATAATATAAGGAATGTCATTAAGAGTTATTTATTCTCCGGTTCAATGATACAAGATTACTTTAATTGACTGACTCTGATCAGCTGAGGCTCAGAGCTAACGGCGTTTAGCTTCATTAGCTCTGGTGTTTCTGATGGGAAGCAGCAGCGAGAGAGAATATTAAGCAAAATATTTCATAGATCTCAGATTAAAGTGACAGCTGGGGTCAAAGGTCACACACTGCTGTTTTTACATTTTAACTAAAACAGAAAAAATGTCAAAAATAAAAACCCCAGAATGACATTCTACGATGTCAGGAGACAAAATGATTTAAAAAAAAATTCAAGGGAATAAAACTGGAATAAATAAGTTAGATAGAAATAATTTACTAAAAAAAATAGAATTTAGAAGAGTCAAACTTGAGCCCACATTCATTTCAAATAACATAATCAGGCAGGCCAAGTAATGAAAACGCTGATGATAAACAAATTAAGCTAAATATAAAGAGCAGAATCATCAGCATTAAGAAAAAGTTTATATTCAACATGCTGCCTTCAGAGGGAACAGCTAACTGATGAGATTCCCACACTAACCAGGGTCACAGCATCTCTCTCTAATGTTTGTTGTTTCTGGATAAATGTGATCTTAAGAGGAATTAAAGATAAACAGGTAAAACCTCTGGCTTTGGCTCAGGTCTGTTATTTTGAGGAGAAGCTAATTCCCAGTCAGGACCAGATTATGGTTTATGTTCAGTTTGCTCCTCACCTCCACATCGTCGTCGTTAAAGCCGATCACCGTCAGGGCTTTCCTCACCACCTTCCAGTCGCTGCGGTCGTTGATGGAGCTCACTTTGGGACAGTTACCCTGCAGGACACATTAGACACGTTAGACCTAAACCTGTAGCCATAAAAATCTCGGTTTGGGCGTTTCAGACGATGTTAAAGACGCGTGGGACAGAGACTGTGTCAGCAGGTGACGTGCAAATGGCAGTTTACAGCTAAATACCCGTGTTTGCTACGTAAACAGCGAGCTAGACAAACAGGGAGAGCTCATCCAGGCCCTTAAGAGGAGCTGTCCTGTGGGGAAAAGCAGAGCCCGTTAACTGCCACCCCCGCCCCCCCACCCACTGGGACACGAGGCAAACGGTGAGCATGGAAAGAAGCTCCAGGGAGGCGGCCGTTTCTGCAGCGCCAAAGCTTCCAGAAGCATCAGTATAAACCGGAAGGTATTTAACTCCCAAAGAAAATCTCATGTAAACAGAGTTTTTAGATCTATGCTCTATAGATCTATAGATAGATTTTAGATCTGTGCTTAAAGGTAAACCCCCCCCCCCTGACTTCATGGATTCCTGCTCTTTGCTAAAGCTCAGTCAGCATGACTTTGACTAGACCGCTCCAACAGAACTGCTTTTGTTCTGCTGGTGTTTGAACTTCCATCTTTCCAACTCTGTCTATGTTGATTTCAGGGCGACTGAGTTTTAGCCCACAGACTGACGGGGGTGTCCCTGAACCCCAGCAGAAGTGTCCCGCCCTTACCTTGACCAGGTACTGGTACTGCTGGGTGTTTCTCTCCAGGCCCAATCGTCTCAGCAGGTCCTCCTCTCCTCCTTCGATCATCTGATAGAAAATGTGGAAGTTCCTCTCCCCGTGGTTCTGGTGGACCACCCTGGACTTCTCCAGCAGGTAGTTGATGATGTGGCCGCCAATCGGAGCGCCCTGTCGACGGGGCAGAGGGCCGGGTCGGGGAGAGGGTGAGGAGGGGGAGAAGGAGGAGGATTGGGTAAGGCTGGGGTACTGAGACGTAGCAGAGCGTGCAGGTTCCAGAGGGGTTTGGTCGTCTTCATTAAAACTTTTCTCTCGATCCTCTCAGAAATGAAAAGTTCTGCCTTTCACGGGTTTGTGGACCACCTGATACTCACCTTGAAGTCGAACTGAATGTCCATGTACTTCCCGAAGCGGCTGGAGTTGTCGTTGCGCAGCGTCTTGGCGTTCCCAAAAGCCTGGAGCAGAGAGGAGTGTTAGACCATGGATTATGGAGTAAAGAAAAAGGGGATGGGCTTAGCTCTGCTGGTAGCTGAGAACTACTCTGCTTGGATAAACTCTGCAGTATCTCACCTCCAGCACCGGGTTGGACTGCAGCAGACGGTCCTTGATGGTCTGCACGTGCTCGCTGGCGGGACAGGTCACAGCGTAGTACTGCAGGATCTTCTTGGAGGCCTCCGTCTTGCCGGCGCCGCTCTCCCCTGAGATCAGGATGCACTGGTCCTTCCTCTCCGTCCTCATGGAGCGGTACGCGTTGTCTGAAACCGCATAGCTGCAGGAAGAAGACCAGGCAGAAGAAGAAAATCAGTCAGTGATAAACGGCTCCTCATCCGTTCGTGTTGAGAAGCTCAGAACTGGAGCTGTGTCCTTAAAAGACACTGATTCCTCAGATCCAAGGGAGTAACTTAGTGATGACAGTTGGTGGGGGTGCTCTAAGGGTGGGGGCGCTCTAAGGGTGGGGCCGCTCTAAGGGTGGGGGCTGATGGAGCTATAGTTACTCCCCCCAAACGCTTTCATTACATTTTTGTAAAAAATGAACTCAAACATGTATTTAGGGAATACTTTCCTATTGTTGAGAACACAATAGAACCACAATACACTGATATTTATATTTATAGTAAATAGAGGTCCCAAAAATATGAATGTATAGAGAAATAATGAATAACAGCCGATTCCGATGCCAAAAATCAATAAATCGAACATCCTTGGAATTTACTATTTCATTTCCATTCATCCATCCAGAAAAATTTTTAAATGCTGCTAAATATAGAACAGCATATTTTCTTTCTTGTAAACTTTGTGATAAACTTGGAGATATATTTTATTGCGTGTTGCATATCCCAATAAATCAGTTTAACCTTTAAACCTGCAGCTCTCCCTGCTTCTCTCTGTTTAAAAAGATTTATAAACCTATTTCCTAATATAATGATGCCAGAAACGACATTTCTAGATCTGTAGAAGCTCTGCAGCCTGATCATTTTTAACCTGTAACTGGGAGTCATGGTCCTCTGGTCCAAGATTTTTTTAACTAATAAAGAAGAACAAAACTATGTTTTCTCAGCTTCTTGCATTATAATATTAACTTATATAAACTTATAATCTGTTGCTGTTTTCACTGAAAAAGCTCTGTATGTCTAATGATCTGCGACTGCAGACGGGCTAACGTTAGCCCTGGCTGCTGCATATGGGCTAACATTAGCCCTGGCTGCTGCATATGGGCTAACGTTAGCCCTGGCTGCTGCATATGGGCTAACGTTAGCCCTGGCCGCTGCAGACGGGCTAACGTTAGCCCTGGCCGCTGCAGACGGGCTAATGTTAGCCCTGGCCGCTGCAGACGGGCTAACGTTAGCCCTGGCTGCTGCAGACGGGCTAACGTTAGCCCTAGCTGCTGCAGACGGGCTAACGTTAGCCCTGGCCACTGCATATGGGCTAACGTTAGCCCTAGCTGCTACAGACGGGCTAACGTTAGCCCTAGCTGCTGCAGACGGGCTAACGTTAGCCCTAGCTGCTGCAGACGGGCTAACGTTAGCCCTGGCCACTGCAGACGGGCTAACGTTAGCCCTAGCTGCTACAGACGGGCTAACGTTAGCCCTAGCTGCTGCAGACGGGCTAACGTTAGCCCTAGCTGCTGCAGACGGGCTAACGTTAGCCCTGGCCCCTGCATATGGGCTAACGTTAGCCCTGGCTGCTGCAGACGGGCTAACGTTAGCCCTAGCTGCTACAGACGGGCTAACGTTAGCCCTGGCCGCTGCAGACGGGCTAACGTTAGCCCTGGCCGCTGCTGACGGGCTAACGTTAGCCCTAGCTGCTGCAGACGGGCTAACGTTAGCCCTGGCCGCTGCATATGGGCTAACGTTAGCCCTGGCTGCTGCAGACGGGCTAACGTTAGCCCTGGCCGCTGCATATGGGCTAACGTTAGCCCTGGCTGCTGCAGACGGGCTAATGTTAGCCCTGGCCGCTGCTGACGGGCTAACGTTAGCCCTAGCTGCTGCAGACGGGCTAACGTTAGCCCTGGCCGCTGCATATGGGCTAACGTTAGCCCTGGCTGCTGCAGACGGGCTAACGTTAGCCCTAGCTGCTACAGACGGGCTAACGTTAGCCCTAGCTGCTGCAGACGGGCTAACGTTAGCCCTAGCTGCTACAGACGGGCTAACGTTAGCCCTGGCCGCTGCATATGGGCTAACGTTAGCCCTGGCCGCTGCAGACGGGCTAACGTTAGCCCTAGCTGCTACAGACGGGCTAACGTTAGCCCTGGCTGCTGCAGACGGGCTAACGTTAGCCCTAGCTGCTACAGACGGGCTAACGTTAGCCCTGGCCGCTGCATATGGGCTAACGTTAGCCCTGGCCGCTGCAGACGGGCTAACGTTAGCCCTGGCCGCTGCAGACGGGCTAATGTTAGCCCTGGCCGCTGCAGACGGGCTAACGTTAGCCCTGGCCGCTGCAGACGGGCTAACGTTAGCCCTAGCTGCTGCAGACGGGCTAACGTTAGCCCTGGCCACTGCATATGGGCTAACGTTAGCCCTGGCTGCTGCAGACGGGCTAACGTTAGCCCTAGCTGCTACAGACGGGCTAACGTTAGCCCTAGCTGCTGCAGACGGGCTAACGTTAGCCCTAGCTGCTGCAGACGGGCTAACGTTAGCCCTAGCTGCTGCAGACGGGCTAACGTTAGCCCTGGCCCCTGCATATGGGCTAACGTTAGCCCTGGCTGCTGCAGACGGGCTAACGTTAGCCCTAGCTGCTACAGACGGGCTAACGTTAGCCCTGGCCGCTGCAGACGGGCTAACGTTAGCCCTGGCCGCTGCTGACGGGCTAACGTTAGCCCGTCTGCAGCAGCTAGGGCTAACGTTAGCCCTAGCTGCTGCATATGGGCTAACGTTAGCCCTGGCTGCTGCAGACGGGCTAACGTTAGCCCTGGCCGCTGCATATGGGCTAACGTTAGCCCTGGCTGCTGCAGACGGGCTAATGTTAGCCCTGGCCGCTGCTGACGGGCTAACGTTAGCCCTAGCTGCTGCAGACGGGCTAACGTTAGCCCTGGCCGCTGCATATGGGCTAACGTTAGCCCTGGCTGCTGCAGACGGGCTAACGTTAGCCCTAGCTGCTACAGACGGGCTAACGTTAGCCCTAGCTGCTGCAGACGGGCTAACGTTAGCCCTGGCCGCTGCATATGGGCTAACGTTAGCCCTGGCTGCTGCAGACGGGCTAACGTTAGCCCTAGCTGCTACAGACGGGCTAACGTTAGCCCTGGCCGCTGCATATGGGCTAACGTTAGCCCTGGCTGCTGCAGACGGGCTAACGTTAGCCCTGGCCGCTGCATATGGGCTAACGTTAGCCCTGGCCGCTGCATATGGGCTAACGTTAGCCCTGGCTGCTGCAGACGGGCTAACGTTAGCCCTGGCTGCTGCAGACGGGCTAACGTTAGCCCTAGCTGCTACAGACGGGCTAACGTTAGCCCTGGCCGCTGCATATGGGCTAACGTTAGCCCTGGCTGCTGCAGACGGGCTAACGCACTTGCGTTCTAGTGAACTTAGAAACGGCCTATATTTTAGAACGCTTATCATTTGGGGGGAGCGGAACACGTGATTTAGGTTATTATTATGGATGTGCAAATGAGCTGATGGCGCATGCGCAGGACGATTTGTTCTTTTGGGACAGATCAGGTAGTGACAGTCCAGAAAAAAATCCTCTTTGGAGGAGGGGACTATGATGCATTCAAAGTGTGTGGGAAAAATAAAACTCTCAGTGAAATAGATGCAGACGGCTAAATGTCATCATTATATTTGATATATATCGTCCACCCATAGCCTGTAGTACCCGATACTCGCCCATTCGGGGCGACAGTGGCGTCATGAAATCGAAGGATTGACGGTTCAAGCCCCGGCTCCGACTGACAGGCCATTTCCCATTCCTCTGAAAAGGCGGTGGTTAAGGGCCTTTTCAGAGGAATGGACCAATATCAGGTAGGATCAGCTTCCTGGATGGGAAGCAAAATATCTTCAAACTTTGAAACAAAGTCCAGAGGTTCATTTTTTAAAGTTTTTTGAGTGACTATGACCTGGATGACCGAGAATCTCCATCAGCATTCCTTGAATTCAGAAACGAAATGCAAAGTTGGGCTTTAAAGATTTAAAAAACAGGAAGTTGATGCAGGGAGTGATGCTGGCCTTCAGTGAGAAGAACCGATCTCTGGAACGTGTCAGGAGACGTTCTTCATCAGCAGGAATCCTAAAGGCCAGCTTGTTTTAGTCACGCAGTCATTCATCCGCCCCGTCTCGCTATCTTCCCGCTCCGCTGTTGCAGCGTGTTTGGACACATTTCTGACAGCAGACTAATTTCAGGGAGATAGAGAGAATGTTATGGTGCTGTTAGTGTTGGAGGTCCTGTTGGGGTCGGAGGAATTCCCTGCGAGGGAGGAAACCTCTCGCCTGGTACCAACATCTGCTAACCCCTCCCTTCCTTCAAACCGCCTCTTCTTTTCGCAGAGTTCATCTCCCTCCGACTCTAAGGGAGGAACACGCTGCTTCCTGGGTGGTTTCACAGCGGGAGCTTCCATTTAAAGGGAACTCCTGACCAGTCCTGTTTCAGCCTTGCCTGCAGCCATGACGTCTTTTATTACTGAATAATAGAGGAGAGTCTATGAGCGTCGATGAGCCACTGTGAGGAGAGCAAACAAACCAATATTTCCAGGCATCTGAGCGTCAGAATGTGACACCGTCATGTGACTCTAAGGAGAACCAGCAGATGTTCTGGGTGCATCTATACAAGCAATGACCAGCAGCTCCCTGTTGAGCTTTGAGGAGCTACAGCAGTGATTGTCCAGAAGTGGAACGTACAATAAAGTTTTCAAAGCACCAGAGAGAATCTTTAAAACCTACAATGCAGCGATAGAGTTGATTCCTTCCTGCTATCATCGCAGCCCCAACCCCTTTACAGGAGAACAGAAGACCTCACCTATTCAGCCAGATCAACTATTCCCTCTAATGCCCCCCCTTTCAGAGTCATAGACAGGTATGGGGCATTGCAGGCTAACAAAGAAGCCAAACGACCCCCATTCCAAAGGGGGGGACCCGTTCATCCGTTTCTATTTGCATGTTTTCTAAACTAAAACCAGGCTTTGTTGGGCTGCTGGATAAAACCTGGAACTAAACGCTATTTCTGACATTTTGGATTGAAAAAGCTTCCTGGATGGAAGAGATACGTCTTCAAAGGTTTGGATGACTGAGAATCTTCACCAGCCTAACGTGCAATAATTGATTATAAATTAAAACTTTCCTTTTTGATAAAGCTTATAGTTAGAGTGGCTCAGGTTATCCTGAGCTATCTCTATAGTTCTGCTGCTATAGGCTTAGACTGCTGGAGGACATAGGGACCCCTTTTTCATCATTCTGCTTCATTCTATCTCTATTCTCCCACTCTGCAGAATCTGTTAGTTCAATCTCTAACGTTCTGCTCTCTCTGCTTTTTCTCATTGTAGCTTCATCCGTTCTGTTCCTCTGCTTGGTTTGGATGTGGGTCAAAGCTGAAGCTGAACACAAACATATAATAAAAACTTACTTTTTGGTTGATAAAAGCTTGTTTGGTCCCCAGAAAGCAAAACAGATGCCAGCCCTATTTTAATTTACTATCTAGTAAATGAAATGTTTTCATGTACCCCTTGCAATGCAATCAAGGACCACTAGGGGTACACGTACCTCCGGTTGAGAGTCCCTGAGCTACAGGATGGTCATTGGAGTAAAGACTTCCAATAAAAAAGGGCAGGAAAAGGTCAGACTCGTCTCCTTTTGACTCCTCGCTGACAGATCTGTGCACTTACATGTGGGGGGAGACCTCGTAGAAGTTGACGCCGCGGTATCGCTCCATGTGGTTCTTGGTGTAGATCTCCAGGTCTTTGTATGGGTTCACCGACACCAGCACGGAACCGATGTAAGTCTGAGGAAAAGGGAACAGCCCCGTCAGGATGCAATAAAGACAGGTTTTTAAGGGAAGGATGGGAAGAGTTACATGCTACTACAGAGCTACTTTCTAAAATGGATATATATGCCTACAGACAGCTACATGCTAACACAAAAATACGTGCTTACAGAGAATGACATGCTAATGGAGAGCCACATGCTAACACAGAAGTACATGCTAAAAGACAACATGCTAACGGAGATCTACATTTTTGTTTTTATTAATAAACATCTTTCTTTATGGAAACCATCATAGAAGAAGAAACAACGTAGCAAATGTAACAGAGAATTACTTGCTATCAGAGCTGTATGCTAAAACAACGCAACAAAGAGTGTACTACATGCTAACAGAGAGCTAGGTGCTAACACAGCACTACTCTGTTGTCATCCGTCATTCAAATTCCAACTAATAACCACAGAAAGTGAAATCATCTGGAAGGTTCTGCAGCTCCTGCAGGTCAAACCTTCGTCATTTACTCACATAGATCAGGTTCTCCTTGAAGCGCTTTCGAAGGTTCTCTATGAAGGCCGCTTCGCTGGTGTAATTCTCCAGCAGGACGAAATCCTGCACACCCACCCGGTCTCTGGCTGTCAGGGCCGACTCCATCATAGCACGGACCCCGTCACTCGCCACCACCTGAGACAAAAAGACAGGAAGTGTTGGGATCAAATGTTGATGATGTAATGGAACGACTCCCCTCTGAGGGAACATGGCTCCGGCAGAGTCTAGAAAAGAAACTCTTTCCCATTTAGCTTCCTGTTGCCGGCAGCTTGCGGCTGCTAAAGGCTAGGCTAAGAGCTTCTCAGCGAGAAGGAGATTTTTATTTAAAATATATTAAAAACACTTTTTTCACAATTTATAAAATACTAATGAATATTTTGGGAAATGGTTTTGACTGTTTTATTGCACTATTACGTGTATTTTGATTTTAATTTAATTGATTTGAGGCCTAATCAAGTTCACAGAAGTTACGTTGCCATGGCAACCTCTAGCAAGTTAGTGGTCTCCCGCTAGCAGCAGCAGACTAGTAAATTTACAAAGTCTGACAGAAACAAGGAGGAAACACGGCACAAAAACAAATTTCGTTTTTTTTGGAAAACCACAATCAACCACCATGAAGAAGAACACTAGCACGGTTACCACGACAACGGAGAGCAGCAGGGCTGAGGAGACTGTCCACCCGCCTCTGAACCTAGCATGGTTTAATTGGATGAGCCCTTCCATCCAACATCCAATTAAAAAGTTCCTGCAGCGCTTGGTGGTAATGAAACGTTCTCACTGCATCACATGGAAGAAACTCGTCATTGGTCTTTTGTTCAAGCGAGGCTAAATGCACATGACGAGGCTAACTGCACGTGAAGAGGCTAACTGCATGCGGCGAGGCTAACTGCATGTGGCAAGGCTAACTGCATGCGGCAAGGCTAACTGCATGCGGCAAGGCTAACTGCATGTGGCAAGGCTAACTGCATGCGGCAAGGCTAACTGAATGTGGCAAGGCTAACTGCATGCGGCAAGGCTAACTGAATGTGGCAAGGCTAACTGCATGCGGCAAGGCTAACTGAATGCGGCGAGGCTAACTGAATGCGGCGAGGCCAATTGCACACGGCAAGGCTAACTGCATGCGGCGAAGCTAACTGCACGCGGCGAGGCTAACTGCATGCGGCGAAGCTAATGTTGTATCCTGCATTCCGTGCCTCCTTTTTCAAACGTCTGGATCTAACCAGGATGGATAAAGACAGCTAGGAAAAACTTTGAATCAATCTGACTGGATGATCTGGTGAACTATAAAGTGCCCTGAGATGACATGATGTGAATTGGAGCTATAGAAATAAACTGAATAGAATTATTCCTTCAGTACCTGTTTCTATATCACAATTCGATTGGCAAATTAGTTGACAGTCATATAAATTATGATTAACCTGATGGATCGTCTCAGATTAGAGTCAGAGTTTCTGGGAAATGGTAACAGAAACGGCAGCATCTGTCTGTTCAGATATACATGGAAGCAACATTAGAGCAAACTCTCATCTAAACTAAAAAGAAAAGGTATTTTCTTCATCCAAAATTCATAGCTTTGGGTCAAAAGGTCAAACTTCTGAAGAAGTGAGATGGAGCCGTGCCCCGATGTGTCAGGGAGGGTTGTTTTTTCACCTCAACCCAAGTGAAAAAGGCCCACCCTGCTCACACTCGTTTATGACGAACACGAGACAAATTTAGCATCAGAGGCGTAAAGTCAAAGCGCTGAACTCACGTTTCTGAGATCATCCAGGCGTTTACCCAGGAAGCTGTTCTCTAAAATAGTGGACTGAGTTTTCCGCATGAGGTTGGACAATTGAGAGACGTCCATGGTTAAGCTGCAGCCAGCAGGACTGAGCAAAAAACTGACAGGAGCTGCAGGGTGAGGGAGGACGGAGGATCAGGGCACAAAACACACAGCAGCTAAGCAGGTGTTGTTGTTGTGTCAGGCAGCGAGGCGGACCTCTCCCTCAGGGGACACTAGCAAGACTCGGGTTAAGAAAGAGATGAGAAGTCTTGAGGGAGGAGAGGACATATTAATTAGAGCCGAAAGGGAGAAGAGGGGGAAAAACAAGCGTGATGGATGCTATGTTACGACTCCATTTAAACTGTGCTGGAAAGTTAGCAACTCTCCCAGAAATTCCTCACTGCAGAACAGCTCATTAGAACCTGCATGGATTCACTGCATCCTGCTCGGATTTCAGTAAAGAACAGAGAAACGCTCGTCCTGACTTCACCAGCTCCTGTCAGTGCATGTAGTCGAACCCGAGGCCATCAAACAGCAGCTCCCTCAGCCTGATAGCATTAGCTAGGCCTGTAATTTCTCTCTACAGCGCTGGATTCACCTCTATACCCAGGCTCAGCCAGGCTCTCACTGTCATCCTTCCTCCAGGTCAGAAGCCTGAAGCTGCAGGTCCTAAAAATGAAAGATAGGACCAGTCTGATCCAGGTTTGAAAAGTCTCTGTGGAATAGAATCAGAGAATAATCAGGATAAGAAGTGGAAGCAAATGATTGATTGATGACGTTGCAATAACGACACCCAGGATCTGGAAATCAGCTAAACCTGCTTCAGAAAAACTGGAAACAAAAAGCTCAAAGACCGACACGTCGAGCGGCCAACGTCAGCGTTTCTGTTCTTCAGATCACATGAAGCGAATGCATTACTGCGTCCTCCCTCTGCTGCCACTGTTAATGTTTACTTGATTTGTTAATAAAGGTTTACATTCAGAATTTTATCATATAAGGAGGAAGAAGAAGGAATACGGGTCGAAAAGATTGACCCAATTAAATTGGCAACAAGTCACAATAATCAGCTTTGCCCTTAAAAACCTGTCACCTGTGCCAAAGGTCAGAGGCGGCGCTGCCAAAGGTCAGAGATGGTGCTGCAAAAGGTCAGAGATGGTGCTGCCAAGGATGGTGCTGCCAAAGGTCAGAGATCATGCTGCCAAAGGTCAGAGACGGCGCTGCCAAAGGTCAGAGACGGCGCTGCCAAAGGTCAGAGATCATGCTGCCAAAGGTCAGAGACGGCGCTGCCAAAGGTCAGAGATGGTGCTGCAAAAGGTCAGAGATGGTGCTGCCAAGGATGGTGCTGCCAAAGGTCAGAGATCACGCTGCCAAAGGTCAGAGACGGCGCTGCCAAAGGTCAGAGATCATGCTGCCAAAGGTCAGAGACGGCGCTGCCAAAGGTCAGAGACGGCGCTACCAAAGGTCAGAGATCATGCTGCCAAAGGTCAGAGATCATGCTGCCAAAGGTCAGAGATCATGCTGCCAAAGGTCAGAGATCATGCTGCCAAAGGTCAGAGACGGCGCTGCCAAAGGTCAGAGACGGCGCTGCCAAAGGTCAGAGGCGGCGCTGCCAAAGGTCAGAGGTGGTGCTGCCAAAGGTCAGAGGTGGTGCTGCCAAAGGTCAGAGGTTGCGCTGCCAAAGGTCAGAGACGGCGCTGCCAAAGGTCAGAGGCGGCGCTGCCAAAGGTCAGAGGCGGCGCTGCCAAAGGTCAGAGACGGCGCTGCCAAAGGTCAGAGGCGGCGCTGCCAAAGGTCAGAGGCGGCGCTGCCAAAGGTCAGAGGCGGCGCTGCCAAAGGTCAGAGGCGGCGCTGCCAAAGGTCAGAGGTGGTGCTGCCAAAGGTCAGAGGTGGTGCTGCCAAAGGTCAGAGATGGTGCTGCAAAAGGTCAGAGATGGTGCTGCCAAGGATGGTGCTGCCAAAGGTCAGAGATCACGCTGCCAAAGGTCAGAGACGGCGCTGCCAAAGGTCAGAGATCATGCTGCCAAAGGTCAGAGACGGCGCTGCCAAAGGTCAGAGACGGCGCTACCAAAGGTCAGAGATCATGCTGCCAAAGGTCAGAGATCATGCTGCCAAAGGTCAGAGATCATGCTGCCAAAGGTCAGAGATCATGCTGCCAAAGGTCAGAGACGGCGCTGCCAAAGGTCAGAGGCGGCGCTGCCAAAGGTCAGAGGTGGTGCTGCCAAAGGTCAGAGGTGGTGCTGCCAAAGGTCAGAGGTTGCGCTGCCAAAGGTCAGAGACGGCGCTGCCAAAGGTCAGAGGCGGCGCTGCCAAAGGTCAGAGGCGGCGCTGCCAAAGGTCAGAGACGGCGCTGCCAAAGGTCAGAGGCGGCGCTGCCAAAGGTCAGAGGCGGCGCTGCCAAAGGTCAGAGGCGGCGCTGCCAAAGGTCAGAGGCGGCGCTGCCAAAGGTCAGAGGTGGTGCTGCCAAAGGTCAGAGGTGGTGCTGCCAAAGGTCAGAGGTTGCGCTGCCAAAGGTCAGAGACGGCGCTGCCAAAGGTCAGAGACGGCGCTGCCAAAGGTCAGAGACGGCGCTGCCAAAGGTCAGAGGCGGCGCTGCCAAAGGTCAGAGGTTGCGCTGCCAAAGGTCAGAGACGGCGCTGCCAAAGGTCAGAGGCGGCGCTGCCAAAGGTCAGAGGTGGTGCTGCCAAAGGTCAGAGGCGGCGCTGCCAAAGGTCAGAGGCGGCGCTGCCAAAGGTCAGAGGCGGTGGTGCCAAAGGTCAGAGGCGGTGCTGCCAAAGGTCAGAGGTGGTGCTGCCAAAGGTCAGAGGTTGCGCTCCCAAAGGTCAGAGGTGGTGCTGCCAAAGGTCAGAGGCGGCGCTGCCAAAGGTCAGAGGCGGTGGTGCCAAAGGTCAGAGGCGGTGCTGCCAAAGGTCAGAGGCGGCGCTGCCAAAGGTCAGAGGCGGCGCTGCCAAAGGTCAGAGGCGGCGCTGCCAAAGGTCAGAGGTGGCGCTGCCAAACACCATCACCTCATTTAATTTCAGAAAATGTTCTAATAACCAGGCAGAGGGTGATGCTGCCTGAAGTCCTACCATGTTTCCCAGTTTAGAAGCTTTTCTGGGAACGTGATTAAAACCCTGACAGCTGTTATCTTCATACAGAACATCTGGTTGTTAACATTAAATGTAAAAACTGAGTGAAGTTTTGAAGGAAAGGTCTGAGGAGCTGGAGGAACCCGTCTGAGGAGCATTTCTCTGTGCTGAGGTGAAACGTCATCCCATAGATCCAGTCTTCCTCCACTCAGCTCTGTTTGGACAACATGAGCTTCGCTGACCTATTGTTTCACACAGAAAGCAGCAGCTGTGAGCGAGCGTGTGTCATTACAGCTGACTTTCCTCCT